AGTTTTTTTTGGCTATTATATACGTAGCTTAAGTCAAGTATATTTTAAGCATAGTACTATACTCATATTGTAAAAATACATTAGCTAACAAACTCTACGGAGTTTTGCTATTATATAGGTAGCTTTAAGCTCATTCATATCTTAAGCTCAGTACTATGTTTATATCATATAACTATATTAGCTAACAAATTCTAAAGAGCTTTTGCTATTTGGCTTAAGTTTCATCATATCTTAAGCAATATGGTTACATTATAACATGTATTAGCTAACAAACTCTATGGAGTTTTTTGCTATTATATATGTAACTTAAGCTTATTCATATCTTAAAGCAGTACTATGTTTATATCATATAGGTATATTAGCTATCAAAACTCTAAAAGAGTTTTTTGCTATTATATATTGGGCTTAAGTTTTCATCATATTTTAAGCTTTATGGTTACATTATATCATGTATTAGCTAACAAACTCTACGGAGTTTTTGCTATACATATGTAGCTTAAAGGTTTCTTCATATCTTAAGCTCAATACTATGTTGATACCATATAAGTATATTAGCTATTAAAACTCTAAAAGGTTTTTGCTATTATATATTTAGCTTAAGGTTTACTTCATATCTTAAGCTCAATACTAGGTCTAAATCAACATAATAAAATGTATTAGCTATCAAACTCTACGGAGTTTTACTATTATATATATATAGCTTAAGTTTAATCATATCTTAAGCTCAGTACTATGTTTATAACATAAAAGTATATTAGTTAATAAACTCTAAGGAGTTTTTGCTATATACATTTAGCTTAAGTCTAATCATATCTTAAGCTTAGTACTATGGTTACATTATAAATCTATTAGCCAATAAGCTCTACAGAGTTTTTTGGCTATTGTATATGTAGCTTAAGTTAATTATATCTTAAGCACAGTACTATACTCATATTGTAAAATATATTAGCTAACAAACTTTACTAAGTTTGGCTATTATATATGTAGCTTAAGCTAATTATATCTTAAGCACAGTACTATACTCATATTGTAAAAATATATTAGCTAACAAACTATACTAAGTTTGGCTATTATATATGTAGCTTAAGTTAATTATATCTTAAGCACAGTATTATACTCATATTGTAAAAAATATATTAGCTAACAAACTCTACTAAGTTTGGCTATTATATATGTAGCTTAAGATAATTATATCTTCAGCACAATACTATACTCATATTGTAAAATATATTAGCTAACAAACTCTACAAAGTTTGCTGTTATATATATAGCTAAGCTTATTCATATCTTAAGCTCAGCACTGTCTATATCATATAAATATTTTTAACTAACAAACCCTAAAGAGGTTTGTTATTATATAATTAGCTTAAAATTAATCATATTTTAAGCTTAGTGCTATGTTTATATCTTAAAAGTATTTTAGCTAACAAACTCTAAGGAGTTTATACTAGCATATTAACAAGCTTAAGTCTATTAGTCTTAAGCATTGTATTAATATTATACATACTTATCATAATAAGTACATTGTAATAACCTCTATATGGCAGCTGATAAGCTGGCAGCAGGAATTCATCAGTTCAATGCCTTTATGAAGTTCCCATAGGGTTATTACAATCATCACAGTTCAAATCACTAATTATTAAAATCCAAAGTATTATATATTCCCACCTCCGCTCTGTTGGATTCTACAAGCAAAAGAGCATGAGTCAGGATAAGGAAAAATATGTAATTTTTGAGTAAAATTGATATTTTATACTTATCCTGACTCATGAGGTCAGCCCCTCCCATCCTCCCCAAATAACACTTTGGATTTCCTGTAAATTCAAATGTTGGGCTCAGTATATGAGGAGAGAGTGAGGCACATGGGTAGAGGTGGCTTCCCTGCCCCCAGCTTTGTGGAAGGGAGGTAACTCGTGGTGTACTAATTAGTGATTTTACATTGAAGGGAACTTCAATTAGGGGAGATACAAGTGTTCCACTATGTTCGCAAGAGGAAGGAGACAAGCAAAAGAGCATGAGTCAGGATAAGTATAAAATATCAATTTTACTCAAAAATTAAAGTATTCTATAATATATTGACTCAATAATTGAGCAAACAATGAGCAAGCTACAATGAATCACAATACAGATTTCTAGTACAATGCAATTGAGTCACAAATCTAAAGTTATGGGTCAAATATATAAAATATTAACTCACCAGAGTCTTGGTAATCACAGTGAGATCAGATATTGAAAATGGAGCTTGTTTACAAATGAAAGCAGTCAGGCACGAAGTGTCGGTCGGACAATGGCGATGTGATGAAGGACGAAGCCGAGGCAAACAACGATGGGCAACTCCAGTGATAACGAAAGTCTTGTGTAATTCCGTGTGTTAGTCCGTGTGTCAGTCGTTGCGTGCCGCACAACACAACAGCCAGCCTTTATATATACTGACACAGATTCTCAAACTTTCCAGCAAAGCATGGCTGTATCACTAACCACTTAGATCTTTCTCGAAAAGTGTTGAACATACGACATGACGATGTCAACACATAAACATCCGGTCAAGGGAGGTAACTCTAGAGCTCTATCATAACTGCGTGCCGCTAAAATACTGTTGCCACTGAACATGTATAACTCTAGAAATGTGACCCACAACCAACACTCAAAACTTTAAACATCGTGACTCATAATTATTATCACCTAACCAATGTTATTACAAATTACAAAAAACACACTCTCGTAACATATGTAACAAATGTTATGTTTGGGATCACACTTTTAAGTGAAGTACAGATTCTTGTACCGGGATTCGAACCCACACCCTTAGAGTCAGGCACCTAATCATCAGCACACAAAGTCAACTGCCTAACCCGCTCAGCCACCACTGCTAGACTATCACTTATCTTGCCTCACACATTAATGTCGTTTTCTGATTGACTGAGCGCTCTTCTGTTATTTTCAATGTACCCCGCTTACAAGCGAGTAACATTTTCTATGTACCCCGCTGGGAGTGCCGAACTCATTTGGTACTTCGTAGTAGTGATTCTTTATCTCGAATAACATTGAATCACGCATGATGTACGAATGTTACCAATGTTTTGCGAATGCAAATCGAGGGAAGGGAGATAACTCTAAATTTTTGTCGCCTTGTCGTTGGTACGTCTATGATCGTACGCAGTTCAAAATTACCATTGAGGTGTTCAGTAAGGCTGTTACGATTCACTCGCGATATTCGTGAATCGAACCGTCGAATTCATTATTCGTGGTCACCAGAACCGAATATTCATGAATATTTGCAATTTTTAAGGAAGTGTCCCTTATGTCCTTTTTCAAAATGAGTTATGCAAGAATGCAAAATATAAGTAGTGCAAGTTGTTAGTTTGCCAAGGCACGCATGGTACTGTCAACTATAACTATTACATACCAAATTTGAGTAAGATCACTGGTTATTGCTGTGACAAATTAACACTGTCAACATGGGCAATCAATATTGTCCATCAATCACTTAACTACAATATTGTATTCGTGGAATAATTATTCTCGCTACGGATCATATTCACCACATAGTGTATTCATTACAGCCCTATGTTCGGGTAAGATAATATCGGTAGCTACTGAGCTGGGGCCTTGATGTACCCTCGATGTTTCTTTATGTTTGGGCTCAGGGAACATAAACAAACATTGAGGGTACATCAGCCCATGTCCCCCTCGAGACGTGAACAACTTATATTGTCTAACTTCCATATTGTGGAAGCTGTGGTGGCTGAGTGGGTTAGACGGCTGACTTTGTGTGCTGGCGATTGGGTGCCTGACTCTGAGGGTGTGGGTTCAAATCCCGGATGGAACTCCTCAAATTTAGTACTCGGATGGGACTCAACCCAAAAAGTACTAGAATTTGTACTTTGCTGAGAATGTGTAATCCCAAATATAAATTTATATGTAATCTTTCCCCAGCAATATAACATCAGCCTATAAACTGTTCAGTCTGGATCATAAAATCCAGCCACCCATGAAGATCCGAGTGAAAATTGGTCTTCATGTTTGTCTTAAGAGGCAACTAACACTATCTGATGGTCAGATTCACTGACCTACTTGACACTTGTCATAGTATCCCAGTCGATCGATGCTCATGCTGTTGATCACTGGATTGCATGGTCCAGACTTTTCTTACTTACAGACTGCCGCCATAAAGCTGGAATATTGCAGCATCAAAAACAAACAAACAAACAAACAAAACACACTCCAGCAACTGCTGTTTTGAGCAAATATCCAATCTTCTATGCTTTTCTGACTGATGTCTATTTATAGTGACTGAGTTTGGTTTTACGCTGCTTTTAGCAATATTCCAGCAATATCACGTCGGGGGACACCAGAAATGGGCTTCACACATTGTGCCCATGTGGGGAATCGAACCCGGGTCTTCGGCGTGACGAGCCAACGCTTTAACCACTAGACTACCCCACCGCCCCCTATTTATAGTGAGGGTGTTCTCATTGTTTCAAGTTAGGGTGTTCTCATTGTTTCAAGTTTATATGAAACAAGGCATTTTGGGACCTATATAAGGATATTCATGGACAGCAAGATAAACTCTGAATTTGATTTTAGTGTGCATTCAAAGTGGTGTTCAATATCATATACCGTATTTCCTCTAATAAGTGCCGGGATCCAATAAGCGGGGTTAGGCAGAGGTTTAAGAAATAAGCGCCGGGTACGTTTCTTATAAATGTATTCCCCCTTGATCCCAAAATAGATTTATTAAGGAATGGTCCCTTTAGTCATAACTTCCTGCCCTCCACATGAACACGGGTTGATGGATATTATGTAATTGTTGTATTTTGGAGGTGTGTTTTAAGTTGGGATTCCTATAGGTGCCCCATATGTCAATATGGCAATAAGCGCCAGGTGACCAATATGCACCAGGCCTCTTAGAGGAAATATGGTAGCTGTATCTTGTGCTGTGTGAAGCAGCAAAGCTAGTATTTACAAGAGTTGTACATTGTCAAGATATACACTTGCAGATATTCTCCAGCACTGACGTGAGGACGTCACTGTCTCATGATGCTAACAGATTTGCTGTGGTCAACAAGGACTTCCGTCTCCTCATGAGGGCAACAGAGAAGAACCCCAATGTCCTCCAGTGCTGCTCACGCAAGAGTAAGTACATTATTCTAGTATAAAACCATACCAGCAGTCAGCAGACAAAATGACCTGTGAAGATCTGGGTTAGAAATGGTCCTTCACAACCTGTGCTTGCCATAAGAGGTGACTAATGGGATCGGCGTGTCAGCGTCACTGATACCATCTTATCCGAATTACGTAGATTGATGCTCATGTTGATCACTGGATTGTCTGATCCAGATTTGTTTATTTACAGACCTCTGCCATATAGCTTGAATATTTCTGAGTTCTGCATTAGACAACAAACAACCAAAAACATCAGTCAAAATATTGATACAAACAAAACACTAATACAGGTATATTTCATGCATCGCTTAAATATTTCTGCAGACATCACCTTTTGATACCTTACCAGTGATACAATTTTTTGGACTGCTAAAAAATAAGGTTTCTTTGCTTTTGCCACACTCTAAAATATTGCAACTATATGATGTGAGCCTGTAAATATACTGTAATCGTAGTTATTTTTGCGTGGATTAATTTTTGCGCTTTTAGCGCAAAATGATTGTGCGTCAATAATCATACCAAGCGAAATATTCATGGTCAAGTCTTGACAAATACTCAAGTAGGAACAATTTGTTTATTCTCTCAGATAACAACATCAAAACAATATACAAAGGAATAGAGGCATATACTAGTATACTAGTAATAGCGATCATAATCAGCAAATGTTTGTTATCAGTTTGTCAGTTAATTGATAGCTGATTACTCGTAATCACAAAATGAACGAAGCTCACTTACATCAGTCACAAATCACAATGTTGACACAAGTATAATCCCACATCTCTGATTGTTTTAGTAAACACAATTCAATTTTGGCGCTAGCTTTGATCATTGCATGTCTATGGGTTGTGAAAACTTTGTGATGGACACCATCACTTATAGGGCTTCAACGAGTCCATTTTTGGACTCGAGTACTCGAGGGTGAGACTCGACTCGGACCCGAGTACTCGAAATTCATACCTTTCAAGCAAACGATTAATTGTCAAGATAGTTACCTAATCATTTTAAGAAGTGAAATCTCAATCGATGTATAATATTTACTCTCATCTGCAGACTTGTAACAACTAATACCATACAGCCACACCGTGTGAGGAGTAAACAATTTAATCTAGGTGTTAATAAAAACATTATCAGATGGGTTAAAGAATTCAGGTCACATTGAACTCAGTATGTCAGTGTCAATGGCTATCAATCTTCTTTTCTCTCAACCTCTACGGGAGATCCACATGGCTGTGTTCCTTCATCCGTACTCTTCGTTTTGTATACCAATGACTGTTACTTGTCAATACAATGTATATGACTTGTTTACTGTGAAATTTGCAGATGACGCCACTGTTACTGGCCTAATTTCTGATTCTGAACATTATTATGGTTAAGGCATTGACAAAACCGTAATGACAGTTTTTTATCAAACCTTTATTCAAAGTGTGTTGACCTACAATTTTCTATGTTGGTATGGGGATCTGTCTCATCTTAACAAAAACAGACTTTTCAAAATTGTTAATACTGCTTGCAAAATTTCTGGAGTGTATTTTGAGTATAGTCAAAAAGACAGCTAAAATTAGATTTGATAGTTGACATATTTGATCTCACCATTTTGAACTACTTCCTTCTGGACGCTGCTGTCGATTACCTCCCTCAAAACAGAGCTCGACAGTCTTTCATACCATCAAGTATTCGTGAATGCAACAAATATTTTGAATCACCATTCACCAGAATTATTCAGCCTCTTTACCTATGTGGTTAATTGAATTATATCATGTCAGTTTTATTTGTAAATAGCATTCGTTTTGAGCATGTAATTATTGTGTATATTTTTGTGAACTGTGTATATATTTATTTTGAGACAGTTTGGATGTATGAGAATTTCCTCCGGGATAATAAAGTTATATATTTTTCTTAATATTAGACGTTAAAGGCCGCTCATGCTTAGCACATGGCAGACAGTCCGTCAACGTTAATAATTCGAGTTATCTCCCCTTTTCGAGTCCTCGAGTCCTTGAAAATGGACTCGAGTCCAGCTAAACCCGACTTCGTCCTCGAGTACTCGAGTACCCGTGGAAGCCCTAATCACTTAGGCGTTTGAAATGCACGAGAAAAACTACTGCGCTAATAGGTCTTTTGTGAACTTTCCGCGAAAATTGCACCCCGTGAAAATATATACGATTACAGTACTCTTCAAAAAAGGAGAGGAACTTCATTGTAATTTTCGTTTGAAAAGATTGGGAGATATATCGGGGTCAATCAATGTTGATTTGATAATAATGAATGCTTTGAGAGTGTATCACCGTTTGCACTTCCTCATGACCATAGTTGTTTGTACAATAATTGCTCTTGAAAGATTGATGTATGACGTGTAATTTGCATGTATATGATTTTCATTTGAAAAAATCGGCTTGAAACAAACACTAACAACTGTGTAATGCAGGATGATTGTCAAAATTAATGGTCTAGTGTCCATAGTGCAAGTAGCCTCTACACAACTGTGATATGATGACTTGCATCAATCAAGTCTGTGAGGTTAACAACTCGATGTTCACAGTGGATGTATCCTCTAGCTCATTTAGGTCAAACAGAACCAAGTCAAGATCCAATGTTTCTGAATATTTTGCAGACATCTTGAACATCATGGAGCACATGAACCACAGCCTGGAGTCTTGTCGCAGATCCTTGCTCAACTATCTGGAGAGACGGCGCCAGATCTTCCCCAGGTTCTACTTCCTCTCCATGGAGGACGTGCTGCACATCGTGTGTAACGGTCAGTGATTCTATCACTTGCTTCAAAGTGCAGAAATTCTGCCCTGGATTTTTCCAACAATTATGACATCCTATAAAATGAAATGCTACATAACCAGCGTCATATGCTTTAGTTTTGTTAGTTCAAACATACATGATATATTGTTGTCTCTTAGACAGCAGTTTCAATCTCAGAGGAATTGTTAGAGTGCAATGTCTGGCAGGGTATCACCTGAAATTGTTCAGGTGTAGTGTGTATATGACCTGTAATTGTTCAGGTGTAGTGTGTTAGAGTATATGACCTGTAATTGTTCAGGTGTAGTGTGTTAGAGTATATGACCTGTAATTGTTCAGGTGTAGTGTGTTAGGGTATATGACCTGTAATTGTTCAGGTGTAGTGTGTTAGGGTATATGACCTGTAATTGTTCAGGTGTAGTGTGTTAGAGTATATGACCTGTAATTGTTCAGGTGTAGTGTGTTAGAGTATATGACCTGTAATTGTTCAGGTGTAGTGTGTTAGAGTATATGACCTGAAATTGTTCAGGTGTAGTGTGTTAGAGTATATGACCTGTAATTGTTCAGGTGTAGTGTGTTAGGAGTATATGACCTGTAATTGTTCAGGTGTAGTGTGTTAGAGTATATGACCTGTAATTGTTCAGGTGTAGTGTGTTAGAGTATATGACCTGTAATTGTTCAGGTGTAGTGTGTTAGAGTATATGACCTGAAATTGTTCAGGTGTAGTGTGTTAGAGTATATGACCTGTAATTGTTCAGGTGTAGTGTGTTAGAGTATATGACCTGTAATTGTTCAGGTGTAGTGTGTTAGGGTATATGACCTGTAATTGTTCAGGTGTAGTGTGTTAGAGTATATGACCTGTAATTGTTCAGGTGTAGTGTGTTAGAGTATATGACCTGTAATTGTTCAGGTGTAGTGTGTTAGAGTATATGACCTGTAATTGTTCAGGTGTAGTGTGTTAGAGTATATGACCTGTAATTGTTCAGGTGTAGTGTGTTAGAGTATATGACCTGTAATTGTTCAGGTGTAGTGTGTTAGGCATATGACCTGTAATTGTTCAGGTGTAGTGTGTTAGGTATATGACCTGAAATTGTTCAGGTGTAGTGTGTTAGAGCATATGACCTGTAATTGTTCAGGTGTAGTGTGTTAGGAGTATATGACCTGTAATTGTTCAGGTGTAGTGTGTTAGAGTATATGACCTGTAATTGTTCAGGTGTAGTGTGTTAGAGTATATGACCTGTAATTGTTCAGGTGTAGTGTGTTAGAGGGTACCGCAATTACAGACCTTCATTGTTCAGGTGTGTATGTTAGAGTTTGACCTATGACCCGTAATTGTTCAGGGTGTAGTTGTTGAGGTGTGATATGTTACAGGGTTATGACCTGAAATTGTTCAGGTGTGATAGTGTTACAGTTAGTTTCAGGTATATGTCCTTTGTAATTGTTCAGGTGTGATATGTTACAGGGTTTGACCTTCAGTTGTTCAGGTGTGATATGTTACAGGGTTTGACCTTCAGTTGTTCAGGTGTGATATGTTACAGGGTTTGACCTTCAGTTGTTCAGGTGTGATATGTTACAGGGTTTGACCTTCAATTGTTCAGGTGTGATATGTTACAGGGTTTGACCTTCAATTGTTCAGGTGTAGTGTGTTACAGGGTTTGACCTTCAATTGTTCAGGTGTGATATGTTACAGGGTTTGACCTTCAGTTGTTCAGGTGTGATATGTTACAGGGTTTGACCTTCAGTTGTTCAGGTGTGATATGTTACAGGGTTTGACCTTCAATTGTTCAGGTGTGATATGTTACAGGGTTTGACCTTCAATTGTTCAGGTGTGATATGTTACAGGGTTTGACCTTCAATTGTTCAGGTGTGATATGTTACAGGGTTTGACCTTCAGTTGGTTTGACCTTCAGTTGTTCAGGTGTGATATGTTACAGGGTTTGACCTTCAGTTGTTCAGGTGTGATATGTTACAGGGTTTGACCTTCAGTTGTTGAGGTGTGATATGTTACAGGGTTTGACCTTCAGTTGTTGAGGTGTGATATGTTACAGGGTTTGACCTTCAATTGTTGAGGTGTGATATGTTACAGGGTTTGACCTTCAGTTGTTCAGGTGTGATATGTTACAGGGTTTGACCTTCAATTGTTCAGGTGTGATATGTTACAGGGTTTGACCTTCAATTGTTCAGGTGTGATATGTTACAGGGTTTGACCTTCAATTGTTCAGGTGTGTGATATGTTACAGGGTTTGACCTTCAATTGTTCAGGTGTGATATGTTACAGGGTTTGACCTTCAGTTGTTGAGGTGTGATATGTTACAAGTTACAGGGTTTTGATTTCAGTTGTTGAGGTGTGAGTATATGTTACAGGGTTTGACCTTCAATTGTTCAGGTGTGATATGTTACAGGGTTTGACCTTCAATTGTTCAGGTGTAATATGTTACAGGGTTTGACCTTCAATTGTTCAGGTGTGATATGTTACAGGGTTTGACCTTCAATTGTTCAGGTGTGATATGTTACAGGGTTTGACCTTCAATTGTTCAGGTGTGATATGTTACAGGGTTTGACCTTCAATTGTTCAGGTGTGATATGTTACAGGGTTTGACCTTCAATTGTTCAGTTGTTCAGGTGTGATATGTTACAGGGTTTGACCTTCAGTTGTTCAGGTGTGATATGTTACAGGGTTTGACCTTCAGTTGTTGAGGTGTAATATGTTACAGGGTTTGACCTTCAAATGTTCAGGTGTAATATGTTACAGGGTATGACCTAAGCCAGGTGAACTTGTACATCAGCAAGCTGTTTGAGAATGTTGGCAGCCTGGTGTACGACATGGAGGAAGAGAACGACAGATGCAGCTTCACCATCACAGGGGTGGAGAGTACCCTGGGAGAGAGAATGGAGCTGATTCAGGTGAGCTATCTTCCATCCAGTAGTGAACATATTTCCATTCCATTATGATAAATACCCTGATCCCGTTCCTTTGGCAGCATCAATTATTATGACACCACCAAATCTACTGCACATGTCTATCGTAAAAAAATGTAAATATGATCAGTATAGATAACATAGATTCTTCTTTCTTCTTTCGGTGGGGTAGCCTAGTGGTTGAAGCGTTCGCTCATCACACCAAAGACCTGGGCCCCGTTCCTCAAAGCGATCGTAGCGCTATGATGATCGTAACTCCCATACTTTAACATTGACTGTCGTAAGTCAATGTTAAAGTATTGAGTTACGATCATCTTAGCGTTCCTCAAAGCGATCGTAGCGCTAAGATGATCGTAACTCCCATACTTTAACATTGACTGTCGTAAGTCAATGTTAAAGTATGGAGTTACGATCATCTTAGCGTTACGATCGCTTTGAGGAACGGGGCCCTGGGTACATTTCCCCACATGGATACAATGTGTAAAGCCCATTTCTGGTGTCCCCGCAGTGATATTGCTGGAATATTGCTAAAAGCAGCATAAACAAAACTCACTCACTCTTCAATCAACAAGATTATGTTTCTAGGTTTGAGAGCACCTTACACTGTTTTGGGTAAACATAAACAAATCCAGCATCACGTTAGGCTTGTAGCTGATACTGTATCACACCTTTCTCTGCAGCCTGTCAACTGTGACGGTCAGATAGAAACATGGCTGACAGCTCTAATGAGTGGCATCAGGTCCACACTGCAGTACCAGGTCGCCTCGTCCCTGGGGGTGGAGAAACCACTCATAAAGTCCAAGAGGATCCGCAGTGCAGGGGCCAGGAAGGTGCCTGTACCCACACAGAGCTCCACCTCCAACACCAAGACCAACAAAGGTAGGCCAACACAAGGACTGATCGGTATTACCGATAAATCGCAATACGCTTTTCAACGATGTGTATTGCAATACTTTTTTGAGAACCAGTATATTGGGTAAAGAACATTTATAATGTTTTTGTGTTTATCTTTATTGTTTGAATTAAAATCTACACAGACTTTCAGTCACAACAAAAGTTTTCATTTGTTATTCAATGACAATATGGCATACTGTAATACTATAACTTGTATGAAAAAGAAAAACAGAATCACTGACCTAATTTTGTGATTGCTGGTATCAGAACCGTAACGTATATGTTTTGTGACTTATAATGTAATGCGTATAGCAATATGGGTACCTGAATCACAATATATTGCAATATGGATATGGGTACCTGAATCACAATATATCGCAATATGGGTACCTGAATCGCAATATATTGCAATACAATTTATTTGCCAATAAACAGCCCTAGCCAGCACCAGCTCTTGTGATCCTTCTGTGCATTTCATGTTTTAGGAATGAACCTCAGAGTTTCTTGTTATAATCCCAATATTCATGCAGACTGAGTGAATATTTAGAGGGTCGTGTTTGATTTACATCCTATATCATCAAATCTTAAGGACACCAGGGCCCCGTTTCACAAAGCTCTCGTAAGCCTAAGATCTCGTAACCTTTCTCGTAGCATTCGCACCTCCTATACGCTAACATAGGAAGTACGAATGCTACGAGAAAAGTTACGAGATCTTAGGCTTACGATAGCTTTGTGAAACGGGGCCCAGGGTCCCAATCCACAAAACGTTCGTAGCAGTACAGCATTCATAAGTCTGTGATAAACTATAGAGTTACGACATGGCGTAACTTTACTAATGCTTCATGGATATGGACCCTGGGAGCCGATCCATAAAGCAGTCATAACGTTACGACCTGTCGTAACTCTATAGTATATAATAGGCTTACGGATGTCGTAGCACTACGAATGCTTTGTGGATCTGGACCTTGGACCCTTTTTGTGATGAATTCTTAATAATATGATCATAACTCCTGTACTTTAACATAGCCTCAGTTGTAACATTATGATAGCTTTCTGGAACATGGTCCGGAATAGCCTGCAGGATATGGCAGTAACACGTTGTTGTTACCCTCCAGACCCACCTGGGAGTCGGCAGTCAAGCCGGCAAGGAAGGAAGGAAGATGCTGCAGTGACGAAGACACCATCAGCCGGGGAACTGTTTGCTGACCTTGACCCACTGGAGGAGGGCAGTAGGTCATGGACACTGGACCATGTGTCCGAGATTGTCTACCTGGCCACACAGATCCAGATGACCAAACAGATAGCGGAGTCAGTGGACGGACTGGAGGCTGGAAATGCAGAAGCTCTTAGAGTAGGTTTTATGCTTGTGCTTGTCATAAGGGCATCTAATCCTATTGGGTGGTCAACTCGCTCACTTGGTTCATGTATGCCATCATATCCAGTTGCATAGATCAATGCTCATGAGGTGAGGTGAGGTGAAATTTGGTGTAATGTCGTGTTTGAGAATATTTCACTCATATGACGACATGCATGTTTGTGTATGTGTATGTGATGCAATGTCGGCCATCCTATACACATGCAGCTTACTAGCCCAGACTTAAGCTGGTTTTTTTATAGTGCTAGCCCACTGAGGTACCATGCCGCAGTGAAGCATGAATACCCCACTCAGACACATTATACTGACTCCGAGCTGACCAGTCCTTGTTGTACCCATTAATGCCGAGCGCCAGGCAGGGACCAACAAGTACCATATTTTAACATCTTTTGGTATGACGAGGTCGGGGATCAAACCCGCGACCTTCCGCTGTCCAGGCGGACGCTCTAACCCCTACACCACAGTGGCGGTCTTCAATGCTTATGATATTAAGCATATGGTCCAGAGTCAATATTTACAGACCGCCGCCATTTAGCTGGAATATTGCCGAGTGCGGCGTAAGACAACAAATCAAACCAACCCAAAGTTTCGGGGGCTAACTAGAATTAAAGGTTTTTAGTGAATTCATAAAAAAAGAAAATTGACAGTTAAATGCTTGGACTGTTCTTGCGGAGTCTTGCTTCATGTTTTGTGTGAGTTGACCCATGCATGTATGGCATCAGGATGCCCTGGACAAGATCGACACCAGCATCGCGGCTACCACCATGTTGCTGAAGGGGCTGGAGGGAGAGAAAGAAGCAAGTCAACGACGAGACAGGGAGAAACCCAGCAGTGATGGTAGGTCAAATCGACATACATACACTCAGGCTTATTTTCAAGTTTCTTACAAACTTTCTGGCCTTAAATTTGTCATATTGGTCTCAAAAAGGTCTAAAATTGAAAGCATGTCATGAAAAGCACTTGCCTGGAATCCCAATTAACTTGGTTTTATAGAACGGTACTGGCAGCCCTGGATCAAACTGTATGATCCTGAATTTGATCAAGAGTGAAAGTTTTATTACATTATGATTTGATTATGATTGTGGATACTTAGACAGACATATATTGACAATTTGATTATACATGTATTTCTATCATTTCATACTGTTGAGATTGCAGTGATGAATAGATGCATTATTTGTCAAACAATTTTCTAGAACGTTTTTGAGTGGCATTAAGAAGTTGGTATTGATGAACAACGGGGAGAGTTCTATGGATATACAACTTCTTTATTATTAATATTAGCAATATTTTGGTGGAGCTACTAACGCCATTATTACTTGGTTTCAGCAGAGATCATATGTCAAATGTTCAACATAAAACGATTCTCCCTTGTGCTGTCTGCCATTTGTTTGTTTGTCTCTGATATACTGTAGACATATTGCTGATGATAGTATATAGAGTAACACTAACTCTTGCTCCATGTGTACAGCACAGTCCATGAGAGACATGATCACAGAGAGGGAACAGGACCTGCTGTCTGCCATTTGTTTGTCTGGCTCTCATATACTGTAGACATATTGCTGATGATAGTATATAGAGTAACACTAACTCTTGCTCCATGTGTACAGCTCAGTCCATGAGAGACATGATCACAGAGAGGGAACAGGACCTGCTGTCGGACTCCCAGGGACGGCGCAGCGCTGCTCTAGCCTCCAAGAAGGGCTCCACCCTGGACGTGGCAGGAGACAAGTCCCCCATCCTGGAGGAAGAAGAGGAGGAGGATGTGCTTACCACTGGGGATGCTGAATGTAAGGCCACACACTAAATATCTTAATTCTCTTAAATTTGGAAAGTTTAAATGAAATAGGAATATGGTCAATTGTAACACATGTTATATTTGGAATTACACTTTCTCAGTAACGTACCGATTCTAGTACCTTAGTTGGATCATGGACCTTCCAGGATTTGAACCCACACCCTCAGTGTCAGGCAGCTAATCGCCAGCACACACAGTCAGCTGTCTAACCCACTTAGCCACCACAGCTTCCAGAAAACAATGGAAGTAGGACAACTGGTAGTCTAGACCACAGACTTTGTGTACCCTTCTGATAAGTGTAAATTGGTATTGCTCCCATAGTGTCTGACTGAGGTGTGAGTTCCAATCCTGGACGGGACCAACAAAATTTCTAGAATCTGTACTTTGATGTTGGATATAGTTTTTCTGAGAAAGTGTAATCCCAAATATAACATGTTACAAAATGAAATTGAGAATTGTTTGAGTTTGTTGATTTTATGTGAGAGTGTTTCCAAGGTTGATGTTGGATGTTGGATATAGTTTTTCCACGAGGTAGGATATCGGCACTGGTCACACTGTGAGAATTGATGTTGGATATAGTGTTTCCACGAGGTAGGATATCGGCACTGGTCACACTGTGAGAATTGATGTTGGATATAGTGTTTCCACGAGGTAGGATATCGGCACTGGTCATACTGTGAGAATTGATGTAGGTCATACAGGTCATGTAGGTCATTTCAGGATCCTTAAAAAGTTCACATGGACAAAACAATGTTGTGTGTCAAGGAATCTGCAGCTGTAACATACAAACATGGAACCCAAACAATCTCATTTCCAAAATATGGCCCTTATTCTCGAAACGTTCGTAGCCCTAAGAATTCTTAACTTTGATCGTACCCAATGTGTTAAGAATGTAATTATAATTTAAAAAGTAATTATAATATATAGATCTGGCTAGCTATTCTTGAAACGTTGGTAGCCCTACGAACTTTTTAAGCCCATTCTTAACACATTGCGTACGATCAAAGTTAAGAATTCTTAGGGCTACGAACGTTTTGAGAATAGCTAGCCAAATGGCCTTGATTGTTAGCGCTATGAGCATACCTAGTGTGGAGTTTGGCGCTATATAAATGGACACATTATTATTATTATTATCTATATATTACAATTACTTTTTAACAATGGTTTATCATCTTTCCAAACTATATTCCCATGTACACAGTATACAGATTGAGGCTGCACAATTAAAATGAATGGTGTTTCAAAGTAACAGGACATTGGGTCCTGTAAGCTTCAGATGTCTGTCTGACCCATTGAAAATTCACAGGACTCAAAGAATAAAATTAAACACACATATCAGATTTAACATTTCTTATAACTGGCATTGAAATTATTAACAAACATAAGATTTATAAACAGCAAACAAGTGTAACATGTCACATATAACAACTTCAGTCAAAGTCATTGTGAAATATACAGTCAGACACTGGGGCCGGTGGGTTGTAGACTTCTATCAGACCTTTGTCGAATCTGCCGGATTTTGTCAGAGGGTCAGACGCTATTCGTGAACACTGTCTTTATTCAGTGAAATATTGGTAATGACACGTCAGGGCTTGTTTTGGCCCCTTTATTTACTGAAACATTTGTAGCAATGAAAAGCAATCATAAAAGAATCCACATTTGCAAGCATATTTTTAAGATGATTCCACTCTTGCAAATATTAGAAATAGTTGTCACTTAACACAAGGAAAGAGAGTAATAAGTAGTTGATATAGTGCTTAGGAGATAAACATCATGTGTTGGCCAATTTCTGGGTGTTATCGAAGTATTTGAAGCACGGGAATTAATTTGGAACCAACGCCATTACCCGGAGCTTTCAAATGAAATATTCCTGTGCTTCAAATACTCAATAACACCCAGAAATTGACAAACACATGATGTTTATCGCCATTGTAAACACAAAGTAAACCAAAATGTCCTCACACGTTTTTGTGTTTGCACTCATGACATCCAGTACGTGTACAGCAGTGAAGTGTCATCTCCCATGGTAGCATCTGGAACTGCTCATTTGTGATGTCATTCGGACTTTACGTCACAGTATGATATGAATGACGTCACCACTGCTGACGAAGTAACAATACAATGGTGTGTGCGATGTTTGTACGTATTAATACGCAGCGAATGGCCTTGCAATTTCCGGGAATCAAATACCATTCGATCATGTTTTTCAACCAATCAGATTAAAGAACACGGTGACTTTTGGTTTACAATGAACTATCATACCATGGTAGGTAGTTGGAGGTGCTAGGTTTTTGCAGGTAAGAACATTACGATATGACAGTTACCATTTCCCTTTTCTCTTAACTACCAGCTGTTCAAGAAGCCAACACCATGCAGCCACTAGACACAATGAACATCTTGGTGCCGGAGGAGAAGAAGGAATCGGTGGTTGTCATGGAGACAGTGGTGGAGGAAGATGATAAGACGGAGGTGAAGCTGATGTTGTTCCCAAGTCAGATACAGAAGCTGACCTGTCTCATGGCTCTGCTGGCTCACCTGCGTGATCTGGTTCACAGACTGATGGAGCTGGCCGCTGTCCAGGCCCCCGCCACGACCTTTGACTGGAAGTGTCAGCTAATGTACAACTTTAAGGAGGACACTAAGGCTGTCACAATACAGGTACAGTTTAGCTAGTGTTTGAGTAACTGTCTCCGTCGTGCTGGCCAAGGTTGTAAGGATACAGGGTCCAGATCCGTAAAAACGTTTGTAGTGCTACAACATTTGTAAGCCTTTGATAAACTATAGAGTTACGATAGTTCGTAGTGTTACGAACGCTTTGTGGATCGGGACTCTGGGTCACTTCAACCAGTGCCCGAATAAACGGCTCATTTATATCATTTGAGGAACACGTACGAAATTTCATCAGTGTTCATCTGGGTAAGACCCGTGAAGATCTGTGTTAGAATTGATCTTCAGTATCCCATGTTTGTCGTAAGAGACGACTAATAGGATCGGGTGGTCAGGCTCACTGACTTGGTTGACACATGTCATCGTATCCCAGTTGTGTAGATCGATGTTCATGCTGTTGATCACTGAATTGTCTGGTCCAGACTCGATTATTTACAGACTGCCACCATATAGCTGGAATATTGCTGAAAACCAAATGGCATTAAACAACTAACAAGGCTATAGCTGATTGTCCATTGACCTTTATAACTAGGTCATGTTTCAGCTGATTATGTTATTTTGAGGATATTGCCATATGTAATATTGTCACACTTCTTCCATGTATGTTGAGGTGAGGTGAAATTGGGTTTAACGTCGTGCTTGAGAATATTTCGCTCATATGACGACGTGCATGCCTGTGAGTGTATGTGCGGCTGCTTGTACTAGCCCTGAAGCTGGTTTTATAGTGATAGCCCACTGAGATACCATGCCGCAGTGAAGCATGAATACCCCACTCAGACACATTATACTGACTCTGAGCCGACCAGTCCTTGTTGTACCCATTAATGCCGAGCGCCAGGCAGGGACCAACAAGTACCATATTTTAACGTCTTTTATGTATGTTGAGTATTATGTGCTTGAAGTAACCGCAGCTGTATTGCTGGCAGTGTATGGATGCTGCTTTTGAGTACGGCTTTGAGTACATCGGGGCCAGCAGCAGGGAAGTCATCACCCCCCTCACAGAACGAGTGTTTGTATCTCTCACTCAAGCCATCAAGTCTCATCACGGAGCGCTCTGTGTCGGACCTATCGTAAGTATGCTAGTGTTGAGCAACTTCATTCAACAAATGTGCAGTGTACAAGTTATGTCACTCAAAATATTGAATAGGATTCAGGCCTACCAAAGAAAACTTTCCCACTTGTGCTGAAAAACGCAGAAAAGCCCATATTAATCATGGAAATAGCAACATAAAGATAAAACCTCGCTAATGAAACAGTAAAAATGGCAACGAAAGACTATGAAACTGCATCATTTTTATATCAGCAAACTTTGACCTCTACTGCGCATGTATGCGTATGCATTATGCCCATTCACGATCAGCGCTACTTTCCAATTTCCGAGCAACCGTGAATCGCCTCGCGTAGAAAAAGTATTAAATATGTCGAAATAATTGCTGTCAATCATTTCATGCAAATCGAAAATAAACTAAACATGTGTACACACAAATATCATGATGATAAATGCCAAATAACACAACAGAAATACTTTAAAAAAGGGAATGTAACTTTTGTCAAGCTGGAAAATGTCAACATGCGGTCAAGACTTCCTCTTCCAAGTGCGCATGCGCAAAGTCGAAGTTACAGGCTCTTCTTTTTTTTATGCAGTTTTAGCGATTTAAAGTTGCCGTTTTTACTGTTTCAGTAGCGAGGTATTATGTTTATGTTGATATTTCCACGATTAATGTGGGCTTTTCTGCATTTTTCTACACAGTGGCAAAGTTTTCTTTGGTAGACCTGGGATTGCAGTGTAACAGAACTAGACTGGTCCCATCATTATCATTTTGATGATTATTATTATGGAACTTCTAAAATCATACACTGTGGACAAGATGAGTACCAGTGATTTATCTCAATGTATCTTGACAGTCATTCTCTTCCCACAGAGGTTACTTGTCATATCTTCCTACGAACCTCTGTTCTTATACGGCCATATTTCCCGGTTCTCGTAAAATCCCCTAGCGGCAAAGAGTCACAACAAGAATGATCTCCCTTCTTTCTATCCAATCAGAACACGTGTTACATCGACTTAGATCCAAAAATGGGGCCACAAACATCCCTCTTCTCTGCCGGGGACTTGTGTTGATGTGACACACACGACATTTAATGGCAAGCTTGTCCGTTGTCAATGAGGGCGATGGATACGCCATTGATCCGCATTTACATGACTGAGTTCTGTCTCGAAGAAACGTTTATCGATCGCGCAGGGGAAGAAGGTTCTAGTTTCAGCGCAGAAGCATTCTAGTTTTCGAACGAAATTACCAAGAGGCCGTGTGAATGATCACTTTTGAAACAACGCGGCTGATTGCACAACTAAATCTGATTGCAACCAATCACGAATCCTGAACACTCGCTCCATGAAAGGGCCGTATTAGAACAGAGGTTTGCAGAGGATATGCGAGTAACCTCTGTGGGAAGAGAATGCTTGACAGTAGGAACGACAGGACTTTATGGATGATAGACATTTCGGTATGGATATTTTTACCTTTTCCAAGCATGAGGTGGTGAATGGATACAGCAGCTCATGTATAATTATACTTGTTTCATTGTTAATTAATCATCTTGTTTATCATCTATTGTCTTTGTTAGCCCTCATGTACCCTATAATATATCAGTGTAGGAAAGATAGCCCGTGCGTCCGAGGCGGGTGAATTTTTGTGGAGGGCCGAGGTTAAAAATATCTAGTCCATCCTCATGTCGGGTCAATTTTATAAATGATATAATAACCTTTTGAATATTTACTGCTGTTTTATTTATATTTGGAGGACAGGCTAGATTTTGGCAGGACTGGTAAAAATTTGACCTGCCAGTCCTGTGGACAGGATAGATTTTCACATCTTTCCTACACTGAATATATACTGCTATATAAATTCACCACCTCATGCGTGAAAATCATGACTGAATATTTCTTGAAGACATTTTTGTTCATGATATATTAGTCATCATTATATATAAAGAAGCAAGTTGCTTCATTTCACAATACATGTGAAATTTGCAAATGCAATTTACGCAGTTTCTAAATAAAACAAAAAACAACAGAGAACCACGTTATACTTATCTCCAATAACAACTGAATAGGAAAATCTGAAAAATGACGCTAACCAATTTTTTCGATGATTGCTCGTTGGTAAGGAACCAATTATCAATTGTGAGATTTCAACCAATTCCTAACACTAGCCCCTGATAACTGCAGGCATTATAAGTTGGTAATTTTGTGTCAGATACAGGAGTAATCTGTACATCTCCTTGAGAATTATAGTTATGTACAGTACAGTATGCTTAACAAAATTTGGAGTATATTTTCATTATATTATCCCCCACCACAAGGTGGGAGGGGGTTACAGGTTTGAGCTCTCAGTCCCTCCAAGATGATGGGGACAGATTTTCTCAAAAACTGTTATAGATAGGGAAACCAAATTTGGTACCTGTTTTCAGGACATGAATGCCTTGATGGAGTTCGAAAATGGAAACCGAGTTATGGCCCTTGTCATGTGTTTCTTGACTTAGTGCTAATCACCCCCAATGACTGACTGAGTTTGGTTTTACGACGCTTTTAGCAATATTCCAGCAACATCACGGCGGGGGACACCCAAAATGGGCTTCACACATTGTACCCATTTGGGGATTTGAACCCGGGTCTTCGGCGTGACGAGCCAACGCTTTAACCACTAGGCTACCCCACTGCCCCTCACCCCCAATGGGACAGATTTTCTCTGAACACTGTAGCGGGAGATATTGATAACCATGTCTTGTTATTTACTAGAGACTGTTCTAGGATTGATCTGTGTTCCAAAATTCTTATTCTGTTTGTGTTTCAGGAAAGTGGGAAGTTTGAGATTGTGTCTGAGCTCAGTCGATGCCTGGGCCATGTCAAGTATGTGTTCAACTGTACCCCATCCGTGGACTACGCACAGCTACAAGATATCTTCCGAGGAATGGCTTCTACGGGTTAGTGAAGGCAACTAATTGGATAGTGTGGTTACCCTTGCTGATTGGTTAATGCATGTCACATGATTGAGTGAGTGAGTGAGTGTGTTTAGTTTTACGCCGCACTCAGCAATATTCCAGCTATATGGCGATGGTTTATAAATAATTGTGTCTGGGCCAGACAATCCAGTGATCAACAGCATGAGCATCGATCTACACAACTGTGATACAATGACATGTGTCTACCAAGTCAATGAGCCTGACCACCCGATCCCGTTAGTCGCCTTTTACGACAAACATGAATTAGTGAAGATCAATTCTAACCCGGATCTTTCACTGGTACATGTCACATGACAATGGGTAGATAGATGCTCAGTATATCAATCACTGGATTGTCTTCTCCACGCTTCAGTATCTACAGACCACCATCATATAACGGGAATGTTTTTGAATGTGGTGACCAGTCAGTGAAACAATGAGATTATTTCATTTACACTTTAATGCATCCTACGTTTGTTTCCACCAGGGGCATGGGTGTGTTTCAACAAGATCAACCTGATTGAACCTTCTGCACTGAGCGTCTTCTCCCAGCTCATGGCGGTGGTGATGGGAGCTCTGAGGGCCGGCAAGGCCGTCGTCCACCACCAGTCCGAGGACGTCCAGCTCAGTCCACATGGAGCTTGTTTTGGCTTTATGTCATCAGAAGTGCCTGTTCTACCCAGGGATCCAGACAAGATGTTGCTGTACACTTCCGCCGTTGCCACTCTACCAGACACCATCCTCAGACAGTTCCGAGTTGTCTCCGTGGCTAAGCCAGACCTGCGGCTAGCTCTAGAAGTCATGCTGTTCAGCCAAGGTAGGATATGAAGTTTCCATGATGGTTCTCAGCAGAGAACATAAGCCATTCAATAACTCCGTTGTTTGCTTGAGATCAGTGTTTTACCATTTATGTTCAGTGTAAATCAGAACAACGGGTACCATGGTTGATAGAACATTCATTTGTTGAGTGAGTGATTGAGTTTGGTTTTACGCCACTTTTAGCAAAATTCCAGCAATACCACAGCGGGGGACACCAGAAATGAGCTTTATCAACTGACGCTCACATGAAAATCTCTGGTTTTCAATCAAAGTTCCTTTCATTATTGTCCTAAAATATCTGACATGTATTAAATATGTTAATATTTTTTGGCATAATTGGTTCATGTCAATATTCTACTGATATCCACTTTAGAGACATGGATGATTGCTACAGTTCACACGTCTTCCCTTTTGTGACATTTTCCTGAATTCCAGGGTTCCTCCATGGACGGGAGCTAGCCCGTAAGACAACCCACCTCCACCACATGTGCTGCCAGATATTTGGAACCAATACTTTCATCAATGACAAGGCCACCATGGGTAGGTTCAATATGTCTGCATCACTAAGTCTGTATAATTGGTTCTACTGGTTTTCTTCACTTATGTCAGGTGCCTCCCCTTATTGCCTGCCTTGAGTCTGAAAGTTCTGTGGTAGAAACTGATGAGACAAAGTGCACTGGAACTTCTAGATCATTGACCAGATTAGTGTTGGGAATTGGTTGAAATCTCACAATTGATGATTGGTTCAATACCAACATCCAATCATCGAAAAAAATTGGTTAGCGTCATTTTTTTCAGATTTTCCTATTCAGGTTGTAGTTGCAGATAAGTATAAAGAAAAACATTTGGTTCTCTGTTGTTTTTTTAGAAACTGCACAAATTACAATTGCAGATTTCACATCCAGTGTAAAATGATTAAGTTCCAGTGTAACATTAACTTCCCAGATTCTTCAAGAAATATTCAGTCATGACTTTTCAGAAAGTGAAGTGAGTTTTCTTAGAAATAAACACGTTTTCCGGCCCTGACAACGTCCTAGATATGTTCCATCATCAAGTATTTCAAACTCTATTACAGCGGTTCCAAAATCGTTTGTGTTCGATTATGAGAAAATGTGATCGATTGCTTGGTCGTTTGGCCACTGAGACCAACCTTAATTATTTCAATTAATCGGACCACCACTAGTCCAGATACACTAGAATTTTAATACATTGCAGGCAACTATGCTAGAACTTAACCATGTTAAAGGCAGATTGCAATAAAAACTGTCTATGGTCTTGACAAACTGCTCTAAAAAGTAACTACAATTAGGGCTGGCTAAAATGATTGATGATCAGAAATATTGTTGATAGGAAAAATTAATAATAACTTTTGTGACTGAAAACAGTTATATTTTGCTCACACAATATACAAATTTAGGACTGCATTCATGGTCTGCTTCTAAATTATGTTCAGGACGCTGTTTCGTTAATAATCCATGCAAAAAACATGTCACCAGTGATATGAAATATATTCATTTCTTTCAGACATTTTTGGCATTTTTGCTCAAAGTTAAACCTCGATTTTATTTGTCGATAATCAATCAATATTTTGTTTACTATCATCTCTATAATCTATATTGATAGCCAGCCCTATCTACAATGTAGGCAAAGTACAGTAGAAGCTAACTACTTACTTTTGGCAAACTGCACTAGAAACTAACCACATTGTTGGCCATCTAACTGTATTTTATGTAAACTGTGTTAGAAACAGGAAAACTGCACCAGACACTAAGTACATTTTAAAGAAATTGTTCTGGAAAGTAACTACCTTGTAGGCCAACTGCACTAGAAGCTATCTCCTTTTGACATTTTAAGGAAATTGTTCAGGAAAGTAACTACCTTGTAGGCCAACTGCACTAGAAGCTATCTCCTTTTGACATTTTAAAGACATTGTTCTGGAAAGTAACTACCTTGTAGGCCAACTGCACTAGAAGCTATCACCTTTTGACATTTTAAAGAAATTGTTCTGGAAAGTAACTACACTGTAGGCCAACTGCACTAGAAGCTATCACCTTTTGGCATTTTAAAGAAATTGTTCTGGAAAGTAACTACACTTGTAGGCCAACTGCACTAGAAGCTATCTCCTTTTGGCATTTTAAAGAAATTGTTCTGGAAAGTAACTACACTGTAGGCCAACTGCACTAGAAGCTATCACCTTTTGGCATTTTAAAGAAATTGTTCTGGAAAGTAACTACACTGTAGGCCAACTTCTGCACTAGAAGCTATCATCTTTGGCATTTTAAAGAAATTGTTCTGGAAAGTAACTACACTTTGTTCTGGAAAGTAGAATCGGCCAACTGCACTAGAAGCTATCACCTTTTGGCATCACCTTTGTTCTGGGCATTTTAAAGAAATTGTTCTGGAAAGTAACTACACTGTAGGCCAACTGCACTAGAAGCTATCACCTTTTGGCATTTTAAAGAAATTGTTCTGGAAAGTAACTACACTGTAGGCCAACTGCACTAGAAGCTATCACCTTTTGGCATTTTAAAGAAATTGTTCTGGAAAGTAACTACACTGTAGGCCAACTGCACTAGAAGCTATCACCTTTTGGCATTTTAAAGAAATTGTTCTGGAAAGTAACTACACTGTAGGCCAACTGCACTAGAAGCTATCACCTTTGGCATTTTAAAGAAATTGTTCTGGAAAGTAACTACACTGTAGGCCAACTGCACTAGAAGCTATCACCTTTGGCATTTTAAAGAAATTGTTCTGGAAAGTAACTACACTGTAGGCCAACTGCACTAGAAGCTATCACCTTTTGGCATTTTAAAGAAATTGTTCTGGAAAGTAACTACACTGTAGGCCAACTGCACTAGAAGCTATCACCTTTTGGCATTTTAAAGAAATTGTTCTGGAAAGTAACTACACTGTAGGCCAACTGCACTAGAAGCTATCACCTTTTGGCATTTTAAAGAAATTGTTCTGGAAAGTAACTACACTGTGGGGGCCAACTGCACTAGAAGCTATCATCACCTTGGCATTTTAAAGAAATTGTTCTGGAAAGTAATTCTACACTGTAGGCCAACTGCACTAGAATCTATCACCTTTTGGCATTTTAAAGAAATTGTTCTGGAAAGTAACTACACTGTAGGCCAACTGCACTAGAAGCTATCACCTTTTGGCATTTTAAAGAAATTGTTCTGGAAAGTAATAACTACACTGTAGGCCAACTGCACTAGAAGCTATCACCTTTGGCATTTTAAAGAAATGTTCTGGAAAGTAACTACACTGTAGGCCAACTGCACTAGAAGCTATCACCTTTGGCATTTTAAAGAAATTGTTCTGGAAAGTAACTACACTGTAGGCCAACTGCACTAGAAGCTATCACCTTTGGCATTTTAAAGAAATTGTTCTGGAAAGTAACTACACTGTGGGCCAACTGCACTAGAAGCTATCACCTTTTGGCATTTTAAAGAAATTGTTCTTTTGGCAAAAAATTGTAACTACACTGTAGGCCAACTGCACTAGAAGCTATCACCTTTTGGCATTTTAAAGAAATTGTTCTGGAAAGTAACTACACTGTAGGCCAACTGCACTAGAAGCTATCACCTTTTGGCATTTTAAAGAAATTGTTCTGGAAAGTAACTACACTGTAGGCCAACTGCACTAGAAGCTATCACCTTTTGGCATTTTAAAGAAATTGTTCTGGAAAGTAACTACACTGTAGGCCAACTGCACTAGAAGCTATCACCTTTTGGCATTTTAAAGAAATTGTTCTGGAAAGTAACTACACTGTAGGCCAACTGCACTAGAAGCTATCTCCTTTTGGCATTTTAAAGAAATTGTTCTGGAAAGTAACTACACTGTAGGCCAACTGCACTAGAAGCTATCACCTTTGGCATTTTAAAGAAATTGTTCTGGGAAAGTAACTACACTGTGGGCCAACTGCACTAGAAGCTATCTCCTTTTGGCATTTTAAAGAAATTGTTCTGGAAAGTAACTACACTGCAGGCCAACTGCACTAGAAGCTATCACCTTTTGGCATTTTAAAGAAATTGCTCTGGAAAGTAACTACCTTGTAGGCCAACTGCACTAGAAGCTATCACCTTTTGGCATTTTAAAGAAACTGTTCTGGAAAGTAACTACACTGTAGGCCAACTGCACTACTTGATGTATTTGTCCTGGGTGCTGCAGGTTCGGACCGTAGTGCCAGTTTCCATGGCTGGAGTCTCCACACGATGAAAGGGGTGACCGCCGAGGCTGGAGCATTCCTGGAGAAGACAGGCCAGCAGACAGACAGCCAGTCACAAGGTCAGTCTTCTCATACCAAATGCTTCTTGAGGAACGGGCCCGTGAAGATCGTGGTTAGAACTGATCTTCAGTAACCCATGCTTGTCGTAAGAGGCGACTAACAGGATCGAGTGGCTCACTGATTGTCATCCTATCCCAGTTGTGAAGATCGATGCTTATGTTGTTGATCACTGGATTGTCTGGTCCAGACTCGATTATTTACAAACTGCCACCATATAGCTGGAATATTGCTGAGTGAAATTAAACTCGCTCACTCACACACTTTTGTTGTTGATTTCTGTCTTATTATAAAAAAATTACTTTACATTACTGTAAACGTACTTATTTTTCGCGGTGGGTGCAATTTTCATTGACAGTTTAGACTATCAAATTATTGCTCAGTAATTGCCGAAACTGCCAGCTGTCTCTTTGATAAAAAACAAACACATTATATCAATATTGCTTTTGGGGGATAAATTGTCACACATATTGGCATGATTTAAAGTGTGTAATGTACAGTAATTGTACACTGTGAGAGCTAGTGTATATGGTTGGACAGGTTTTGGTGATACCTTCCGGAGAGACGGCCTGGAGAAGCACGAGCATGAGACCCAAGAGAAAGGTAGGACTGACGTTCTGTTATCATGGGCTGCATTCTCTTCCCACAGAGGTTACTTGTCATATCTTCCTATCAACCTCTGTTCTAATACAGCCATATTTCCCGGTTCTCGTAAAATCCCCTAGTGGCAAAAAATCACAACGCGAACTATCTCCCTTCTTTCTATCCAATCAGAACACGTGTTACTTCGACTTAGATCCAACTTGACTAATACAAACAAATGTGGGGCTACAAATATCCCTCCTCTGCCGTGGACTTGTGTTGATGTGACACACAAGGCATTTAATGTCTAGCTTGTCCGCTGTCATCGAGGGCGACTGGAGTTCTGTCTGATCTGCCATTACATGACTGGGGGAGTTCTAGTCTAAAAATTACTGTTTATGAATGAACACTTTTGAAACAACGCGGGATTGATTGTACAACTAAATCTGATTGCAACCAATCAGAATTTTAACAAGAACCGAAAAGGGTCAGATTAGAACAGAGGTTCAAAGGAAGATATGAAAAGTAACCTCTGTGGGAAGAGAATGCATGGACTGGGGTTTAAAGATTAATTTTAATAAAATTTGAAGAAATATTAAAATCTCAAAAATATAATTTTCAAACATCTACAAACCTACAAATAAAATGTCTACCCTCACTAACCGGATACAGATTTATGTTCAGTTATCTACCTTGGCGAAAAAAGAATCTATTTTTAGAACCAGAAATATTCAAATGCCTCAAATGATTTTTGAGGAGGTATTTTGTCATCTTGTAATTAAGTCTTGTTTGGCCAAAGGTCTTTCAAACATGTGTGAAGTAGATGCAGTAATAAAAGCATCCTTAGCATCAGTTTTCATAAATTCGTTTAAATTCAGTCAGTCATGAAGAGGCCTAAACAAGTTTAAATGAATAGATTATTTAAATGTTTGTCTTTTATTCAGTTCTTCCTTTGCAGCCATAGAATTGAAAGTTTCTTATTAAAGTTCAGTAACTGACAGTGTTTCAGTGGTTCTGGCTGTTGTGTAGTAGATGCTGATTGTATTTGTGGTTATTTACTTGAATATTACTGAGAAAATATATTCTACATACCTCGACTCATGGGGGTCATGGGGTCCCAGGGACCCGCTAATCATTAGTTTTAAGGGTGCTTACAGGCAATACAAGGGTCCTGTGATGTAACTGGAGTGTAGAAAACTGTATGTTTTCATAATTTCTTTAGAGCCTGGAATGAATTTAATTGATCATGTGGACTGATGGATGAAATGATGTAGATAATTTCTTTAGAGCTCTGGAAACACATTAGCAAAGTCTTAGATGTGTGATATGGGTACAGCTCTGAAACATAAAAGTCTTAGATGTGTTGTGGGTACAGTGAATAATATCAGGTTAAAGCCTAGTGGTTAAAGCGCTTTCACGCGCCCGTCCTGGGTTCAAATACCCGGATGGGTACAATGTGTGAAACCCATTTCTGGTGTCCCCCGCCGTGATGTTGCTGGAATATTGCTAAAAGCGGCGTAAAATCAAACTCAGTCAGTCAGAATAATATCATGTGTACCTCTGGACTCAGTGAAATTTGTTTTCTACATTTGTGTGTACTAGCCGCACAATTGCGAGGCACATAAAACCCTGCCCCTGTTTCTGAAAACTGTCTGTTTAACAATATACGTTGTAAAAGAGTTGGCGGGTACAGATTGGGTGTCACAATGACCATCTGTAGTTTCAATCTGCATCATGTAGGAAATACAGTATTTGCTGTAATAGAATGGCAGTGTAACACTCTTAATGTCCAAGATGGAGTTTGGCAGCTTGACTCCTGAGTGTTTCTAGGACTTCTGTCTTGCTCCACAATGAAGCACGTTTACATGTGGTCTCACCTTACGCAAGTGAGTTTGTTCAAAACTGCCTCTGTTCACTCAGCAGAAAATGGGTACCTGGTGGGATAAGTCTTATGACAACTAACCTTCATCTGCCTGGCAGGCAGCTTGGTTTATCCAGGGTTAAATGTCCATTATGTTCTATGCACTTAGAGCATGTCCCTGTGGCGTGGATTTCAGTGCTATGTAAGTGTCCATGCTATTATTATTATCATTAGTACTATTGTGATGCTGTACAGGTGTGGAGCCAGTGATCCTGAACAGCAGCAGCAGCCAGCTGGATGAGAAGAGGCAGCTGGAGGAGGAAGCTCTGGTGACGGCGCTCCGTAACACCTTCATGCCTCGCATGCAGACCCGCGACGCCAGTGTTCTTGCCACCCTGCTGTCCGACCTGTGGCCTGATGTCAACATCCCCATGATGTTCGGCGGAGACTCACAGGTGTTCCAGCAGAACAATGACTCCCTCTTCACCCTCCGCTCTGATCTCCGTCTCCGCACAGCACGCAGTCACGACTCACAGAAGTCTCTCAAAGGTATTGTTTGTCTAACTATTTGACATCTCTTGTCCCTTAAAGGCCACAGTTTGTTAATGTGTACAGACCTGGGTGCCATTGTACAAAACAACCTTAGCGGTATGCCAGTCGTAAGTCTAAGGTATGTGACTTACGATCACCTTAGCCCAAAGATCACTTTGTACAACAGCAATCTGAACACGTGCATGAACACAGTAACTGAAGATGCACCATTTTTAAATGTTTCAGTATTTTCAAAGTCACTCTCATGTGAACTAAAAAACTGTCTCTGCTATATCGCTGACACCTAATTTCTTTAACATTTACCCCTAAAACACAAACACGGTGACTGATGGTTCTGTGCATAGAGCTCAGATCACAAATCAGTTGAACCACTGTTGGACGCTGAGAGTCCTTGGATGGGTGACTGTTTGGCAGCTTGACTTCTGAGAGTTTTTTGGACTTCAGTCCAGGGCCTAGATTTCCGCTAATATAGTTATAAGTTAATGTTAATGAATGGCACTTACAACTATCTTAGCGCTAAGAGAGCTTCGAAAATCTAGGCCCTGGAAGGTGACTATTAACCTTCTAGCGCCTAACAGGCAGCTTGGGTTATCCGGGTAATAATAATCAGATTGTGTGTTAGCGCTTTGAGCATGTGCCTTATACATGGAAAAGGTGCATTATAAATTCACAATTAATGTTCTGCCAAATCACATTGTGAATGAGTGTGTGCTGACAACTAACTAACAAACAACTTGTATGCTATGTGCTGACCTACACACCTGTTTCGGGGAGATAGATCACAATCAGGGTGAGTCTGTTGGTTCCAGGTTCATGTGCATACCACTGCATGAAGTTCAGCATCTTTTAACAAGATGTTTTAGTTTCACACAGTTTGTTTCTTTTTCTGCATGCATGTCTTTATTTATTCATTTGTATGTTTATCCTACTCTAATATTGATTTGATATTATTTGTTGTTGACATTCTATACACTTACTGTAAATACACTCCCATGAAGATCCGGATTAAGATTGATCTTCAGCAACCCATACTTGTAAGGGGTGACTAACGGGATCGTATGGTCTGGCTTGCTGACATGGTTGACACATGTTATCACATCCAAACTGCATAGATCGTGCTGTTAATCACTGGATTGGCTGGTCCAGACTCGTTTATTTACAGACCGTCGCCATGGAGCTGGAATATTGCGTGGCATTAAACAACAAGCCAAAAACTGTTAATACAAAAGAGATAGTTAAGCATTTGCTGGTCATGCAAAAAGTCTGGGTTTGAATCTTAGCAAATTTCATATCGTAGTGCACACATATATTTACAGTATTTTCACATGAGGGATATCAAATTAAAACCTTCCCTCCTGTTCTCCAAATTCATCAACCCAAGTCACTTATTTCCTTCATCATTAGCTGACAAACCGTTGTTCAAAACAGTGTTAAACCTCACTCTCACTCGCCCTTAAAACACGGGTTAAAATAATGATCTTCATTAACCCGAATAAAAAAGTTGTTTAACAAACGATCATTATTTTGTTGTCAGTTACTGCTATTTCTTACGAGGGGGACCACTTGCTGGTAGAACAGCCAGGTGTGCGAGTTGTACGTGTGAAATTGAGATTTCACTGCACACGCTTGTTGATTACCTGACTGTCCTACCAGCAAGTGTTCCTCCCTCGTAAGAAACAGCGTTGCCACAGCGAAAAGCGACAACAAAATAATGATCGTTTGTTAAACAACTTTTTTATTTGGGTGTCCAAAATTATGAGACAAATCATCAGAGTTGTTCTGTTGATTTCACGTGACTGCAAAGTTTGATTTTGTTGCATGTATGAGATTTTGTGTTAGTGAGCAATTCATCGGTCTCAAATGAAGTGAAACGGACTATAAGTGATCTGGCACTATGAAACAGCATTAACCCATACAAGTAAACTCTACCATGCACACATGTTGCTGTGCAAGTGCAGTAGTCTTGAATACAGTGTCAAACCCTGTCCACTTCACCTAATATCTGACAAACAAAACGTCAAAACTGAAACTTTGTTTCACCCAGAAATATCAGTTCCACTTTGATTCATGCTCGTCTTGTTGTGTTGTCAGATTCACTGAACTTGAACACTCCCGTGGTGACCCTCGCCCACGCTGACCGGTTCAGTGCTTTGTTAGATCAAGATGCCAAGGAGGCGATGGACAACATGCAGGATGCCATCGCCGTGGCAACAGAAGACCTTGGTCTCCTTCCTGGTGCGGCATTCCAGGCAAGAGTTGTCCAGCTGGCTCAACTCAACGCTGCCCATCAGACGGTCAGTAGTTCTCCAGTGTTCCTGTGACAAAGTAGATCAAATTTCATGGAAAATGTTCTCCGTGTGGGTCCTTGTAGATTTACTGATTTGTCTGAATAATTAGAATATGTAAACCAACTCGACCATCTAGAGGTGGTGTATGGTTTTGTGCACAAATCAGGTGATGTTAAACAATGTTGGGCGAGGAGAGTCCTTGGATGGGTGACAGTGTTTGGCAGCTTGACTCCTGCAAATTTCTAGGACTTCGGTCCTAAATAATGTTTCTGTCACAGTGTGAATTGTGTCTGTTCCTGTTTGAACAATGCAAATAATGTTCCTGTTCCATGTTTTTGTCAATGTTTTAAAATGCAAGTAATATTCCTGTCACTCTTTGAGCAAAACAAATAATGCTTTAGAGCTGTTTGAACAGTTCAAATAATCTGTCCATGTATGAACATTCATTGCAAATAATGTTCTTGTCCCTGTATGAACATAGCACATAATAATGTTCCTGTTCCTGTAAGGGGCGGTGGGGTAGCCTAGTGGTTAAAGCGTTGGCTCGTCACGCCTAAGACCCGGGTTCGAATCCCCACATGGGTACAATGTGTGAAGCCCATTTCTGGTGTCCCCTGCCGTGATGTTGCTGGAATATTGCTAAAAGCGGCGTAAAACCAAACTCAGTCAGTCAGTCTGAGTCCTGTTCCTGTATAAACATTCAAATAATGTTCCTGTCCTTGTATTAAAAAAGCTCAAATAATGTTCCTGTCTCTGTATTAACATTGTAAGTAATTTTGTTCCGGGTCCCTGTATAAACAGCTCAAATAATGTTCCTGGTCCCTGTATTAACAGCTCAAATAATGTTCCTGTTCCTGTATGAACATAGGATTTAAATAATGTTCCTGTTCTTGTATGAACTTCTCACATAATGTTCCTGTCTCTGTACGAACGTAGAAAGTAATAGTGTTCCTGTTCCTGTATGAACATCTCAAATATAATGTTCCTGTCTCTGTACAAACGTAGCTAGTAATAATGTTCCTGTTCCTGTATGAACATAGCAACTAATAATGTTCCTGTTCCTGTATGAACTTCTCAAATAATGTTCCTGTTCATTTATGAACATTGCAAATAATAATGTTCCTGGTCCCTGCATAAACAGCTCAAATAATGTTCCCTGTGTAAGCAAAATAATGTTCCTAGCAACTTCTACTGGACACAAGAACATTTCCAAATGAATCATGTTGTCAAAGTCCGTTGCTATAGCGTCCATCAACTCACTGAACTCCCCAACCTTTGTGTTCCAGATAATCGTTGCTGGTCCTCCTGGATGTGGCAAGAGTGAGTGTATCAAGACGTTTGCGGTGGCCGAGAGGGAGCTGGGGAAGATGATCAGTATTCAGACAGTGTTCACCAAGGCCGTAGAGTCCGAGGAACTCATGGGCTACCTCCACCCCAAGACCAGGTCAGTATAGACAGCAACACCCACACTCATATAGGCCAAGTCTTCAGAACTGCAGGGTGCGGTGGGGTAGCCTAATGGTTAAAGCGTTGGCTCGTCACGCCGAAGACCCGGGTTCGAATCCTCACATGGGTACAATGTGTGAAGCCCATTTCTGGTGTCCCCCGCCGTGATGTTGCTGGAATATTGCTAAAAGCGGCATAAAACCAAACTCTGGACTACTGCAGTTAACCCCCTGTCCAAAACCTGTGGGTTTGTTGGCTTTACAAACATGGCTCTAACATGGCATCATTCTAAAAATTTCGGACAGTTTTACCTGAGCTGCTCGACTGAATAAATTATGCAAGGGGACAAAAGACTATTGTCACTAAATTCTACTGTATCACATGAAATTGTGCTGAAATTGTGCAAGTTTTGTTTTTATACTAATTCTATGTGGTTACACTTAGGACTGGTGACTAGAATCACAGACTAAATCTTTTCTGACAGATTTAGAAATTATAGGTCATGAAATTAGAATTTGATAAAGATATACTGATTGTTAGATGTTGATCTTGAACCTGTGAGTTTTTCCAGGGAGTGGAAGGAAGGACTACTGACGACACTGCTGAGGAAATTCTGTATCCAACCTGCATCAGTGAACTATGATGTCCACTGCAAACCTACCATGAAGATTATGCAACTCGATGGACAGGTAATGATACCAACAATAATGATAATAATGATATGAAATGTGCCTTTTAACATAAATAGAGGATATTATATGAGTGCCCATCTCATAATATGTTTACGACACGAGTGCCTAAATGTTGGTATTTCCCAAGCGAGAGCGAGGGATATACCGATATTTAGGCACGAGTGTAGTAAACATAATGTGATATTGGCACGAATATAATATTCTCTTTATTACCGAAGTCATCAAATTGAGGAAAATAAACCCAAATCTACTTTTAAGCATAGGCTGGATACCCGCATGAGAACACAACGTCATAGAAGAAATGTGATGTCATAACATTGTTCATGAGATCACGTCACCATGACAAAGTGATATTTTGCCCCAGGGCATGGTATGAAAATTATGAACCCCGATATGTTTGCCCTCGTAGGTAATAATATTTATTAAGTTCCAAATATGCACCTAAATCATGACCAGAGCATTATATTACTGCTCTGGTAAAAAAACATCGTTCATGTGCTTAGGTTTCATTCACAGCTTCCAATGAATTAAATAAACCAATTGGTGATAACTAACTTTAATCTGAGAGTTTAACACTGTGCTATGACTTGAAAACTGATTGCAAGAACCAAAGCATGTTTTTGCCTCTACTTTAAAAACACACAGCCCATGCAGAGCACCTGCTAATGAATGTCAAGGGTTCTTGCAGGAAATATGAGGGTGCTGTAATGTAATGAATCTGGACTGCAAAATTTGATAATTATTATTGTGGGACTTCTATACTCGCTGTCCAGAATTTGGTAAAACTGAATGTCTGTGTTTAGATTTGGTATTACATGTTGTGTGTTTCACCAGACGGACCCATCCCAGATGGAGATTCTACAGAACTGCCTCATACACAACGGATCCGTAGTGCTGGCCAACAATGAGAGGATTGTCATTCCAGACACAATGAGGTTCATCTGGGAGGTAGGTTCTGGCAATGAGAGGATTGTCATTCAAGACATGCTGAGGTTCATCTGGGAGGTAGGTACAGACAATGAGTTGATTGCCATTACAGACACACTGAGCTTCATCTGGGAGGTAGGTTCTGGCAATGAGATTATTGTCATTCCATACACACTGAGGTTCATCTTGGAGGTAGGTTCTGGCAATGAGAGGATTGTCATTCCAGACACGCTGAGGTTCATCTTGGAGGTAGGTTCTGGCAATGAGAGGATTGTCATTCCAGACACACTGAGGTTCATCTTGGAGGTAGGTTCTGGCAATGAGAGGATTGTCATTCCAGACACACTGAGGTTCATCTGGAGAGGTAGGTTCAGACAATGAGAGGATTGTCATTCCAGACACACTGAGGTTCATCTTGGAGGTAGGTTCTAGCAATGAGAGGATTGTCATTCCAAACACACTGAGGTTCATCTTGGAGGTAGGTTCTGGCAATGAGATTATTGTCATTCCAGACACACTGAGGTTCATCTCGGAGGTAGGTTCTGGCAATGAGAGGATTGTCATTCCAGACACACTGAGGTTCATCTTGGAGGTAGGTTCTGGCAATGAGAGGATTGTCATTCCAGACACACTGAGGTTCATCTTGGAGGTAGGTTCTGGCAATGAGAGGATTGTCATTCCAGACACACTGAGGTTCATCTTGGAGGTAGGTTCTGGCAATGAGAGGATTGTCATTCCAGACACACTGAGGTTCATCTTGGAGGTAGGTTCTGGCAATGAGATTATTGTCATTCCAGGCACACTGAGGTTCATCTTGGAGGTAGGTTCTGGCAATGAGAGGATTGTCATTCCAAACACACTGAGGTTCATCTTGGAGGTAGGTTCTGGCAATGAGATTATTGTCATTCCAGACACACTGAGGTTCATCTTGGAGGTAGGTTCTGGCAATGAGAGGATTGTCATTCCTAATGTCATAGTCATATTATATATAATTTTAATGCTGTCCATCATTTACAGTTTAACAATGGGACACATATTTAACATTCTCTGTTGACAGTATTGCTGAAATACTACTAATGTTGTTTTCAGTTTGAACTTGTTCATTCACTGATGCTGTTGATAGACTGTCTCACAATCTGTGGTTACAGCACGCAAGATGTACAGTTAGACTCGTACACTTGACCCAAGCAGAGACCATTTTACATCTTTAATTTATAATGCCTCTGAGTTTGTAAGTGGATGTTTTTTTGTTTTTTTTCGTGTAATTTGGACCTATGAAGATCCGGGTTAGAATTCAGCAACCCATGCTTGTCGTAACAGGTGACTAACATGATCAGGTGGTCAGGCTGATTTGGTTGTATCCCAGTTGTGTAGGTCGATGCTCATGCTGTTGATCACTGGATTGTCTGGTCCAGGCTTGATTAGAGAATTAGGCAAGTCTAACCTACTGACCCGTGAAGATCTGGGGTAGAATAGGTCTTCAGCAACCCATGCTTGTCACAGAAGGCGTCACTATGCTTGTCGTAAGAGGCGACTAACAGGGTCGGGTGGTCAGGCTCGCTGACTTGGTTGACACATGTCATCGGTTCCCAATTGCGCAGATCGATGTTCATGATGATGATCACTGGATTGTCTGGTCCAGACTCGATTATTTACAGACTGACGCCATATAGCTGGAATATTGCTGAGTGCGGCATAAAACTAAACTCACTCACTCACTCCAGGCTTGATCGTCTACAGGCCGCCGCCATATAGCTAAAATATACTCATACCAATAATGGTTGTCACCCCCATCAATATTTTTATTGGAGAGGGGTGGGGGTGGGGGGGGTGGAGCGGGGGAGTGTGACAACCATTATTGGCATGCGTATAATATTATTGAATAACTGTAAATAGTTAATCCAATGGAGTTGGTTGGTTTGTTGTTTAACACCGCACTCAGCAATATTTCAGCTGTATGGTGATGGTCTGTAAATAATCTAGTAAGGACCAGACGTTCAAGTCTGGATACAACAGCATGGGATACAATGACATGTGTCAACCAAGTCAGTGAGCCTGATCACCCAATCCCGTTAGTCTCCTCTTACGACAAGCATGGGTTACTGAAGACCAATTCTAACCCGGATCTTCACGGGTCTAATCCAGTGGAGACCAGTATAGGTCTTGAAATCTTCCTGTCTTTATCTGTAGTCAGACAGATTACACAGAGTTACCTCCCTTCCCTTGTAGGGAATCTCTAGTCAACAAAGGTTGACTAGTTGTTCTTGTCTGGTGCTATTGTGTTTTTTGAGAGTTTAAAAAATGTTTGACATGTTAATATGGCAGATTGCTTTATCATGTCTCTTACTCACTATAGAGGCATTTAGTTAAAACAATAAAGACATTGTTGTTTTAATTTTCAATTGTAATCTGTCAATGACGTAAGTTTATCAAAACTGTAGTCAGACAGATTACACAGAGTTACCTCCCTTCCCTTGTAGGGAATCTCTAGTCAACGAAGGTTGACTAGTTGTTCTTGTCTGGTGCTAAATTTTAATGAGTTGAATTACATCTGTTTATCTCAGTTATTACTGTATTCAAATGGGCCTAATTCTGTATGTTTATGTATGGCGGTACGTAGCATTGGATTGTGAACATACAGGCATTTAGTTAAAACAATAAAGACATTGTAGTTTTAATTTTCAATTGTAATCTGTCAATGACGTAAGTTTACCAAAAATTGAGTTTGTACCAGTGGATGATTTTTCTCAAATAACCAAACTATGTTCACTTACAGCAAGAGTCTCTGGAACATCTGAGCCCCTCTGTCCTGGCCAATGTTGGAGTAGTGTGCATGAACACATCTGATGTAGGCTGGAAGCTGATGCTGGTACAGTGGCTGGAGCATCGGTCCGAAGCTGACCGAGACCTGCTGTCCAGTCTGTGTAACAGCTATATAGAGAAGGTGCTGATGTTCTTGACAGAGTGTACACAGCCCCCAATGTTTGGCCAGAAGAAGACCACTGGTCATCTGACCTACAAAGAGAGTCATACAACACACGCCTGAGAACATGGTGCACACTTTCTGCAACCTGCTGGAGGTAGGTCTCTACTGATAGTACACCGCAGGACACCTGGTACACGTTGGTTTAAGAAAGCCTTCAAACATACATAGTGTGGCTAAGAAAAGGCCTTGAATTGAGAGTTTGCTTTTTAAGGCCTTGAGTTAGTGAGTTTGCTTTTATGGCGCTTTTAGATATATTTCATCAATACCAATGGGACTTCAGAAATGGGCTTCACACTTTGTACCCATGTGGGGTAGTTTGCCTAGATTATGCCGCTTTAGAGCTAAGATATATAAGTTTCTGTTAATGTATGGTACTACCTATCTTATGCTACTTGGGTATCAAACCCAGGATCTTTGGCATGATGCACAAACACTTTCAGGGATTGGGAAGAAGAACTTTGACAATGGGCCATTTTCAGGATTGTTAGCCATTTTCTGAATTTAGAATGGGCCACTGCCCTTGTATTAATAGTAAACTTCAAAATTTTAATGGGCCATTTTTTATTCTAATGTGCAAAATGGCCCATGGCCCCTGCCTTTCCCAATCCCTGCACTTTAACCATCGGGCTATCCACCACCCCTGAAGGCCCTGAAACTGGATAACGTGATTTGAAATGTCTTCAATTCAAATTCTGCTTTTAAAGGGCTTGAAAATGTTTTAAGTGACCCGAAAAGACTTCTAATTTATTTTCTGATATCAACCCACTGGCATCCAGGAGGTTAAAGGCCTTGAAACTGGATAATGTTTGCTGGTGAAGCCTTGAGTATAATAAAAAGCCATGAGAACAGATCTTGTTGCTTAATGAAATGACTTGCGATTCTGTTTTATCAAAATTCATAGTGTAGGCCATGTATTTGAATCTATGAATCAAGGATAACGTGTTTGTTTCAGTCTCTAGTGAATCCCTACCCTGACCTGAGTGACGTGGAGTATGAACGCTACTTCAACTTTGCCTGTGTGTGGTCATTTGGAGGAACACTGTCCCTAGAACACAGAGAGTCTTTCAGCCAGTGGTGGAAGGAACAGTTCGAGACGTACATTGACTACCCAGAAGATGGCACAGTGAGTACAATCTTCAGGACAGAGTGATGAGTTGGGCCTGCTGATTCCAGGGTAGAGCAGACCTTCACTCAAATTAGGAACAAGTGATTTTGTAACCTGCTGGTGTCTGCCTTATACTATTGGGAACTTTAAATGCTATTGGGAACTTTAAATGCTACTAGGAACTTTAAGTGGCATCTAAAAGCTGGCATCATGAAGAGCAACAAATTTTTGGATTGACAAATAGATGCAATGTTTCGATGTTGATGCTAACACCACCACTGGAGATGGAAGGTCGCGGGTTCGATCCCCGGCCACGTCATACCAACTGACGTTAAAATATGGTACTTGTTGGACCTTGCCTGGCGCGCTCTGCATTAATGGGTACAACAAGGACTGGTCGGCTTGGAGTCAGTATAATGTGTCTGAGTGGGGTATTAATGTTTAACTGCGGCATGGTACCTCAGTGAGCTAGCACTTTAACACCAGCTTACGTCTGGGCTAGTACAAGCAGCCTCACATACACACGCAGGCACGTCGTCATATGTGTGAAATGTTCTCAAGTACGACATTAAACCCCATCTCACCTCACCTCACCTCACCTCACCTCACCTCACCTCACACCACCTCACCTCACACCACCGCTTGCTTGATAATGGTGTTGGGATTTACACGGAATGTCGCATCTTTTGCAATAAAGAAGTTGTCAACTCATACAATTTGTTTCTCTGCTATTGGGAATATCATATCTTTATTACACATTTGGCTTTCACCTGATGAAGGAGTAAGAATACAATGTTCACGAATAGCGTCTGACCCTCTGACAAATCCGGCAGATTCGCCAACGGTCAGACAGAAGTCTACAACCCGCCGACCCAAGCGTCTGACTGTATATTTCACAATGACTTTGACTGAAGTTGTTTTATGTGACATGTGACACTTGTTTGCTGTTTATAAATCTTACGTGTGTTAATAATTTCAATGCCAATCATAAGAAATGTTAAATCTGAAATGTGTGTTTAATTTTATTCTATGGGTCCTGTGAATTTTCAGTGGGTCAGACAGACATCTGAAACTTACAGGACCCAATGTCCTGTTACTTTGAAACACCATTTGTGAACACTGAGAATATACTCCAAAACTTTGTGTTCCTCACAATAAAGAAGTTGGCGTCCATAACTTCTCACCTGTTATGTGTATCACTTCTAGATTCTGTTCAGACTTTATATGGCGTTCTGCAAACTAATGTTGAATTTATGGATAGGACAAACTTTATGGATGAGCAACTTCTTTATTCAGGTGATGCAACGTCTCGATACAGATTCTTATAGCGTTGTCAAGCAGGTATCCCTGCATCGCTGCATCACTTGAATAAAAAAGATGATCATCCATAAAGATTGTCCTGATCTGACTTTCCAGCTTCTGAAAATGCCACTTGTTGGATTTATGGAAATAGCTGTCAATATTTTAGTGTCGGTAAATGTCTTTTAAACCTAATAGCCTATACTTGCCTTGGAATATTGATCGACTCTGACAAATGGCTCAAGTTATAATCTGTATGACCACTTGGTTGGATGATTTTCAGTTGTTCCTGTTGTGTAATAACAAAAATTTATCATCCAAAACTGTGTTCCACAGTAGATATCGCTTGTGTGAGATCAGACACAGTAGATTTTGTACAATGCCCTGACAATGCTATGACGTCATGAACTTGTTGACGTCACAATGTTATGACATCGCTGCACTGCAAATCTAATGGCAGTACTGTGTTCAGAGATGTACATTTTTCATTGAAAACTAATGAAGAGTGATTTTTGATGATAAATAGAATCTCACCCTCGTGTCTTCTGATATCAAATATATCAACACTCGTTGATAAAAGTAAAAATATTCTATTTGTTACTTTATCAACTCGTGGTGATACATTTGATATAAAAAGACACTCGGGTGAGATTCTCTATATATCAGGATCAAGGCCTGATGTAAGTGAGTTACTCCCGAATTGATTGACAGGTTGTTCATCACTGACTACCATTATGCTTGTTTGTAGGTGTTTGACTACCTGGTCGACAGTGAGACTCATGAGTTCTGTAGATGGAGCGACATCGTCCCCTCCTACACAGGCACGCCACATGAAGGTATCCCAGCGGATGCTTTTGTCCACACAGTCCACATTGAGGTGAGTCATAGGAGACACATGCTTTCATAGGATTCTGTAGATTGGGTCACCTTGTTCTCTTCTACCTTTTGAGATAGTCATGCAATGATGGTGATGATGTTGGTGGTTATTAAAGTTTGTGTTGCTGACATTATGTGGGTGATCATTATGATGACTTTGGTGGATGTTGCTGCTGCAGATGGTAGCATTGTTTTGATGATGATGATGATGATGATGATGATGAAGATGACGCTGACGACAACGTCAACGACAAAATGATGATGATGATGATGATGACAATTATGATGATGATGGTGGTGATGGTGATGATGACTTTGGTAGATGTTGCTGCTGCAGATGGTAGAAATGTTTGATGATGATGATGATAATGATGACGACGCTGCTGACGACGTCAACGACGACTATGATGATGATGACAATTATGATAATGATGGTGGTGATGGTGATGATGACTTTGGCAGATGTTGCTGCTGCAGATGGTAGAAATGTTTGATGATGATGATGATGATGATGATATTGATGATGGTGGTGATGGTGATGATGACTTTGGTAGATGTTGCTGCTGCAGATGGTAGAAATGTTTGATGATGATGATAGTGTGGTGGTGGTGGTTATTGTAATATTGATGTTGACATAATCACAGTCATCATGATGATGAGTTTCGTAGTTGTTGCTGCTGCTGCTGGTAGCAATGTTTGATGATGATGATGATGATGATGATATTGATGTTGACATAATCACAGTCATCATGATGATGAGTTTAGTAGTTGTTGCTGCTGCTGCTGGTAGCAATGTTTGATGATGATGATGATGATGATGATGATGATGATGATGATGATCACTCTTCCCTCTCCAGCAACTCCTGCATCTGCTGGGCCTGCTGTCTGATGCGGGTAAACCGGTGATGCTGGTTGGGGAAAATGGCTGTGGGAAAACCTCCATCATCAATGAGAGAATCCGAACTGTGTGTTCCGGGGAGGTGGCCGAAGTGCTGTCACTCACAGTGTACGCAAACAGGTAACAACAATTTTTTTATTTTTTTTCAATATTTTTATTCATTTCAGTGAAGCATACAGGATGGCATATGAATATGGTTGGATGAAATAGTAGACAACCATGATGAGTACTAAGAAGGTGTAGTCCCGAACCCGACACATGTTACATTTGATTTTTATAAAGTATCATCATACAAAAAGTAGTATAGTGAAATATCCAGGTAACAACAATTAGCAGTATTAACCAAACAACATTGTAGTCCAGCTTATGTTGATCTCAATGAACTCACAGGCACCTCCTGAGACTACCATGTGAATCACCCGTGAAGGTCCGGGTTAGAATATTGATTTTCAGTAACTCATGCTTGTCGTAAGAGCCGACTAACGGGATCGGGTGGTCAGGCCGGTTGGCTTGGTTGACACATGTCATCGGTTCCCAATTGCGTAGATCGATGCTCATCATGTTGATCACTGGATTGTCTGGTCCAGACTCGATTATTTACAGACCGCTGCCATATAGCTGGAATATTGCTGAGTGCGTCTTAAAAAACTAAACTCACTCACTCACTCACCATGTGAATCACAAAAAATGATGTTACCCGAGGATTGGCAAAAATAGTGTAACTTCAATTGTTACAGGTTCTTGAATGCACGTCTCCTGTATGAACGCCTGGACGAGAGGCTGGAGTGGAAACATGGTAGAACATACGTTCCAAAGGGCAACAAGAGGCTCCTGTGTCTCGTGGATGACCTCAACTTATCTCAGGTATAGTTAGGGACAAAACTTGACATTCAGGTTGTTTATGTTGAAGAAATGTCAGCAGATCACTTGAAGTCACCTGGTAGTTCATTCTCTTCCCACAGAGGTTACCTGTCATATCTTCCTTTGCACCTCTGTTCTAATACGGCCATATTTCCCGGTTCTCGTAAAATCCCCTTAGCGGCAAAAGATCGCAACCCGAATTATCTCCCTTCTTTCTATCCAATCAGAACACGTGTTACATCGACTTAGATTCAACTTGACTAACACAAGCAAATGTGGGGCCACAAATATCCCCCATCTGCCGGGGACTTGTGTTGATGTTACACACAAGACGTTTAATGGCTAGCTTGTCCGTTGTCAACGAGGGCGATGGAGACGCCACTGATCTGCCATAACATGACTGAGTTCTGTCTAGAAGAAATGTTTGCGCATCGCGCAGGGGAAGAAGTTTAGTTTTCTTGAAGCATACGGAAATTACTGAGGCCTTGCGAATGATCAGTTTTGAAACAACGTCGCTGATTGCACAACTAAATCTGATTGCCTCCAATCACGAGTCTTGAACGCTCACACCATGAAAGGGCTGTATTAGAACAGAGGTTACGTAGGAAGATATGACAGGAGTAACCTCTGTGGGAAGAGAATGCTGGTAGTTGAGAACCTTTTTCATTTGAGACGGTGATATGCAGGCAATGGCTTTGAGATATTTTTTTATGGGATTTATGTTGCAACAAGTTGTTTGGCGGAGTTGCATCCCTTGTCATGCCAGGATCTGCTGATGGTGTTTCTGAATCCTGGGTTCTCTCTGTCACTGATCCTTGGTCTGCCAGCACTTACCCATTTTGTGGGTTTGATAACTCTTGTCATCTATGTATGACATATCAACTTTGTCCTTTTCTTACTAGTGTTGGGAATTGGTTAAAATCTCATAATTGATGATTGGTTCATTACAACCGATCAATCATCGAAAATAATTGGTTAGCGTCATTTATGAAATGTGTTAATGCACACAAGTATATAAGGAAAAAAACATGTAGTTCTTTGGGGGTTTTTGGGGCAAAATTTCACATCTTTAAAGGATGACTAGTCTGGAGGAACATAAATTTCTTAGAGTCTTTAAGATAAATTCAATCATGACTTGGAATGAGCTTGTAGTGCTTATGAAATGTAACAGACAAAACCAACCTAGTGAAAATACTGTTAATGAAAACAAGTGTTCTAGAATTGTTTGTGTTCGATTATGAGAAAACATGATCGATTGCTTGGTCGTATAGTCACTGCGACCAATCTTCGATTATTTCAATTAATCGGACCACCACTATTTCTTACACATCAAATCCATGCTTTGATAAATAACTTTAAAAAGAAGTTAAAGCATTCCTATTTTGTCATTTATAACATTGATCGATGATTATGCTGTTAGTAACATGATTGTCTGGTCCAGACTTGATTATTTACAGACTGCCGCCATATAGCCTGAATATTGCAGAGTGCGGCATTAAACAACAACCAAAGGAAGCCAAACCAAATATGATATGGCATGTCATGTCATAATAATTTACCTGGGGCCATGCGAAGAAAACCAGCTCCTCTTTAACTTTTTTTCAGTTGTCTATAGCCTAAAATGCTGTTCAAAGAAGTCCCACTTACACTTAAATATGTCTGGAGATATTCAAGCACCTGTTGTATGTATTCAGGTTGACAAGTACGGCTTCCAGACGGCCACGGAGCTGGTGCGAGAGCACCTTGATGATGGCGGCTTCTACTCCCCAGCATCACACGCCTGGCACTATGTGAAGAACGTCACCTACGTCACCACCATCAACCCCCATACGACAGCCAGCGTGCCCAAGCTCAGCCAGAGACTTCTCCGGCACTTTGCCATATTTGGTTGTCCATACCCAGGGTAGGGGTTCTGTGTTCTAGGTCAAGACCAGTCACCACAAGTTTTCAAGTTTTTGTTTCAAACAATTGGTTTAATTTAATTTTCGTTACATTTTCTAAGCATTTGATGTTGTCTTACTTGCTTTGGCATTTGATTTTCTTTTATTGCATACAAATAAGCACAATGTTATTTTGCATTGTCCAAATAGATTCACAGCATGGAAATAGGTTTAGTAGGAAAATTGTTATCTCACACAAGCAAATCCTTATTCTCCTATGAATCAAGGCAATTCTCAATTCTAATGAAATAATCAGAGGTTTCCAATAATAATAATCACCTCTGATTTGAAAACAATGATTTGATGACCATATGACCATGGAAGATAATTTTTCAATCAAATTAATCTTTCTGATTCGTTGTGCATGATTAGTTCCCTATTCATTTTAACATAGTTGAATCTACAGGTAGCGTAGATCTTAACTGAAAGCATAATGTTCATCTCTTATTCTTGGAAATCAATTGGTGATTCTTATGTAGATGGGGCGGTGGGGTAGCCTAGTGGTTAAAGCGTTGGCTTGTCACGCCGAAGACCCGGGTTTGATTCCCCACATGGGCACAATGTGTGAAGACTATTTCTGGTGTCCCCCGCCATGATATTGCTGGAATATTGCTAAAAGCGGCGTAAAACTAAACTCAGTCAGTCAGTCAGTTCTTATGTAGATGGTGCAAGTCAGATTTTCACTAATTGAGAAAATATAGAACTAAGCTGTATTGAGGTGAATTTATTACTTAGGGGCTTACCACTACAGGATTCCATTCCACATCACTGCCGTCTTTTACTGCATTGTAAGTTTCTGATTATTGCATGGCTTTCTGAAGCTGAATGATTTCTCTTGTCTTGCTGGAGTTCTATTGTGAGTTCTATGTGTTAGCACTTGCCTATCGTGTGTCTGTACAGGAGCACTGAGCTACAGACTATATTCACTACTCTCCTACACACACACTTCGTCACTCCTGACTCCATTGTGTCCTCGTCACACCACGGCAGCAGCATCCACGACGACAAGGTGGGTATGGGTTCCGTAGTGTTGACCTGCATGTAACGTAGTGTTCTATGGGTTTTACCAAAGTGGTAAAATATCTGACACTGCATGCATCAGTTAGGGCTTGTCCTAGACATTAAGCTGGTAATACAAGACAAATCTTATGGATAAAAACTTCTTGGTTTATTTTTCACAACGTTTCAGGGCTAGTTCTTGCCCCTTCTTCAGGTGAATAATGGTGATAAGATTTGTCTTGTATTACTACACCAACTTCTAAATGCCTTTGAAGAATTTCAATAAGCTGGTACATCATGACATTACTTAAACACTGTTCGGAGCAACTGGTACACTGACACTCACACTGACACTCACACACACACACACACACACACACACTCACTCACTCATTCACTCACACTCACACTTACTTACACTCACTTACACTTACACTTACACTCACACTTACACTCACACTTACACTCACACTTACACTCACTTACACTTACACTCACACTCACATTTACACTCACACTTACACTTACACTTACACTCACTTACACTCACACTTACACTCACACTCACACTCATACACATACTCGTACACAGACTCACTAATGTATTTCTGGTTCATCAGAGCACCCGACTAGAGGATACAGTCAAGTCGTGTGTCAGCCTCATCGTCAAGGTAACAGTGGAACTCCAGGATAGGCTGAGGACCATGTTCCTCCCTACAGCTCCTCGATGCCACTACATTTTCACCACCAGGGATCTGTCCACCATCTTCAGGTAACATGGACCATTTTAACCCTGCTGCCATGTGGTACTCTTGCCACAACTCCTTCAACTATGTTGCATTATGATCTTTTCTTGACAATAGAGAACATCCAATTCAAGTATATTATGCATCCCGTCAGGAGTGTTCATTTTTTTAAAAAAGGCATTCAGGGACAAGTTGGGGTCATTATTAATACCCTATTTAGGTTCTGAAGATTAAAATAACACTCACAATACGGGTGTTAACGCTGATTTGAGAGGCATTATTCTTATTTTGCCGGAGATTTAGAGGAAAATGGATTAATCATATGATGTATTCATCTTGGGTCATGGAATTATTGGAAAGTTTTTCAAATGTATCTTATTTTATTATATGTTATTTCAGTAAGCCCAAATCTTACTAGTGTTAGAAAAAAACATGCAGTTGTCAGTCATTAAAATATGTCTGATGTGTCTATGATTCAATACAAGTCTATAATGTAACATTTCCAGTAAGAATCAAATGGTTCTTATCCTACTTCCGATTTCAGCAACCATTTGACCAACTGTTTGGAGTTTGGATCCCTATATTTATTAAAAAGTTGGTTTAATCTGTTGGTGATGCATTGGTGTATCCAGAGGGGGGGTTCAGGTGGTTCAAACCACCACCCCCACCCCCACCACCCCTTTGAAAATGACTTAAGACCACATTGAAGGTTTTTTTTTTGCATTGGCAGAGCCAATGGGTGGTTCAGGGGTTCAAAAAAAACAAAGAACAAAAAACAACGCCCCCACCCCACCCCCACCCCTCTCAAAATTCCTGGATCCGCCCATGTGATGACACTAAATGCCAACTACAGTTTCTACCCAAGTGGTGGCTCAGTCATCTAATGTGTGGCAATTTGCTGTTTACAGTTGTATACTGTTGGCAGGGGCTTCAACTCTAGAGTCATACAGATTGTGTTTCTATAGGAATATATGAAAGCTGAAAGTGTAGTCACCTGTGTTTGTGGGTTAGAATTAGTCTTCAGCACCCCAAAAAGTAACAAGATTGGGTGGTCAGACTTGCTGACGTTTCATCGTATCCTAATTGTGTTGATTGATGCTCATGATATCAGTCATTGGATTTTCTGGTCCAGGTTCAATTATTTATAAACCACTGTCATATGTCTGATATATTGCTGAGTGAGACATTGAACAACAAACAAACAAAACCTGTGTTTGTTTGCAGGAACATCTGTTTGTCCCAGCAGCCCGACTGTTCACGCAAGAACATCCTCCACCTGTGGCAGCACGAGTGTTTCTGGATCTACGGCCGACGGATGGTCAATGACGTAGACTTCCGCCGCTTCAAGCAAGCCTTCACCACAGCAGTGAGGAAACAGTTCACCAATGAAGAACAGGTAATAAATGATAGCAGTCTGTACCAAAAACATCCCCATCTACTGACCCAAGTTGTCGCTCACTATTTTCAGTATTCATATGACTACAGACGTTTATTAGCTGAACATATTGCACTTTCTACTGACCCAAGTTGTCTCTCACTATTTTCAGTGTTCATATGACTACAGACGTTTATTAGCTGAACATATTGCACTTTCTACTGACCCAAGTTGTCTCTCACTATTTTCAGTGTTCATATGACTACAGACGTTTATTAGCTGAACATATTGCACTTTCTACTGACCCAAGTTGTCTCTCAGGATTTTCAGTGTTCATATGAATACAGACGTTTATTAGCTGAACATATTGCACTTTCTGCTGACCCAAGTTGTCTCTCAGGATTTTCAGTGTTCATATGAATACAGACGTTTATTAGCTGAACATATTGCACTTTCTGCTGACCCAAGTTGTCTCTCAGGATTTTCAGTGTTCATATACAGACGTTTATTAGCTGAACATATTGCACTTTCTACTGACCCAAGTTGTCTCTCAGGATTTTCAGTGTTCATATGAATACAGACGTTTATTAGCTGAACATATTGCATTTTCTACTGACCCAAGTTGTCTCTCAGGATTTTCAGTGTTCATATACAGACGTTTATTAGCTGAACATATTGCACTTTTATTCGTGTGAGTGGTGTCGCCAGTAGTTTCGTAATGCTCATGCCAAGCATTGATGACTGAGTTTGAAATTTGCATTGCAGCAAGTAGGTCTAAAGTGGTCCAGACAATCTGTTGAAAAATTGAGTTGTTGTTGAGATGTTCCTAGATTAGACTGTTGGGATTTTCAGTAGGCTGGAACAGCAGGAAAGGTATGTCTACATTATAAGTTTGGAAAGGGATGGATTAGATGAACCATTCAGGAATGTCGGATACAACTACAGAACCTAAGACACTGTTACACTGGAGTTGTTACCATGAGTTGTCCGCATTGTTGTCATTCGTTGTTTTTCCTGGACAGATCCAGTTGGTCACCTCCAACAAGCCCCCCATGTTCAGCAACCTGATCGAGCAGGACAGCGGCATCGTGACGGCGGGCAGGACAGACTCGCGCCACAGCGCCAACGTGTCGGAGAAGGATGCCAAGACTGACCTGTACAAACCCATGTCCTCCCTACAGGAGGTGAAGGAGCTCATGGAGAGAGGGGTTGAGGAGTACAATAAGATACACCCCCGGATCAAGCTGGCCTTGTATAAGGTGAGCTATGTTGTATTAAAAATCCATCGATCAGGTTGGCCTTGTATAAGGTGAGCTGTGTTGTATTAAAAATCTCTTGATCAAGCTGACCTTGTATAAGGTGAGCTATGTTGTATTAAACATCCCTAGATCAAGCTGACATTGTGTAAGGTGAGCGCTATGTTGTATTAAACATCCCTAGATCAAGCTGACCATGTATAAGGTGAGCTATGTTGTATTAAACATCCCTAGATCAAGCTGGCCTTGCATAAGGTGAGCTATGTTGTATTAAAAATCCCTCGATCAGGTTGGCATTGTATGAGGTGAGCTGTGTTGTATTGAAAATCCTTTGATCAGGTTGGCCTTGTATGAGGTCCGCCCCCAGAGCTATGTTGTATTAAAAATCTCCTGGGCCCACTTGCACAGAGCAATCTTAGTTACAATCAATCTTAGGGCCTTACAATCAACTTTACAATCACCATACAATTGCCCTAATCCACTTGCACAAAGCCGATCTTAGAGCGATTGTAAGACGGCGTGTATTTAAGATCGCGATCTTAGTTAAGATCGAACTCTTCAACGGTGGTGGTACGAATTTCTTAAACTCGACTCCCGTCTACAGTTGTCTCAAAGTGCGCATAACATGCTGCGCAAATAAAAAGTGATACTGGTCCCAGCACACAATACATACCTCCCTCAATCGCACCTTGCATAATTTTCAAGAAAAGTCCGAGAAATCTTAGAAGGAACCGATTCATGGACGATAGCATATATTTTTCTACATTCTAACTGTCTTGATTTATGAACTGAGAATGTGATATTGCAACCACAGAAATACCTACCCATGTTTTATGAAAATACTGAAATACTGAAAAATACATGAATAAATTTGGATCTAGATTTAGTGACTTAATTATGGAACTTAAAATAACAAATATAAACAGTATTTCCTATGATATAACACCTAAATGTATGATTTGCCAATGGTTGTCAATGAGACGTTGTTTAATACACAGCTGTTGGGGGAGGGAGGGTAAAATCCTAAATATAACCTAGAATAAAATACAATAAAACAATGGCTACAGAAGTGTTGTAAAGAATGCTTGGCAGGGAATTACGTGCATTAAATAATATTTCAAGAGAGTAGTTATTAAATCACGTTATTCACAGTATATTAAATATTTAACCCTATTAGCGTTGATTAATATTTTCTTAAAGTGAAATTCTTGAAACAGAAAATTTTAATACCCCATCATGTGTATATCCCTATTTGATGACTACTTGTATATATTTAAATTGCATAATCAAATTTAGATTTATGGATGAGAAAGAAACTTGATTTTGCACGTTAACTTGTATCTAATTGTAGATTACTTTAATGATAAACTAAGTCAAAATCACTCCATGACAGAAAAGAGATATCAGTATGTTGAGCTCTGCAATTGGGCATGACAGACTACGGCAACGGCATATGCCAAGGGAAACCACTCCCATCTTAGCGATAAAGTCAAATTATCTGCTCTTGAGTTAATGAAAAGGTCACGGCCATTGTTAATCGTGACGGACACCATTCTCGCTATTATCCTTTCCTTGATTATCAAGAAGGTATGTTGGTTCACACTTATTCCAACATTGAATCGGTGGGAATAGTACTATGTGATATCGACTGATAGTTATGTGTTTCACTACAGTAAATAAAAAATGTATCCGGCGTTAAATCAGTTGTGCATTCTCCGTGTTGTTGAAATGTCGAGTAGAACCACACAGTTTCATGCAATATAATTGCAATCTCCAAACGTAAAGCTGATTATTTGCGTGAAACAGACACTAATTTGAATGCCATTTCTAAAATGATCTTAGCTCCTTACAATTGGTCCGGACCAATTGTAAGTTTCGATTGTAACTTACAATAATCTTAGCCTACAATTGCTTTGTGCAAGTAGATGGCGATTGTAACCGAAGCCTAAGATCGCGATCTTAAGGATTTACAATTATTGTAGCGCTAAGATCGTTCTGTGCAAGTGGGCCCTGATCAAGCTGACCTTGTATAAGGTGAGCTATGTGGTATTAAACATCTCTTGATCAAGCTGACCTTGTATAAGGTGAGCTATGTTGTATTAAACATCCCTAGATCAAGCTGACCTTGTGTAAGGTGAGCTATGTTGTATTAAACATCCCTAGATCAAGCTCACCTTGTGTAAGGTGAGCTATGTTGTATTAAACATCCCTAGATCAAGCTGACCTTGTGTAAGGTGAGCTATGTTGCATCTGGTAATATACACCAAAGGATCAAACTGACCTCTATAAGATGAGCTATGTTGTATAAGGCAAGTTACAGACCCCCAGATCAATATGGCTTTGTATAAGGTGAGCTATATTGTATCAAGTATTATACACAGCCAAATCAAACTTCTCTTGTATGAAGTGAGCTATGTTGTACTATACATCCCTGGTGGATGCTTGTCTTGTACAAGGTGAGCTATGCTGTAACAGCCAAATGAGCACCTTTAGATAAAGTTGACCTTGTATAAAATCAGCCATGTTGTATCAGATACACACTTTCCCTCTTCCCAAATCCATTCACTGCCTCCGTGGTATAGTGGTTAGAGCACCTGCCCAGAGAGCGGAAGGTCGCAGGTTCGATCCCCGGCCACATCATACCAAATATGGTACTTGTTGGTCCCTGCCTGGCGCTCGACATTAATGGGTACAACAAGGACTGGTCGGCTTGGAGTCAGTATAATGTGTCTGAGTGGGGTATTCATGCTTAACTGCTTCATGGTATCTCAGTGAACCAGCTTAAGTCTGGGCTAGTACAAGCAGCCACACATACACATGTACCTAGTCATATGAGTGAAATATTCTTAAGAACGACATTAAACCCCATTTCACCTCACTTCACCCAAAATCCATTCTATATGTTTGATGTATTCAAGATGGCACTTCCAACAGGTTATTCATCATAACAAGCTGTTTGTGTTTCCCTTCAGACTGTCATAGAACAGGTGTGTCGCCTAGCACGGACCATCGCCTCCCCCCACGAAGGAGCCAACACAGTGCTGGTTTCGGAGGGCTGCCCAGGACGATGTACCATCATCGTGAAGCTGGCGGCCAACCTGTGCAACTACACCATCTACCAGATCAATCCCAGCCCTCTGTCTGGAGCCACAGAGTACAAGATGGAGCAGTTCAAGGCTGACCTGGTCCATGGCTACACCAGGGCTGGAGCCAAGGTAGTTCACACACAGAATATTTGGCAATTACTAACAATTTGAATATACTTCTCTAAAAGCTTTCTTCCCAAAGCGACATGCCTTTATATAACTGAAATACTTTTCAAAGCACCTGTCAACCAAAGTCTACATACTGGCAGCTGTTGGTATACTTTCTTTAGGTGCTGCATTGTGTAATAAATAAAATATTTGCTTGTCAGTGTTTGAGGCCTGTTCCATCACCATCATATGGCTACACAGTTGCTAAATGCAAAAGAAACCCCGCTCACTCACTCACTCACTCACTCACTCACTCACTCACTCACTCACTCACTCACTCACTCACTCACCACTCACTCACTCACCATACACAATCACCCTTTGACCCGCCAACCCACATCACTCCTCAGACACCGGTATCACTCCTCAGACTACCACATCACTCCTCAGACTCCCGTATCACTCCTCAGACTCTGTATCACTCCTCAGTATCACTCCTCAGATTCCCGTATCACTCCTCAGACTCCCGTCTCACTGTTCACTCACTGGCTCCTACTCACTCCTGACCGCCTCCATGGTGTAGTGGTTAGAGCGTCCGCCCGGAGAGCGGAAGGTCGCGGGTTCGATCCCCGATAGCGTCATACCAAAAGACGTTAAAATATGGTACTTGTTGGTCCCTGCCTGGCGCTCAGCATTAATGGGTACAACAAGGACTGGTCGGCCCGGAGTCTGTATAATGTGTCTGAGTGGGGGTATTCATGCTTCACTGCGGCATGGTATCTCATTGGGCTAGCACTATAAAACCAGCTTAAGTCTGGGCTAGTACAAGCAGCCGCACATACACATACACACGCATGCACGTTGTCATATGAGCGAAATATTCTCAAGCACGACGTTAAACCAAATTTCACCTCACCTCACCTACTCACTCCTCATGCAGCGCTTCTCATTGTTCACTCGTTCCACCTTTATGTTCCCTAGGGAGAGAAGATTCTTCTGCTGCTCCACGAAGAGGAACTGCTGGATGAAGACTTCATCGTTTTCCTCATAGAGTTCATCGTGTCTGGCTCTATCACACATCTGTTCTCCTATGAGGAACAAACCACCATTATCAACTCCATCAGGACTGAGGTGACCCAGGCAGGACTTACATACACGAGAGATGTGGCCTGGAACTTCTTCCTCAGGTAAACACACTCAACACTCATATCCATTTCTAGCACACCCATGAAGATCCTGTGCTTTTCGTAAGAGGCGGCTAAGGGGATCGGGTGGTCAGACTCCATGATCTTGTTGATACATGTCATCATATCCCAACTGACCGCCTACATGGTGTAGTGGTTAGAGCATCCGCACAGAGAGCGGAAGGTCGCGGGTGCGATCCCCGACCGCGTCATACCAAAAGACGTTAAAATATGGTACTTGTTGGTCCCTGCCTGGCGCTTGGCATTAATGGGTACAACAAGGACTGGTCGGCCCGGAGTCAGTATAATGTGTCTGAGTGGGGTATTCATGCTTCACTGCGGCATGGTATCTCAGTGGGCTAACACTATAAAACCAGCTTCAGTCTGGGCTAGTACAAGCAGCTGCACATACACATACACACGCATGCACGTCGTCATATGAGCGAAATATTCTCAAGCACGACGTTAAACCCAATTTCACCTCACCTCACCTCACCTCATATCCCAACTGTATAGATAGATGCTCATGATGTCAGTCACTGGATTGTCTGGTCCAGACTCAGTTATTTACAGACTGCCATCATATAGCTCAGGGGCGGATCCAGGATTCTGGAGAAAAGGGGGTGCACATAAATCATGAAGTCCATAGGTTAGGGGGAAATGCTCCTCAAGGAATATTGTTTGGGAGGATAAGGGGGTTGCGCATCCCCGCTCTGGATGCCCCCTGAAGCTGGAATATTGCTGAGTGCTGCACTAAACAGTAAACATACAAACCATATCTAACACAATATTTGTGTTGTTATTCATTTTTATCATGAAACAGAGACTGCTTGTCTGTAGGTTCATCTAGCTTGGATGGGTTTAGACACAATGACTAATTGGCAATTCTGAGTCAAGTGAAAATTTGACATCAAGTTGAAGGAAAATAATATCATAATGGCATGGTTAATATCATAATGGCGTGATTAATATCATAATGGAATGGTTAATATCATAATGGAATGGTTAATATCATAATGGCGTGGTTAATATCATAATGGCATGGTTAATATCATAATGGCATGGTTAATATCATAATGGAATGGTTAATATCATAATGGCATGGTTATTATCATAATGGAATGGTTAATATCATAATGGCGTGGTTAATATCATAATGGCATGGTTAATATCATAATGACATGGTTAATATCATAATGGCATGGAATGGTATCATAATGGAATGGTTAATATCATAATGGAATGGTTAATATCATAATGACATGGTTAATATCATAATGGCATGGTTAATATCATAATGACATGGTTAATGGTTAACATCATAATGGCACGGTTAATATGATATGGGCGGGTGGCATATCATAATGGCATGGTTAATATAATGGCATGGCATGGTTAATATCATAATGGCATGGTTAATATCATAATGGCATGGTTAATATCATAATGGCATGGTTAATATCATAATGGCATGGTTAATATCATAATGGCATGGTTAATATCATAATGGCATGGTTAATATCATAATGGAATGGTTAATATCATAATGGCATGGTTAATATCATAATGGCATGGTTAACATCATAATGGCATGGTTAATATCATAATGGAATGGTTAATATCATAATGGCATGGTTAGCATCATGATGGCAGTTAGTTTCACAAATTACGGGGTTAAATCAAGATGGCATTATTTAACATCATAATGGCATGGTATAATTATAATAGCACTTGTGTGACGTCTTTGGCAGGACTGTGAGGAACAACTTCCGTGTGTGTTTGATCGCCGGCCGCGGGGGACAGAAGTTCCAGCACCGTTGTCGGGAGTATCCAGCATTCACCAAGAACATGAACCTGATCTGGTTTCCTCACTGGAGCAAGTCCCAGCTGGTGGAACACGCCTTCTATCATCTCGCAGGTAGTTCACTGTTTTTGAGTCTAACTGTTGTCTTGTGCAGGGGTAATCCTTCATTGGTAGAGACACACATAGAGAATCTTGAAATGAAACCATATATTGTTCAGTCAGTACATTATTTTACCAGGGAAACATTGTTCTAGTGACCTATGAAGATCCAGGTTAGAACTGATCTTCAGTAATCCATGCTTGCCGTACGAGACGACTAACAGGATCAGGTGGTCAGGTTTGCTGACTTGGTTGACACATGTCATCGTATCCCAATTGCGAGATCGATGCTCATGCTGTTGATCTCAGGATTGTCTGGTCCAGACTTGATTATTCACAGACTGCTGCCATATAGCTGGAATATTGGTGAGTGTGGTGTAAAACTACACTCGCTCGCTCAATTGTTCTAGTGACTGACTGACTGAGTTTGGTTTTACGCCGCTTTTAGCAATATTCCAGCAACATCACGGCGGGGGACACCAGAAATGGGCTTCACACATTGTGCCCATGTGGGGATTCGAACCCGGGTCTTAGGCGTGATGAGCCAACGCTTTAACCATTAGGCTACCCCACCGCCCTGTTCTAGTGAAGTCTCTGGGTGAGAATGGGTTAGAATATGTTTGATGCATGAGGCTACCTTTATCATAAGGTGGTGAGGCTCACAAATTTTGGATGTCATACAGTTACAGGTAGGGTTGTTGCTCAAATTGTCACTTGAATATTTACAGACATCTGTCATATAGCTTGAATATTGTTACATCAAATATGTCGGGAAAAAAATACATTGATTTCGAAAACATTTTATTTGATAAGTGATTGAATCAGAGGCCTGTTGTAATTTTTGAGTGGCTCAGTAGAAACTTAGCAGCACAGGGACAAAGCCAAATGATTTTACTGGTCATACCTTTCTGTGTGTCAAGTGGCAAAGTGAGGATTAATAATAATTTATGATTACAGTTAAAGCAATTTTCCGCTGATCCACAGATTTCCGCTAATTATATTTCAAATTGATCAATTCTGTGAATTGACCGCCCCCTGAAACCCCCATTCAATGACACAATATTAAGTTTTCAGCTGAAACTAGATTTTCCTGGTGCCATCCCTGTGATTAAAAGATGCAAACCATTTCATGGAATCATATAAATTCAAATGGAAACATTAGTAATTGCCTTCTTTTGCGAAATTGAAAGTAGTCTGCTTTGTAAAACCAGAAAATATTTGTGACTCAAAATACTATTCCCATTGTTTAAGCAACATTAAGCAGCACGTTTGTATGTGTAGGTGTTGAGTGGATGTCGGATGTCCAGCGTGAGAACATCGCTCACATGTTAGCCTCCATGCATCTCGTGCTGCGGCAACAGGACGGGCAGGAGAGGGACTCAGGGGAGTACGGACACATCACCAACACCTCGTACGAGAAGTTTGTTGAAAGGTATGTCACAAGACAAAGTGCACTTTGTAGAGCTGATCACTTTCATGTCAAATTTGAGTAAAATGAGCCTCAGCATTGTACCATATGGCCAAGGACATGCCTTCTGTTGACAAGGAGTATGTAGAAATGTGTAATGCCATCCCACAGATATCATACTTGCCTTGACTTCTTTGATCTAAGTGTCCATCTTGGATCAGAAGGTTGTGGTTTGAATCCTGTTCAGTTTTAATGGCCACTACATACTGTATATGACCGTAACTAAGCCGATCTCATGGCTAAGCCGAGGTCCTAACTGGACCCTTAAAATAAGTATCAAAATGGTATGTTCCGTAGATAAGCTGAACCATCAACCTACATTTCATCGTGAAATCATCATCTGAAATAGAGCGTCAACATATCTATGCATCTTAATCCTGTTGTTACACCATCTCGTAATAAAACAGATATACTTTGCATATCTGGACTTATGTTAGCAATCTAGTTTATTACTTTTCCTAAAAATGTCAAAAAAGAATGTTTATATTAACTGCAGTGAAATCTTGTGTCCCGATATTTACAACTTTGGTCCACATTATTCACAGCAGTCACTATTCTATTGCATATGCTCATGCCTCGAAATGAAGTGTAGTTGACAGAAAGTATATGATATGTAGGGAGACTCTGGGTCTCTTCCACAAAGCGATCACTGTGCTAAAGTGATCGTAACTCTCATAATTTAACATTGTCATACTACTGTTTCGGCATCAAGCGTTTTGTGGAACGGGCCCTGGGTCATTAAATGTAACATGTAGGGAGACTGTCTCTTCCACAAAGCGATCACTGTGCTAAAGTGATTGTTACTCTCATAATTTAACATTGCTGTACGACTGTTGTAGCATCAAGCGTTTTGTGGAACGGGCCCTGGGTCATTAGTTATAAAGATGCAGTCTGTCAGAGACTTAGAGTACACATGATGTGCTGCAGGTTCATCTCGCTGACATGCAGTCGATACAGCGATGTGAATGAGATCCAGATGGCCGTCACCCAGACTCTGCAGCAGATCCGGCGGGAGAACGAAGTGGCCATCAAATTGAAGAAGCAGCTGGAGCATGAGATGGTGGTGCTCACTGAACGCAAGGCTGTGAGTTGACATGCTTGTGTGTTAAGGAACCATGTACATTGTATGTAAGGACCCCCAGAATATTAGTGTGCGTGAGCTTAGTTTTACGCCACACTCAGCAATATTGCAGCTATATGGCGGCGGTCTGTAAATAATTGAGTCTGGACCAGACAATCCAGTGATCAACAGCATGAGCATCGATCTACGCAATTGGGAACCGATGACATGTGTCAACCAAGTCAGCGAGCCTGACCACCCGATCCTGTTAGTCATCTCGTACAACAAGCATGGGTTACTGAAGATCAATTCTAACCCGGACCTTCACGGGTTTTAATGATGGCAAGCTGTGTGAATGGTATTGACAACAGTGTGATAAAGACTGATATGTTTCCAGGGCACAATCAAGATCTTGTCGCAGATTGGGCAGGACACAGCCATCACTGAGCAACAGATCAAGGTGGTGAAGAACCAGCTGGAGAAGATTCACAAACTCAAGAAGGTGGGTACCCTGAAGACTGACTGAGTTTGGTTTTAACTTTTAGCAGTTGTGAAACATTGCTTCTAAGCACTGACTGTTCTTGACACTGCTTTTTAGCAGTATTCCAGCAACATCATTGGCGGGGGACACCAGAAATGGGCTTCACACATTTTACCCAAGTGGGGATTCCAACCCGGGTCTTCAGCGTGACGAGCGAACTGTTTAAACCACCAGGCTACCCCACGGCCCCGGGTACCCTGAAGACAGTGACATGAACTGAAAATGTAATATTTCATAAAAAATGACTATTCAGTTGAAACATTGCTTGTAAGCACTGACTGTTCTTTGATTCCATGCTTCAGTTGAAACATTATCTGCAAGCACTAACTAGTTTACAATGATATGACCCCTGTAGACATGTACGTGTGCCTGTGTTTCAGCTGCTGCCCGAGTACCAAGTGGCCCATGAGAGAGCTGTATACAAGGCTATTGCTATTGTGGCTGACACCAAGAAGGTCGTGCAGAACATGAACATTGACAAGCTGGCGGAACTCCGAGCCATGTCCAAACCTATCATCGACATCGAGGACCTCATGGCTACCATCATCATGATCTGTAAGTACCGGTCAACATGTGGTCACAATCTGTTTTAAACTGGGCATTCAGGCTGACTGTAGCTCTTGAATTTTGGACGCCAACACTTTTCTTCTGAATGCTTTTAAGTGCTTGATTTTCGTATACTAGTAAGTATGATAAAATATGTGGAGAAGAATGTGCAGCAACACTCATGGGCTGGTTCCTGATTATATCTGTCACCAGTTTTGGTGCAAGTTTATTTTGCTGCAAGTATATTTTGCTCCAAGTATATTTTGCTCCAGTACTTTCAAGTCATGATTTGACTAAAAGCTTGTCAAAAGTTTTGCTGAAGGAAGAGTTTGGTGTAGCAGACTCTCAAACTTATTTGCAATTACAAGTATTTGTAGAATATTGTAGACTATCACGAGGAAATGTTATACAGTTTTGATCAAGTTAATTTGGTAAACACTTTCACATCATGTTCATAGAGATCGTCCTTGGGGTACATATTATGCATTTTCCAAGCTGAAAATGTCCTGTGACAGTTGTATCAATGTTTTTTGAATAAAAAGATTGTACAATAAATAAACTCTTTTATTTATTATACGGCCCCCACCTCACGGAGTTACCTCCCGTTGCGCATGCGCACCAACTGGGTAAGCACCTAGGCCCGTATCATCATTCCTTCTGCTGTCACTGCCCCTAACAGACGCATGTGTCGAGCAGAGCTGACCTTTTCAGAACGAAAAAGAATAATGTCTGGAACACCACCTGTATGTATGGTCTTTATTACCTTTGCAAAAGGAACAGTAAAGCTTTGCGGTCGGTTGTTTCATAATTGTGACTTTGTATTAATTATTTTACGCTTAACTTTCCCGCGTGGTTTACGCACATGTTGCTCTGCCATGGCGGGAAGTTTAGCGCCACGCGGTTGTAATATTGCGCATTGAACCAACTATTTCTTCCCGCGGTAGCCTTCACGTATTTTCAATGTTTTCTACGCGGTATATATGCTGCTGGTCCGCCGCTAGCTACATGCTTGCGCGTTTGCTTTCAGGCGCTTTCTCCTGTTCGGTCTGTGGACAAAGTATTCCACGGGCCGACAGGCACGACAAATGTATTGTCTGCCTAGAGAAGACCGCCATGAGGCCGAAACCTGTGAAATTTGTATGGGGTTTTCCCCCGGCTCAGAAGCGAGGGCTGCCGATACTCTCTTTATAGAGAGATGCGGGAGGCGGAGGGGAACTTACCCAGGTCCCCCGCCTAAGGCTAAAAAAGTCTAAAGGGAAAAATCCCGTGAGCCAGTCCCCTGCTCCCGCCCCTGGTAGCGGCTTTGACATGACTTTAATCACACAGATGTTTCAGCAGCACGCAGACTCGGCGATGAGGTCCCTCGCTCATGAGTCGGTTGGAGGACTCCGCAGGAGTTCCTCGCCCACTCTGAGCGCGGGGGCGGAGAGTCTTGGGGATCGCCGAGCCCGCTCGATCCCTAGGCCTTGAGGCGTCTGTCGACCCGTTGCCTCTGGCTTCGGGTCCGGACGCCTCGGCTGCCCCGAGAGGGAGGTGCTCCCAGTCCCCTCTCGGAGCTGGCGAGGGACCGCTGATGATTCCTGGGGTTCCGATCCCCGCGCCTCCCCCCCCCCATGAGAGCGGGAGGCACCAGTTCTGCCTGGTATGCCTCCAGCGTCTCGGGACCGGGGTCCGTGCACGCCTGCAGGCACTGACGCGGGGCACTCTGTCTGCTCCTCCCTCTCTGTTGTTCCTAGTGCTAGGCCGCCCACCGGGTCGGGGTTCGGGTCCTTCTTCGCGAGGGAGACTCCAGCCTCAGACTCGGCTCGGGCGCCGAAGTCGATGGATACTGGGGAGGTCGAGGAGCAGGAGGGTGCCTTCCGCTTCTCTTCTTCGCTCTGCGGGAGGTCAGGCAAAGGATTGCCGAAAGTACCTACCCCAGGCCGCTGTGCCTGTTAGCAGCTCGACTCGGCTGAGTTCCGCTTTGCCAGGCGCAGGCGCTTGCCCCTAGGCAGCCTACGCAGACGCAGCTCCGCATTCTTCCATCGCTAGTCCAGGACGGTCGATCCCTCTTGTCTGGTTCTCGCCTCCGCTTTGACTTGCCGGAGCTTGTCCGGAGATACCAGCTTGGGGAGGATTCCCTGTTCGTGGTACCTATCGTGGATGAGTGTGTTTTCACTTCAGTCGCCTTTGGGGAGGCTCGGCTTCCTCCGAGCAGCTCCGCTGCTCGGCAAGGGCGCAGTGACTCCACCGCTTGCTCCCTCGCTGGCGCTTCTGCAGCATGCATGCACGCACTCTACGAGGAGGTTTACAGGAACGCTATGCAGCAGGTCAGGGTGGTGGTCCATGAGGCCTACCTCTCCTCGATTCAGAGGTCGGCCCTGGAAGCGGAGGGGCATGCTGGTGACGCTTTCACCGCATGTCGTGGCTACTCCGCCAGCTATCTGAAGTACAGGCCCACTCGCGCTGCACTTTTGCGGTCCGCTGCGCCGACGGTGATGTGCGCAGTCATGGGGATGCGCAAGCTGTGGCTGTCGACGCCTCGCTACTCGGCAGCGACACAGCAGACCTTGCTGGCCCTCCCTTCCGCCTGGGAGCCACCCTCTTCCAGGGGCACAGCAGGTCATTCGGGAGGCTGCCGCTGCAGCTACCTCCTTCAAGGACTCTAAGGCCTTGTTGGAGCACCCGCTGGGTGTCTCGCCCTCGGCCTCCCGCTCCTCCACCTTCCTCCGCTGGGGTGCAGCCTACACCCGAAGTCCGCTGGCTGGCTTCGCCGCTTGGCAGGTAAGCGGAGGCACAGGTCCGCCAAGGGTAAGGGCAAGGAGCAGTCCTCGACTAGCTCCCAGCCTTTGCTGGCGCTGGAGAGGTCTGCCCCACCCTCCCGCTAACCCATCAGGCTGTCGCTCAAGCCGCGGTGTCACGCCCAGTCAGTCAGCTCCGCTTACTCGGACGACGCGACGCCGCCTACCCGACGCCCCAGTGGGAGGTCAGCTTCTCTATTCCTGCCGGAATGGGAGAAGGCTACACAAAACACTTGGGTGCTGTCCACCATCAGTGTAGGCCATTTACCACTGTGGAAGCGGTGGTCCGCCTCGACTTCACCGCATACGCCGCACTCCGTGCCGCCATGTCAGGCAAGGGCGACATATTGCGCGACGGTTCAGGCTCTGCTGGACAAGTCCGCAATCGAGCGCGCATTCCACCGGGAGAGGAACAGGCGGATTTTACTCCACGCACTTCCTCGTCCCGGAAGAAAGACGGCGGTTCCGGCCCCATTCTCAACCTCAAGGGGTTGAACCGCGATGCTAGAAGTACCATCCTTCAAGATGGAGACACTGCGCCGGGTGATCTCATCTGTTCAGCCCGGCGATTGGCTCACGCCAATCGACCTAAAGGATGCGATTCAGATGTGCCCATACATCCATCGCTCAAGCAGTACCTTCGGGTTCTCTTTACGACGGATGTGTTACCAATTCAGGGTGCTCCCTTCGCATATCGACTGCCCCAAGGGTGTTCACCAAGCTCATGTTAGTCCCGCTACCCTCGCCGCCGCCGCAAGGAAGGCGCTTGTTACCCTTACCTCGACGACTGGTTGCTCGGAGCACTAACACAGCCAGCGAGCCTAGATGCTACTCACACAGTGATAGACATTCTAGTTCGACTGGGGTGGATCATCAACCTCAAGAAATCCGACCTGGTACCCACCCAGGACTTGGTTTTTCTCGGGCGCCAGGTTCCAAACGCACAAGGATCTAGTTTCCTTTGTCGCCCGACCGATCACCAGAGTTCGGGAGATGGTGTCTTCGCTCTCTCCCAGCCCCAGGCACCAGCACGGACTTGGCTCCGCCTACTGGGCCATATGGCGGCGACGATCTCTGTAGTGTGGCGGGCGCTGCTGAGGATGCTCTCTATACAGCAAGCTTTGGCGAAGTCTGTGGGCTCACTCGGAGGACCTGGAGCGCAGTCTCACAGTCCCCGGGTGGTTGACACCTCACCTTCAGTGGTGGACCAATGTCGGAATCTCACCAGGGGGTCCCCTTGAAATCCCGGACGCCAGCTCTCACAGTTCAGACCGGCGCGCCCTCACGGGCTGGGGTGTTCTGGGCAGTCTGTCGGTGTCCGACTCTGGTCCGGGTCGGGCCCACCTTCACATCAACGTGTTGGAACTGAGAGCTGTGCGTTGGTTTTCGAGCCTTCAGAGAGCATGTCCAGGGCCAGGTAGTCCGCCTTCAGTTGGACAACCAGACGCCATGTCGCACATCCTGAAGCAGGGCGGCACGGTGTCCCCAGCGCCCGGGAGGCGGGACTTTCTCCTCTGGTGCCACTCAGTGCGCATTGTCAGGTACTCCCTGTTTATCTCCCCGGGCTGGAGAACGTGCGAGCAGACGCCGCCTCGCCGATCCTGGCCCCGCGACGAGTGGATGCTCGACAGGCAGATTTTCAGAGTTATCTCCCAGTTGTACGGGGTCGCTCCAGGTGGATCTGTTTGCGCCCGGGCGGGACGAAATCAGACACCCGTGTTCTGCTCTCGGTCACCGACCCAGGGCGCTTGGCTGCCGACGCCTTCCTGCTGGATTGACGGGCAAAGTGCTCTGGGCATGCCCCCGCCGCTACCACTCATTCCCCGTGGTCCTTTCACAGCTGTCCACCCAGCCAGCTCGGCTGCTTGTGCTACTGGCACCGCTTTGGCCGTCACAGAGCTGGTTTCCGTAATTCTCAGGTTTCTGGCTCAGCCTCCTGTTCTATTACCTTTACGAATCGACATTCTCACTCAGAACGGAGCTTCCCACCCAAATCCACGGATTCAGTGGGTGGCTTGGCCTCTGTCAGGTCTAGCCTCGAGGCACGCTGAATTCCTGCAGCAGTTGCAGACACAATTCTGGCTTCGAGGCGGATTCGGCAAACGCTCAGTATGAGGATAGGTGGTCCCGCTTATGCCGCTGGTGTTCAGATAGGGGATTGCAGATCCCTTTCTCTGCGGATTTAGTCCGAGTATTGGAGTTTTTGCAAGCCCGCTTGGAAGAAGGCCTGGCGGCTTCGACCATTCGCGCGCTACTCCACCGCTATTTCCACTTTTCACACCCCTGTCGATGGTGCTCTTCTGGGGCAGCACCTCTCATACAGCGCTTTCGCTGGCGCTGAACGGGTTCGACCTGCTGTCAGGCTTAACCAGCCCACCTTTGGGATTTGTCAATTGTGCTCGATTGGCTGTCCGTCCAACTTTCTCACACCTATCGGCTATTTCCATTCAGTTGTTAACTTGGAAGGCTGTTTTTCTGGTGGCGTAACGCCTGGGCGTAGGGTCGGCGATTTACATGCTATGTCGTCCGACCCGGGCGCTGACTGTGTTTCACACTGATCGTGGTCAGTATTCGGCCCCGGATACGCATCGCCGGAAGGTCGATCACGCTTCCATGTGACAGCTCCTATCGAACTTCCCACTCTTACCCAGCCTTCCACATCGGGACCTCTGCAACGAAGCACTCACCCGCTGGATGTCCGTGAAGACCCTCAAAGTCTATATCAAACTTAACGCAGGGAACTGCACGGGGTACCCAGCTGTTCTGTTGTTACGGGCGGCGGAAGGCTGGTGTGCCAGCGAGCAAGCAGACTTTGTCTCGCTGGCTAGTTTCGCGTATTTGTGCCGCTTTATCAGGCTAAGGGCAAGCCTCCCCTGAGGGGTTGAAGGCTCACTCGGTCAGGGCAGTAGCCGCATCAAAGCTTTTGCATCGCACTCCCCATTGAAGAGATCTGCTCTGCCGCTATTTGGAGCCGCCTAGCACGCTTATTCGGCATTATCAGCTCGATACACATTCCCCGTAATCGCGGCGAAGCTTTGGCCGCTCTGTTCTCTCCAGTGGACAGTGTCCTGCCACCCTGACCAAGTGAGTCTTGGTTCATTGGTTTTGTTTGACGCTACTGTACAATACTGTGTGTTATTGACATGTCTGCTACTGGGAGCTAACTACCCACATTTCGCCTCTCTACACGGAGTAATAGGTCGATTGTGAGCTGTTTTGACATTCCCCACGGTGCTCACTAATCGACACGCGGGTGGGTGGGGCTTTGTTTACATTCGCATTCATGTGCGCATTGCCTATGCTAACATATGGAGGTCGCCTTTGAGCACAAATCCTCCCTGTCAGTTCCCTCCCATAATGCCTCTCGCGAAGCTTAAACTGGGACATGTGACAGGTGAGTGTTATGGCGCCTGTTACATTTTTTCCCATTAACGATAGCTATTTGTGTGTGCTTGGACAGAATTCCTCCTCCCTGGCCTCCGGGTCTTTGGGAGTCTGTGTTTATGCATATTATGTACCCCAAGGACGATCTCTATGAAGAAGAATTAACCAAACCTGAAGAGGTTTTAAATTCTTCAAGAGAGTCGCCCTTGGGGTAGGGCCTCCCGCCTCCCCGCAATTCTGTTCACTGATGTATTCAGCAGAAGGAATGATGATACGGGCCTAGGTGCTTACTCCAGTTGGTGCGCATGCTAACGGGAGGTAACTCCGCGAGGTGGGGCCGATAATAAATAAAAGAGTTTATTTATTGTACAATCTTTTATTCAAAAACATTGATACAACTGTCACAGGACATTTTCAGCTTGGAAAATGCATAATATGTACCCCAAGGACGACTCTCTTCGAAGAATTTAAAACCTCTTCAGGTTTGGTCATCATGGGAGAGCCACTATCATAGAGAGTTATCATCATGGGAGAGCCACTATCATAAAAGAGTTATCATGGGAGTCATAAGAGAGTTATCATCATGGGAGAGCCACTATCATAAAAGAGTTATTGTCATGGCATAGCCACTATCATAAAAGAATTATCGTCATGGGAGAGCCACTATCATAAAAGAGTTATCATCATGGGAGAGCCACTATCATAAGAGAGTTATCATCATGGCAGAGCCACTATCATAAAAGAGTTATCATGGGAGAGCCACTATCATAAGAGAGTTATCATCATGGGAGAGCCACTATCATAAAAGAGTTATCATCATGGGAGAGCCACTATCATAAGAGAGTTATCATCATGGGAGAGCCACTATCATAAAAGAGTTATCATGGGAGAGCTATCATAAGTTATCGTCATGGGAGAGCCACTATCATAAAAGAGTTATCATCATGGGAGAGCCACTATCATAAGAGAGTTATCATCATGGGAGAGCCACTATCATAAAGGGAGTTATCATCATGGGAGAGCCACTATCATAAAAGAGTTATCATCATGGGAGAGCCACTATCATAAGAGAGTTATCATCATGGGAGAGCCACTATCATAAAAGAGTTATCATCATGGGAGAGCCACTATCATAAAGAGTTATCATCATGGGAGAGCCACTATCATAAGAGAGTCATCATCATGGGAGAGCCACTATCATAAGAGAGTTATCATCATGGGAGAGCTACTATCATAAGAGAGCTTGAATATAATCATACACGAAGAGTGTAAGCAAGACACATGACAGCTGAGAGATGTTTCTGACGTTGTTGTGTACTTGACTCCAGATACCACCGCATGATGCTGTCCAAGGTGAAGCCACTCCATGCTAAGGTTGATGAGACAACGCAGGCAGTGGACAGTGCGGAACACAAGATGAACACTCTGGAGAGCAAGAGAAAGGTGGGTCATCTTCAACACAGTAATCACCTACAATAAACTTGTTCAAGTCCATTTTTTTCATCATCATGTCAACTCTATCCTTAATGTTTCACCTTCTCCTCAGATGTATTTTTTCAGCACTTTTTAAAGTATTCATTTTTTACCAGGTTCTTAATTTGTACACAATCCAAGTCTAACATATGTTACATTTGAGACTTCATTGCACAGTAAAGTACAGATCCAGAACTGTTTTGGGTTGCGTCCGTCCGAGATTCAAACCCAGACTTTTCTTTACCAGCCACTGTGATAGGGCGCTGGAATAGTGCTGATTGTAGCTTTTAACAAATATACCTGTCTTTAAACTTGGACTATTTGAATTCATTTCGATCCTCAAAAGCTTAGTCCTTTCATCGTCTCCATCATCCGAGATGATCTCCACTGATACACAGTAGTTGTAGCCGCGACATCTGCAGTTATCCATCGTCTGTGTAAGATGTGCTTATACTGACATGTGATGCTGCAGGCTCTAGAGATTCGTCTGGCGGACCTGGCCCGAGGGTTTGAGGAGGCCACCATTGACAAGAACGAGCAGGAGGAGAAGACGGTCAAGATGAAGAAGATGCTAGACACAGCTGCACAGCTCAGGAAGGTCAGTGTCCAGCATATAACCAGTGGATGAAATAAGCCAAAAGTCCAAGCAGACATCAGGGCCGGTAACTTCAAAATGTTACCAGCCCAAAATGGATTTAACCAGAATTTACTCAGATGTATTGAACATTTAAAATTTTTACCGCACCATCAGACGGGCTAGCTGTAAATTTAGACCGTCCGTCAGAAATCTAGACCGTCTCAGGCAGTCGGACGGGCCTTATTTCATACACTGATATAATAAACAGATTGTGTGTGAGCATTTTGAGCATGTGCCTTGTACATGGAACAGGCGCATTATTAATGCACAATTATTATCATATCATATATCATATCATATCATATCATATCATATCATATCATATATCATATATCATATCATATATCATATAATATATATCATATCATAATATATATCATATATCATATAATATATATCATATCATATCATATATCATATCATATCATATCATATCATATCATATCATATCTCAGGTCATGTCCTGTTGTGTCGGGGGCGGTGGGGTAGCCTAGTGGTTAAAGCGTTGGCTCGTCACGCCGAAGACCCGAGTTCGAATCCCCACAAGGGTAAAAAGTGTGAAACCCATTTCTGGTGTCCCCTGCCATGATGTTGCTGGAATATTGCTAAAAGCAGCGTAAAACCAAACTCAGTCAGTCAGTCAGTCCTGTCGTGTCGTGTCGTGTTATATATATTATGATCATGTACACACCGAAGTTGAATGAAAATCTGTCTTAACTAAGGGACCGTTGGTGTGTGTGTGGATTGGGTGTGTGACAATGATTTTAAAGAGAGTGGGGTGGGGGTCACCCACTGGGAGATTAGGGGTCAGCAATTTTGTTCATAAAAATATTTTAGATTATGCTTAAAAAATATGGGAGGGGTGGGTGAGGTCATTGATTTTGTACATGACATGAAGGGGGGGTCACTTACTTTGTACATAAATTTAAGTGGGGGTCATAGACATTGTACATGCTTCTCCATAAAATCATCATCACCATCCTAGCCATAAATTATGAATGGTCCCTAAAACATATGAAAGTCTGAACGTATGCATGCATTGTCAGAAATAAATGCATACATTATTGACTTAGTGTTACTGTATCCATTAATTCAGTTTAAACATGTTTTATTTTACTGTGTTCTGTAGATCCTGAAAGGCGAGAGACAGCGAGGTCAGCAGATCTATGACTCGCACAAGCGCCGCCTGGTGGCCATTCCAGGAGGCTGCGGGATGTCGGCAGCCTTTGCCACGTACCTCGGTCCCTACCACCACAACTTCCGACGTGTGATGCTGACAGTCCACTGGCCCAACTGTCTGAGGGAGAGGGGCATCCCACTGGTCATTGACTCCATTGATGGTCTTAGAGGTATGGCCATGTGATCTGTGTAGGATAAAGCACGACTCCGAGGTTATGGTTGGGAAAGTAAGACCCGAGACCGGAGGATGGGGAGAAGTAAGACCTCGAGCGCGTAGCGCTATAGGTCTTACTTCTCTCCACCAGATGGTCGAGGAGGAGTGCTTTATTATACATTATGATGGATAATTAGATGATCATGTAATGAAGCTACATAAGAGTAACTGAAGCGCTAGTAAAATCAATTGAATGACAGTAGGCCTAACTATAAATAGATAATTCAACCCTAATTCTTTGTCGGCCTGGTGGCTGTGAGGTAGAGCATCCGCTTATGAATCTGAAATGTGCGGTTCCTATCCTGCTAGGGAAAACATTTGTACATTTAAGTTGATCTTTTACGATATTTTTCAATTGCTTTCAAACACTAACATATCATCTGAATTTGAATATTGATGTTAATATAGAGTTAGGAAAAAGTAAAACCTGGGAAGAGGTCATACTTACAAAAAGTAAAACCTGGGAAGAGGTTATACTTACAAAAAGTAAAACCTGGGAAGAGGTCTTACTTACAAAAAGTAAAACCTGGGAAGAGGTCATACTTACAAAAAGTAAAACCTGGGAAGAGGTCATACTTACAAAAAGTAAAACCTGGGAAGAGGTCTTACTTACAAAAAGTAAAACCTGAGAGCAAACAACAACCTCAAATGCGGGTATTCCGGGAAAAGAAGCCATGTCTAATACATATGTATATAGTGAGAAGCAGCCTTCAGGTTTATATGACTACAGCAGTTGACTTGATTGACACATGTCATTGGATCCCAGTTTAATTTCTTGAAACTGATGCTGAAACTCTTGTTTAGACCAGTAGACACAGATGTTAAGACCGATTGATTATTGAACCATGTATCAGTATGTTGAGCGTCAAGTCCTCCTTAAGGTTGCATAATGTAGGTGGAGATTTTATGTGAAGGATTTAGTGCTGGCTATGAACCCCCTTTTTGCTCTGCCCTTTAGGACGGGTAATAGACTGGTCCATCAACTTCCTGAAGACAGCGTCCGGCGCCAGCTCCATATACGAGGCTGACTACATGTCCGTCATACAAGGGGAGCTGGACATACCTGATGACATCGATGACAAGGAGAAGGTAGTGTTTGTGTGTGGTACCTGGCTTATAATAGGTCGCTTAAACTATATTACTTGTTGTAAGAAAATAAAAGTGGATCGGATAGTCATCAGATGTCATTGTGACCTGCTGTCTTTTGGCATTACTCATGATATTTATAGACTGCTGGGATAGAGCAGATATGTTGGTCTGTAGTGATAAACTAATCCACTGACTTCCTACACTGACTTCAGTAGCAGACGTCAAGTGGATGGTCTGGGATTTTATCCCCAACTTCTGAATACGAAAATGTTTCAAATGATGGTACTTGTTAAAGTGTTCTGTGCTTGGTACTGAGGCATAAAAGATGGATAAGTCATCTCAGAGTAGTTATATTGACTCAGGTATTCATGTACAAGTGCAGCATGGTATCACATTGTGCTGGTAAAAGAGTGTGTGCACATTTGTGCACACATACATATGAACAGTCATCCACCCCCTCCAGCCCCACTCCAACATGGTGTCCTTATGGTGAATCAAAATCAGCTCTTCAGGGTGATGAGTGAATAGTTTAACCTTTGGGATATCCCACTGCCCTTCTAATAGGGCTGTGCAATATAACCGGTTTACCAGTATTTACCGGTTCAGACATGAAAACGATACGTATTGCGATACGCTGATCGAAAACCGGTATTTTGACATGCATTTTGAAAACTTCGTAACAGTCGAAAATCTTCGGATATTTCCGTTTTTTTAATTGTTCTTTTCCCTGTTTCATTATGGCCTAATGTTACTTACATTTTTATTTTGTCACAATTAATAGTTTTTAAAAAAGGTTAATCAATCATAGTGATTTTGTTGTGTTTTTGCTTTATAATCAATCATTTAAAAAAAATCCTTGCAATATATTGCAATACATATCGCAATATATGCTTCCGTATCGCAATATGAAAATTCTCTGCAATACCCACCCCTACCTTCTAATAAATCCGACAACGGACTGGGCAGTCGTGGAAAGTTAAAAATCGATGTCTGTTGTCAGGAGGGAGAGGAAGATGCAGGAGGGAAGAAGAAGGAGGAGAGGGAACAGGAAGTATCCAAGGCGGAGGAGTTGGGTGAGGGTGGTGACTCCCCTCCTGCCACACCCAAGGCACCAGTGACCCCCAAATCTGGAGCTGTGAAATCATCTGACCAGGACATGGATGAGGGACGCAAGACAAGTGGAGAAGATGTAACAGGTACTGCCAGCCTTCTTGACCCTTGCATGGTGTGTGGAAAAACTCATTATTTTTAATTTAGCACAGATCAATTGTCCCAGTGGTCTATGGTGCCGCATTTAGCTGTACAGAGTTGTGTCCCTTTGGCATGTGAGAAACCTGTGCATTCAGGTTCAAATCTTGGTTCACCTCAGTTAAGTGTTTAGGTCTGTCAGTTCAATACCCATTTATGTATCAACAATGTGATAAATGCCTGAGAGCTGCATTGCAGGCATTTTTAAGCTATCAAATTGACACACATGATATAACTGAAATACTGTTCAACCAGTGTGAAAATATATTAATCACCAACATTAACTGAACAAACCTGCAAACATGGAGATATCTTTCATTTAAAATGCTTCTTAGTAACTACAAGAGCAGTGGCGTTAGAAATGCACAGTCCGCGATCTTAAGTATAGTTTCTCTGAAGTCTGTGGATACCTCCATGCTCCATTACTGCAGAGTCCCTTGATTTCATTCCTCAAACCAAACATTGCCTATTTCAATTTGCAACTGTCATGTCAACCACAGATGTATTTAGAAACTGTGATATATCTTGAATTGTGCAGACTGACAAAACAGATAACTTTTCAGGTAGATAAGCACCTGTGAAGATCCGGGTTAGAATTGGTCTTAAGTAATCCGGGCTTGTCGTAAGAGGCGACTAACGGAATCTGGTGGTCAGGCTTGCTGACTTGGTTGATACATGTCGTGGTATCCCAGTTGCATAGGTCGATGCTCATGCTGTAACTGGATTGTCTGGTTCAGACTCAATTGTGTACAGACCGCGCCAACAAGCAAACCAGTTAGATAAGCAGGGTTTAATGTTACATCAACAGTTAGCTTGTTCCAGTTTAGACTATGTCATATTATTATTTTGTAGTGCTTTGAGCACCCACTTAGTGGTTGGATTTAGCTGTATAAATGTTCTGTATTATTGTTACTATTTCATATATGATGACTCTGAGATGATGATGTGTCTGCCACCAGGTGATGTCCTGGCCGATGGAGAGGATCCCATGCTGGGTGCTGGAGGTCTCGAGAGAATAGCAGAAGAGGATGATGATGAGTATGGCAGCCAGTACTCCGACAGTACTGCACCAGTACTCACTACCATGCAGTACAACAAGTATGTGCGCAGCCTCATCAAACTCCTGATCGGGGAACCAACTCTCAATGACTGGATTAGAAAAGGTAGGATATCTTGGGTATAGTACATTAGTGGGGGAACACTGCCATTTACAGCAGAAGTACTGCGCTTTACAGTGGGATAAGTGCACTTTGTGACATGAATATTGCACTTTACAGTGGGATTAATGCACATTACTGCAGAAGTACTGCACTTTGCAGTGGGATTAATGCACATTACTGCAGAAGCACTGCACTTTACAGTGGAATTAATGCACTTTACTGCAGAAGCACTACACTTTACAATGGAATTAATGCAATTTACTGCAGAAGCACTGCACTTTACAGTGGAATTAATTGCACTTTACTGCAGAAGCACTGCACTTTACAGAGGAATTAATGCACTTTACTGCAGAAGCACTGCACTTTACAGAGGAATTAATGCACTTTACTGTAGAAGTACTGCACTTTACAGTGCGATTTAGTGCACTTTACTGCAGAAGCACTGCACTTTACAGTGGAATTAATGCACTTTACTGCAGAAGTACTGCACTTTATAGTGGAATTAATGCACTTTACTGCAGAAGCACTACACTTTACAATGGAATTAATGCACTTTACTGTAGAAGCACTGCACTTTACAGCAAAAATGGTGCAGTTTACACAAGTACTACTTCTGAGTGCTGAAACACTTCACTTTGGTGTGTGAATCCTGCATTTTAAATGGTAAACTGGACCTCACTGCAGGGGTAGTGCACTTTACTGATTAATAAGAAAGTACAGCCAAGGGCTAGCTAAGGAGAGAGGCACCTACCTATGTATATCTCTGTATCTAACACCATCTCTGAGGCAAGTGAAGCAATGGACCTTTGTTGTGTTAAACTGATGGTGTTGGAAACTAAAATATGATGAAACAAACCAGTTAAAGCTAACCCACTGATGGTGTTGCTTAATGTGTTCAGACTTCGGACCTCGGCAAATCGAGAATGCAGCAATACTGAGCACCTCCTGGCAGAGACCACCAATGATGATCGACCCCAATGGAGAAGGTTCCCTATGGCTGGGGAGACTCAACAAGTTGATGAACAAACACAAACTCATCTCCCTCGACATGGAAACAAGGTGAGGCGGACATTCTTATGCACAACATGATGATTTGGGGCACTTGGGTTTTGTCAGCATTTTCACATAGCTTTTACTTTTTAGCAATCGTTAAAGAGATTTTTCAGACATACTGAAAACTGCACTAACAGAAATGTGTAACTTTGTTAATTCAACTTTACACATTACGAGCATTCTCTGAAAGTTATCTCAATATCAAGGTCTGACTAATCAGCAAAAGCAAAGTTAATTGAAGCCGTTAACCACAACAGCTCTTAAATATTACCCAAGTTACATTGAAGAGATGACAATACCAGAAATTATAACTCCCTCTATCAATAATAATGGTACAGTTAGATGCCTAAAGGGCAGGGCTGGCTCAAAAGATCGATAATCATAAATATTGTTGCTTGAAAAATTCTTAATGATTATGAATATGAATATTTAGGTTTTTATTCATGGGCTGCATCTAAATTATGTTCAGAAAGCTGTTTTGAGAGTAACCCATGCATAATCATCACCACTCGCCAATGATGTGAAATATACTCACCTCTTTCAGTCTTTTGGCATATTTTCTCAAAGTTATTTCTGCAATTTGTATTGATAATCGATCAATATTTTGATATCGATTATTGATCCCATGATCTGTATTGATAGCCAGCCGTGGTAAAGGGTTGCTGGGGGAGCTTTCTCTTGTAATGACATTATTGCTGTGGGGGTGAATAGAATAATTAGACTGGGAATTTAACAAGACCTATATGATTGGATCAGTGCAATGAGTGACACCAGGTGTTCGGTAAACTAACTGGTAATGGGTGTTGTAACGTGGTACAGGTGTGTGAGTGTGTCGCAGCGTGTACTAACAGCATGTTTTCTTTATCTCCTCCCGACCACCATGTTCCTGCGTCCTCTGCACTGTGTATACATAGATGGTAGGTACACCACGCCACAAAACTAGCTTACCACCATCTGCTGTTGTCGCCTGTGTGAAAAGTTGACACATATCTTCAACACAGCAAAGATTTTAAGATTGTCCATGAATTACAGTGCTTGAGTTCATACAGTGGGAAATTGCAGTATGAGCAAGACCGACTTAATACCTTGTTTTAGTTTGCCTGTCAATGTTGAATCACAACAATCACTCCCCAAAATTTGTGTCCAGAAACCCTACAGGAACAGTCTCAGAATTACATTGCCATTTTTTCGTAATTTTGCTTGTTGCTTCCTGCCTGCTTCTGCGGTGCAAAGAATTTTCTTTGTTTTAAAAAGAGACAAAACAAACTAAACAATTAACCTCAAGAAGGTTGCTGTAGATCATGATCAAGAAAAAACAATATACTTGGAATAGCCACAATGGAGTCATAATTGGAGCATTTGTTTTGTATAAATGAGTGGCATCTTAGAATTTGGGGTGAGGTGAGGTGAAATTGGGTTTAACGTCGTGCTTGAGAATATTTCGCTCATATGACGAAGTGCATGCGTGTGTGTGTGTATGTGAGAATGCTTGTACTAGCCCAGACTGAAGCTGGTTTTATAGTGCTAGCCCACTGAGATACCATGCCGCAGTGAAGCATGAATACCCCATTCAGACACATTATACTGACTCCGAGCCGACCAGTCCTTGTTGTACCCATTAATGCCGAGCGCCAGGTAGGGACCAACAAGTACCATATTTTAACGTCTTTTGGTATGACGTGGTCGGGGATCGAACCTGCGACCTTCCGCTCTCCGGACGGACGCTCTAACCACTAACCACGGAGGCGGCCTTTAGAATTTGGGAAGTACAATATCTTCAAACTTTATAGATACAACTTCTTTATTTCATGAGTGCGACATCATGATACAGATTCTTGTACTGTTGTCCAGCAGGAAGTCCTAGTTTGTTTATGTGATAAAGAACGTAACACTAACTTTGACAGGCTCGCTCCTGTGCTGTTTGTTACTAGTTGTAAGCCATATATCGTGGAAGTTTTCACATACTTTTGACAACTGGATGGTGGTGGGCAGTTTTCAGGTGTATTTTTGCATGAGTTTATAAGATATAGGAGATGATGAGTATAATAGTGATGGAAAAGACATCATTGTCCTCTTATTTTGTGACATTATTTATATGTTTACATGTGTCGCTAAACATTTGGATGATCACATTTAACATGTTATTCAAGAGTTCAGCTTCATAAGTCCTTGATGTTTTTAGTTTGTCCTCATAGGCCTCAAAAGATGCGTCGGAAAAACAATTATGTACCTTGGAAAAGCTTCTTATTTCTTTTAACCCACACTCAAACAAATTATCTTTGTCTTCCATGTTCACCTGCATCAGTCTAAGTCTAAAATGGAATGGCCTGAAATCTTGACATGGAATACAAATATCAGTAGGTGTAATATATTGTATGATTTGTGTGACCTTGACTTTATAGAAGGGCCTTGAAAGCGTTGAAAGCGCCTAAAACTTTGCAAATGAAATTCTGAATGAGTATAAGCCATGTGTTGGAGCACAAAATATGTTGTGTCACCTTCTCCCACTTGTCCATCCACTGACTTGTTCTGCCTGTCTCTAGGACAGATCCACAGGTTATTCTCACCCTGGAGAAGGCCATAACTCGGGGCAAGCCTGTCCTTCTGAGGAACTGTGAGGAGCACATAGACAACATCATCACACCACTTGTACACCACAGGAACACTGCCAGGGAGAACAACAATGATGAAGGTGTGTGGTAGAGGGACGGAGTTACCGCAGTTCAGTTAGCTATCAAGGGATTAGCTTCGGTTCAGTAACAAATTAAGTATTTAAAGGTGATCTTGAAATTTGAATAGAATAGATATTGCTGAAATATTGCAAAATGCAGCATAAAACTATACTACACTTGACTATATTGATTTCAGTTTAGTCTGTCTTCAATGAGGACAGAACTTGTTAACTTGTGTCAAGTCTGTTATACATCATAATCTGTCTTCAATGAGGACAATGCTGGTCAACTTATGTTGGGTCAGTTATATATTATGGTCTGTCCTCCATGAGGAACAGAGCTCATTGACTTGTGCATGTTCAGTCATGTATCACAGTTTGTCTTCCTTGAGGAACATATCTGGTAAACTTGTGTCAGTTCCATTATATATCTTACAGTCTTACTTGCATGATGAGCTAACTGACTTTCATGATCCCACAGCACTGATTCTAAACAATAGACTCAAACCCATATGGAAATCCAATGCATTCATCCTAGTATTATATGTTTATTATAGAACCTCGTATGATCATGTTCTGTGGGAGACGCATATTGTGCCACCAGAACTTCCGCTTCTACCTGTCCACGCCACTCCCCAAACCCAAGTTTGATCCCGACATCGCCTCCACGACCTGCCTCCTCAACTTTGGTGTCTCCCACGACACCCTCATTGAGGATCTGCTGATGAGAGCCTTCGCTCGTATCCGCCCTGACCTGTACAGGGAGCGGGTGATTGCTCTGCGAAACCTGCAGTTGATGAAGGACACGCTGTACCGGCTGTCGGAGACGGTGAAGGAGCGGGTGCTGGCAGGGGGCCAGGAGGCCATGCTCAGCAGTCCCAAGGCTTTACAGTTCATCACAGACCTCACTGAAGCCAAGATGAAGGTAGGCACCAGTTTAAAAGGACTCCAGTTTGAGTGTGTATAAAGGGATATACACACATCCTCATCTCATCTTCTTGAATATATTTATGTATTTATGGTTTGTGTATTTTTCTTAAACATTTTCTGGAGCACACAACACATTTGTGTATTCATGTTTATTATGACTTCAGAAGCAGTATTTGTACAGGCTTACACAACCATCCCAATCCCTTTTCTTCAGAGGGAACTGTATGAGAAAAAATTTACATCCGATTTATTTTAGCGATTATTGCTGCAATGTGATTGATCAATGTTGATAAATGGATTACTTACCCTGGAAACATTCAGGTTATCAGGTTCCGGAGCACAGATTCTCTCATCATTTAAGTAGCAAAATTTGAAGTGAGGAGTTTCTTCTGTTAATTGTGCAAGGATCATTGGTTTGAATTACAGGTTTTGCCCGATTGCGATTCTTGTTTTTTCAGCACCATATGTTAAACATCCCTTATCTATAATTGTCTCAGCATCTTAATTCTCTCAAAATACTCAAGGCGGGATGGAAACCAATTTGTAAACTTGATGGTGTTTCAGCTTGCCAGGAAGCTGGCTGATACACAGAGTCTTCTGGACGACCTTGAGCTGTTGAAGGATGAATTATTCCCCCTTGCCAGGCGGGCAGCCATGATGTTCTCTGTCCTACAGAGTCTGCCCAGTGTCCACAATGAGTACCAGTTTACCCTGCAATATTTCATTGAACTCTTCGATGAGGCTGTTGGAGGAGAACTTCCCAAAGACTTTGGACAGGACCCAGATGCTGAAGATGTGAGTGTAGTTAATGTGTAGTTAAGGGCGTGGTGGGCGAGCTGGCTAAGGCGCAAGGCTAGTGATCCAGCGAGCTTGAGGTGTTGGGATCGAGCCCACCTGCCACGGGGTGTGACAACCTTGGAGTCAACATTCTGTGCAGACTCTTTCAGTGTTGTCACAACCCCTAGTGTACAGTACACAACCCTCTGCACTTAAAAGAACCCACGAATCCGTTGGTAAATGACCAGATGGTGGCCACATGAATACGTGCAAACACCTAGTTGCGGGTCAAGCAATGTTCAGTAAACTTGGACAAAGTACTGTGACTATGTGTCCCAGTCCACCCAACTGTGAATGGGTACCTTGTAAGGATGGGAAAGCCACAATAACTAGGTGATCCTCAGGGAGTTGAGATTGATAATACAATGTTCCATTGAGATTGACATCCAATGACAGAGGGAAACAAAACAGCACCTTGAGCATGTACTAGTTGCAATGATATGTGTGCTATATAAATATCCTGTAATAATAATAGTCAATCAGATAACTTGTGATTCTAATTACATAGGATACCGTTTACATCATGCGTTGCTTTCAAGTCTATGCTGCCCAAAGATAATAGATATTGGTCTCAATTTCAGGTGTATAAGATGGTGAAACTATGAATTAGAATTAAGTCTAAAAATTGAAATAGAAATTTAATCAAATGGTTTTAATGATTTCTATTTGAAGGTGGTTTGTACATAAAACACCCAGGATTTCTTACTTTTGTCCCTAGGAAAACTGTGTATACATACGGCTTGAATAAGACGGATAGTAAGAGTTTTGTGTGATCTGGTTGGTGAGAGATGCATATATTGTATGACCAGAAATTATTGAGAATTTTAGGAATATGTTTAATTGGATTTCTAGTATAAACAACCTTGACCAGCTACCAAGTGCTTGGTTTCATTCAAGAGAGACAACCTCGTTAATCCTTTTTCATTAGTTTGTGAAGAGTTATCCCCCTTTGTTTACTTGCTAGCAGACGACATTTTCAGTGATCCTCAGTATGGATGATTTAGAGAAGAGGAAGTTGATTTTAGAGTATTATAACAAGGACATCAGATCAGCTAAAGTGATTTCAAGTAGAACAGGCATCCCTTTGTCCACTGTTTATCGTGTTTTGAAAAAAGTTGCAAATGGATATGGCATTGAGCACCAGGGAGGGGCAGGTAGGCCCTGAAAATTGACTGTCGGTGACAGGAGGCGGCTTGGTATTTTTGTTTCTAAAAACAAACGAAGGAGTTTAGAAAACTTAAGGCTGGATATGATTGATAGAGGAACTGTGGCTGCCTGTAAGGAGACAATTAGAACTGAGCTGCATGCCATGGGTTGGCAGAAAAGTCAAGGAATTCCATCACCGATCATGAAACCTGAACAAAAGGAGCGAAGGTTGAACTGGTGCTTACAGCATAGAAATTTTAACTGGGACAATGTGATTTGTGGCTGTTTCCTAATACACTGAAATATTGACCAAACAAACTGAAAAACCTTTGTATCAGTGCCCAAAGTACAGTCCGAAATTTAACGTGTGGGGTGGCATATGTGTGTTAGGGGCAACTCCCCTCTGTGTATTTGAAGGGAATATGAACAGTGAGCGGTACACAGATATTCTCGAGGGACATTTACTTCCATCTGCTCACGTGTTCTATGGAAATTTTTTGATTTTCCAGCAGGACAGCAACCCAAAATATCGTTCAAAGCATTCACAGGCCTGGTTTCGGACCCAAAATATGACATTATTAGATTGGCCAAGCTACAGCCCTGACCTAAGTCCAATAGAAAATGTTTGGGGACTTATGAAGGAATTGTCAATAAGAAAAATCTGACAAACATTGCTGAAATGAAAGAAGAGGTGGTCCGATATTGGGACAGCATGGACCACGACTTTCTAACTTCTTTGATCAGTAGTATGCTCCGCCGCATTGAAGCCTGCATTGCTGCCCATGGTGACTTGACAAAATACTAACTGTTCACCTGTCTTTGAATCTGGAGTTATGTTCTGCTAATATTCACATTTAATACATGAGTAATGAGTGAAAAAAATAAAAAAAATTACAATCTTTAAATTCTCAATAATTTCTGGTTGTACTGTATGTAACACTGTATGTATTTAATTAATAAATCTTGTAGTATTAGCAGATTTGCCAACAGTCCGATAGAAGTCTACAACCCGCCGGCCCCAGTGTCTGACAGTATATTTCACAATGACTTTGACTGAAGTTGTTATATGGGACATGTGACACCTGTTTGCTGTTTATAAATCTTATGTTTGTTTATAATTTCAGTGCCAATTATAAGAAATGCTAAATCTGAAATGTGTGTTTACTTTTATTCTATGGGTCCTGTGAATTTTCAATGGGTCAGACAGACATCTGAAACTTACAGGACCCAATGTCCTGTTCCTTTGAAACACGATTCGTGAACCCTGTATAAGTATTGAGAACTGTTTGTGTAGGGCTATGAGCTGGATGGTGAGAGCAGTGTGGAGGTTGACAAACGGCCTCGAGTCGGCAGCACTTCATCCCAGGCATCAAACACAGAGAAGACTGCCACAGACAAACCCACAGACTCAGGTATAGCATTACTGAATATGTATGTTGAAATATTACTACTAGAATCCCATAGAGGAGTGTGTGTGTTATGATTATTGGACTGTTATAATTATTCCATTACTTACTGGTACTTAAAGAAGTGATATTATGACAAAAATAATGTGCATGGTGACTGCTGACAATTGTTTCCCTAAGCTAATTGTCAATTTGTCAACTATTTTGGGGTCCTAAATAATACTGTATATGACCGTAGAAAAGCCTAATAGCTGTCTGTAGAAAGGGGTTGGCATATCTACATGTTACAGTTTGGTGAAACTTTTTTTCTGGTGGTAAGAAACAGGGGTGGGCGATAATACCGGTTAACCGGTATATTGCAACTCGAACTTCACAATACAATATATTGTGGTACACTTTTTGCGAACCGGTTCACCCGATACGATCGGTAATTTTCATGATGTAGTCAAAACTACTAGTAACATTTGTGTTTCCTTTATATTATTATACATTAATACTTTGAGAATGTTTATTGGTCATATAATTGCGTTTTGTGTGACTTTTAAACCATATAAATAAGAAAAATAGATTGGTACCGGCACTCGTAAAGATTAACAAACCAAAATGGTGATGCTGCTGCAGACACTTTTTCTCGAGTTCCAAACTTTAGAGCGATGTCTTCAATTTGGAAACATTTTCAATTGATCTCTTGTACAAATTATACCAGTGGTATCGTTTCGAAAGAAAGGAAACAGTAATTTAATTACCTTAACCCATGTGTTACACTTTCACAACATATTGCAATACGCCAACACATATGACAATATATCGCAATACGAAAATTTTGGCAATACCCAACCCTATTAAGAAAAGGATACTGAAATTGTATAGGTAGTTTTGAGCTAATTGATGATATACTGAGCCATTATAAGTATTGAAGTGGGTCAGTTCAGACAACCATGGCGGTGGTGGAGTGCTGTACAGTTGTGTGTTTGTGTCCAGGCAAGGAAGAAACTGTAGCCACGACAGGGGAGGGAGAGGAAGCCAAGCAGGAGTCGGGACATGCAGAGGTCACCACAGAAGGTACTGTAGCTCACCTGGATCATATATGTACAGCTACTGCAGTCTTGTCATCATCAGTTCTCAATGCCGTCCACATGCAAAGATCGTTCTAGGTGAGGTGAGGTGAAATTGGGTTTTACGTCGTGCTTGAGAATATTTCGCTCATATGACGACGTGCATGCGTGCGTATGTGTATGTGCGGCTGCTTGTACTAGCCCAGACTGAAGCTGGTTTTATAGTGCTAGCCCACTGAGATACCATGCCGCAGTGAAGCATGAATACCCCACTCAGACACATTATACTGACTCGGGAGCCGACCAGTCCTTGTTGTACCCATTAATGCCGAGCGCCAGGCAGGGACCAACAAGTACCATATTTTAACGTCTTTTGGTATGACGCAGTCGGGGATCGAACCCGCGGCCTTCCGCACTCCGGGCGGACCCCCTAACCACTACACCACAGAGGCGGTCTGATGGTTCTAGGCCTGGATGGAACCTACAAATAGGGTTTTGGTAGTTGTCTGGTTTAGACTGAGTAAAAGTCACCTGTTATTTGTCAGTTACCAGAAATGTTTTGTTTTGTTTGTTGTTTTGTTTGTTGTTTTGTTTGTTGTTCAACGCTGCTGTTAGCATTATTCCATCTATATGGCAGCGGTCTGTACATAATGGAATTTGGCTGAGAGAATTAATCTATGCATTTGGGATACGATGACATGTGTCAACCAAGTCAGCGAACCTGACCACCCAATCCTATTATTCACCTCTTACTACAAGCATAGGTTGCTAAAGACCAATTATAACCCAGGTCATTGCCAGAAATGGATTGACCATTTTTTTCGGTATATTTCTATCAGAAGAAAGTAGCATCCTCTATATGCTGCTTATACGGTCAGAAATTTGTAGCATTGACCAATCAGAACTTGTGTTACGTATAGTTGAATTAGAATACATTCTTTATAAAGAACGTCTAACATATTGTTTGGTTTGTAGAGTCCACTGCCAGCACTGGAGCTGCTCAGAAGTTTGTGGAGGGAAGTGAGTCTGATGATTTACCTCCTCTAGAGCTGCCTGACACGGTCCCCCCTGCCGTCGGAGGGTGTGGACTACACAGCTCTGTCAGTGAACAAAGTCAAGCAACTGATGGACATACTGACCAGTCTGGTATACCACAGGGTCAAGTTGTAAGTGTAGCTGTCACCTCACACTAACTGATCTTATAGCTAAAATACATGGAATTATCATGAAACGGCCCTCCCATTATCAGAAATTTGCGGGCTGCTGCAAATGATATTGGATCGCTCAACCTTAACGACGGGCCACTATCAGTTCTGTCTTTTTTCAACTGCCCTCCTTTGTCGGGCAGTTAATGGAAGACCTCAGGCTTCTGCAAATGATAATGCCCTCAAAAATAGCATTACCGTTATAGTAGTGACGCCCATATTGATGTGGGAGTGTATCTGTAGGAGTCTGTAGGAGTGAGTGAGTCTAGTTTTATGCCACACTCAGCAATATTCCAGCTATTTGGCCGCGGTCTGTAAATAATCGAGTTTGGACCAGACAATCCAGTGATCAACTGTATGAGCATCGATCTGCGCAATTGGGAACCGATGACATGTGTCAACCAAGTCAGCTTCCCTGCCCACCTGATTCCGTTGGTCGCTTCTTACGACAAGCATGGATTACTGAAGATCAATATTCTAACCCGGTCCTATAGGACTGAAAGTTAGATGATAGTGTTAATTGGTGCAAGTATGTTGATATTATACTTTGAAGTTAATGGTTAGTGTTAATTAGTGCAAGTTTATTAATATTATACTTTGAAGTTAATGGTTAGCATTAATTGGTGCAAGTTTATTAATATTATACTTGGAAGTTAATGGTTAGCGTTAATTGGTGCAAGTTTATTAATATTATACTTTGAAGTTAATGGTTAGCTTTACTTGGTGTAAGTTTATTAAAATTATACTTTGAAGTTAATGGTTAGCGTTAATTGGTGCAAGTTTATTAATATTATACTTGGAAGTTAGTGGTTGGCATTAATTGGTGCAAGTTTATTAATATTATAATTGGAAGTTAGTGGTTAGCATTAATTGGTGCAAGTTTATTAATATTATCCTTGGAAGTTAGTGGTTAGCATTAATTGGTGCAAGTTTATAATATTATACTTGGAAGTTAGTGGTTAGCATTAATTGGTGCAAGTTTATTAATGTTATCCTTGGAAGTTAGTGGTAAGTGTTAATTGGAGCACCTGTAAGTGTGAGTTTGTCTTCAGGAGCCTGTATGAGGAGGACTGTTTGCTGTTCGCCACCCTGGCCTGCCTCAACATCCAGAATGAAGGAGGAGAGGTCTTCTCCACTGAGGAGATGTCACTTCTTCTTCAAGGTACTTACTGATTACCATCATTATCGTTATCAATGTAATAATGATAAAATCTTTCATTTTCTGTGTCAGTAAACAGTAAACAAAGTAACAAAACTTTTTCAGTTTCACAGCAACAAATCAGCAAGTAAATCAACACTAATCTGTGCCAAACACAACTATGTCCACTAACCTGTATTTATCTTTCAGCATCTATATTTCAAGAATTTAATCTTAGCAGACAGGAGTTAACCCTTAACTGGTCAGGACGAAAATCATTGTTTTCCCACATGGGTACTTTTCTGGAGGATCCGTAAAGAACTGATGTTCTCAGACACAGTGTTTGATAGCACAAATACACCTGATTCACGGCAAGGACATTAGCTTTTCATGCTGCATCAGATTCTGTCCGAACTTTGACTGCGTATGATTAACAGACTTTCAGTTTTAGGCACTTGTGACAGGTTGTTGATGGGTAGCTCTCTCCAAGTGATAGGATTTCACATAGAATAGTGTACATCAAATAGAAATAGAAAAGTTGAGAGTATTATCAATTGACTCTTAACATTTGCAAGATAGACAGTTTCTTCTTTTTAAGTTAAAACTTCAATATTTATTAGTTTATTTCACATTTCTCATTACGTTAAAAGGGGGATTTCACGTTTAGCTGATTAACAGGGGATTTCGCATTGAGTTGATTAAAAGGGAATTTCACGTTTATTTGGTTGAAGGGTAAGTAAAAATTTATGTAGTTTAGTTTAACTTCCATTGCGAACCATAGGTAGTTTAGTTAAGTCTACTTTTGGCGGCCTCTGCTGTTGGCTGAATATCGCCAAGAGTGTAACCCCTTACTCAGACTCATTAAATAACTTTTTGTTGAAGGCAACCCTGGTCTAGGAATGCAGCTGACACTGTCGGACTTTGACTGCTCAGACGAGCCGCCGCAGTGGATGCCCCAGGAGAAGTGGGAGGACATTCTGGCCCTGTCTGTGCTGCCCGGTCCTCTGGACAGTCTCTGTGTGGACTTTGCTCAAAACTCAGGTTCCTGGAAGGCCTGGTACAAGTCAGCCTACCCGGAGAGAGAGGCACTGCCTTGTGCTAGCGTAGCTCAAAACACAGACATGCGTGAGTAGAACAATTTAGTTTTTGTGGGTGAGTGAGTTTAGTTTTAGGCTGCACTCAGCAATGTTCAAACTATATTGCAGATGTCTGTAAAATAATCAACAATCCAGTGATCAACAGCATGATCTACGCTATTGGGAACTTTGGACATGTGTCAACCAAGTCAGCGAGTCTGACCACCCGTTAGTCACCTCTTACGACAAGCCTGGGTCACTGAAGATCAATTCTAACCCGGATCTTCACAGCTTTACTCTGTTTTCACACTCATTGAATGCAATAGCGGGCTATTTTAGTATGCTGTTTGGCTCTTTCATTTCACATCCAAACATTTTTGTGCTCTGTTTCACACTACTGAGTGTGCTCAGACTTTGTAGACAGGGTTCAGTTGCTTGTATGCTAAGCTGTTGTCCCAGGGGAGTTGACGTTAAAATATGGTACTTGTTGGTCCCTGTCTGGCGCTCGGCATTAAGCATTAATGGGTACAACAAGGACTGGTCGGCTGGGAGTATAATGTGTCTGTGTGTTTGGGGGAGTTTGGGTAGTCAGTGGTTAAGATGTTCCCTCGTCACGCCAAAGTCCTCAGTTCGATTACACACATGCCCTCAATATGTCCATTTCTGGTGTCCCCCTACTGTGATATTTCTGGAATATTGCTAAAAGTGGCGTAAAACTAAACTCACTCACTCACTCACGCACTGTTGTACCACCCCTGGTAGTATTTATGGATTTTCATAACTCTCTTATAAATTTCTTTTGTCCATGCTTTTAAAGATTTACAACTGTGGTTATATGCTAAGAAGAACCTTTTACAAAATGGTTATACAGGGTATCTGTTTCTGGGCGTTGGTGTAGCCTAGTGGTTAAAGCGTTCGCTCATCATGCTGAAGATTCGGGTTTGATTCCCCACATGGGTACAATGTGTGAAGCCCATTTCTGGTGTCCCCTGCCATGATATTGCCAAAATATTGCTAAAAGTGAACTGAACACACTCACTCTCTCATTCATGTCTGTTTCTGACCTGTTGCTATAATAATTCAGTTTTGGTTAATCTTGAGAGAAAGATTCCCGAAGAAATCCTGCTGCTTGAAACTAACCATTATTCATAAGGGTTTGTGTATACTGCAGCTCCTCCTGAGAGTGGTAGAGCTGGGTCACGTGGCAGTGAGCGAGCTGCCGCAGCTGGAAGCCCTGACCTTGGTCTGCTGAGTGAGTTCCACCAGCTGCTGATACTGCGCATGTTACGACCTGACCGCCTGCCAGCTGCACTGACCAGATATGTGGAGAAGAGCTTGAACTTGACCCTGCCCAAGGAGACTGGCTTCAGTCTGGGAGATGTCCTCCTGGATGCTCGTAGTCATCTGGGTGTGCTGCTACTTCTCCCTCCGAGCCCCTCCCACCTTCACAGCTGTTCAGTCAGCAGGCTCCGACTCACGCATAGTCCTGTTACCATGCTTACAGATCTAGCCAAGGTGAGTCATCAGTCCAGTCACCATGCTTACAGATCTAGCCAAGGTGAGTCATCAGTCCAGTCACCATGCTTACAGATCTAGCCAAGGTGAGTCATCAGTCCAGTCACCATGGTTACAGATCTAGTCAAGGTGAGTCATCAGTCCAGTCACCATGCATTACACATCTAGTCAAGGTGAGTCATCAGTCCAGTCACCATGCTTACAGATCTAGTCAAGGTGAGTCATCAGTCCAGTCACCATGCTTACAGATCTAGTCAAGGTGAGTCATCAGGCCAGTCACCATGCTTACACATCTAGTCAAGGTGAGTCATCAGTCCAGTCACCATGCTTACAGATCTAGTCAAGGTGAGTCATCAGTCCAGTCACCATGCTTACAGATCTAGCCAAGGTGAGTCATCAGTCCAGTCACCATGCTGGACACATCTAGCCAAGGTGAGTCATCAGTCCAGTCACCATGCTTACAGATCTAGTCAAGGTGAGTCATCAGTCCAGTCACCATGCTGGACACATCTAGCCAAGGTGAGTCATCAGTCCAGTCACCATGCTTACAGATCTAGTCAAGGTGAGTCATCAGTCCAGTCACCATGCTTACAGATCTAGTCAAGGTGAGTCATCAGTCCAGTCACCATGCTTACACATCTAGTCAAGGTGAGTCATCAGTCCAGTCACCATGCTTACAGATCTAGTCAAGGTGAGTCATCAGTCCAGTCACCATGCTTACACATCTAGTCAAGGTGAGTCATCAGTCCAGTCACCATGCTTACAGATCTAGTCAAGGTGAGTCATCAGCCCAGTCAGTTTGCTTACAGATCTAGCCAAGGTGAGTCATCAGTCAGTTTGCTTACAGATCTAGCCAAGGTGAGTCATCAGTCAGTTTGCTTACAGATCTCGCCAAGGTGAGTCATCAGTCCAGTCACCATGGTTACAGATCTAGCCAAGGTGAGTCATCAGTCCTGTCACCGTGGCTTCAGATCTTAGATTACCAAAGTAAGTCTTCAGTTCAGTCAGCAAATCTTACACACAGTCCAATCACCATGCCTGTATGTCTAGACAATGTCAAAAAAGGTGTCATCTAGTCCTTGAGGTTTGATAATTTGAATCAGTTTTTAACTTATGACCCAGATCAAGTGATTAAATATTATCGTTTGTGTATCCAGAGTCACAGTGTGTCAGTGGAGGTGGTGAAGATGTGTGATGGGTGTGAAATAGAGGTGGATGAGGCCATCGACACAGCAGAGAAACAAGATGGCTGGGTGATCATTGAAGACCTCCACCTGGCGCCAACCACATTCTATAAGGAGCTCAAGAGACGGCTGCTGAGACTGTACAAGAGCAGAGGTGAGGCTGTGGCTAGTTCATCACAGGTGTTTGTGTCAGACAGATGGGAATATTTAAATCTTGAATTATTTTGTTCCTCATTGTATATTATTACCCACGTGGTCAACGTATGGGTAGTTGCATACTTATCTCGTACGGCACACGAGTGTCGTATCGCGTTGACCTGTGTTGTAACGACTTGACCTGAGATTCTAACGATTTGATTGGATAACCGATGACCTCTCAGTAAGGTCACGTATTTTATTACCCACATGGTCAACGTATGGGTAGTTGCATACTAATCTCGTACGTCACACGAGTGTCGTAACGACTTGACCTGAGATTCTAACGATTTGATTGGAAAAGCGATGACCTCTCAGTTAGGTCACGTTATGACGGAACTACTTGTTCATTCATAACAAACATGTGAATTCATTCATTCTACAACTTATATGCATTGTGGGAATGTAAATATTGCGAACGTTGCCATGTCGCTGTTTAATTGTGAGTCGAACTGAGACATTATAAACGTCGAAAAACATAAACGCAATGTTTCCACCAGTGATGTTAGCTGAGTGAAGCAGTTGCAAGTGAAGAAACAGGGTGCTACGGAGTAGTTTACTGTAGGAGGCTGTACGAGAGGCGATGACAACTGACATGCATCGTGACTTCGGTTACCAAAGGGACAGACGAGCAAGGCGTAGTGACGTCAATACAGTGTGACAACATGCAAAAGTGTACTACAGAACAAAATTCTTCCGCAACCTCTTTATGAAACCGGTTTCGGTTTGTAATCATAACAATAACACAAATACGGTATTTTGTCCATTTAATGCATGTTAGACGAGGGTAATAAATAAAATACCACACTCGGTCTCATTACATACGAATTATACGAAACTCGTGACCTTCCTATGGTTTCTGACCTTGCTTAAACTCGTGACCTTCCTATGGTCAGAAACCATAGGAAGGTCACGAGTTTCGTATAATTCGTATGTAATGAGACCGAGTGTAGTATTCTCTATGAACTCACTCCTTCCAACTTTTTGGTGTAAGAGGCGACTAACAGGATCGGGTGGTCAGGTTTCCTGGTTGACTTGGTTGACAAATGTCATCATATCCCAATTGCGTAGACCAATCTCGTGCTGTTGATCACTGGATTGTCTGCTCCAGACTCGATTATTTACAGACCTCAGCCATATAGCTGTAATACTGCTGAGTGCGGCATAAAACTAAACTCACTCACACACATTTTGATCTGTTCTCTGAGCTTTGTCCTTTCCTCTTTCAGCCGTCATCCCAGCAGAGCAGCAGGACAAGTCTCGGTTCTGTGTGTGGGTGACGAGCGAACCGTGTGAACACATCCCTAACTTCCTGCTGCAGAACCTGCACAAGGTGGCCTGGAACCACATGATCAGCCCGGGGGTGGACGATACAGGGGATCACATCCTTCCCCCTCTCCATCACGTCTCACCTGAAGGATATCTCAAGTCAGGTAGGTCCACATCACAACTCTGTGTCTCAGTGTGCTCTCTCAATCACGTCTCACCTGAAGGATATTTCAAGTCAGGTAGGTCCACATCACAACTCTGTATCTCAGTGTGCTCTCTCTATCACACCTCACCTGAAGGATATCTCCAGTCAGGTAAGTCCACATCTCAACTCTGTATCTCAGTGTGCTCTATCACACCTCACCTGAAGGATATCTCAAGTCAGGTAGGTCCACATCTCAACTCTGTGTCTCAGTGTGCTCTCTCTATCACATCTCACCTGAAGGATATCTCAAGTCAGGTAGGTCCACATCTCAACTCTGTATCTCAGTGTGCTCTCTCTATCACACCTCACCTGAAGGATATCTCAAGTCAGGTAGGTCCACATCACAACTCTGTATCTCAGTGTGCTTTCTTTATCACACCTCACCTGAAGGATATCTCCAGTCAGGTAGGTCCACTTCTCAACTCTGTTTCTCAGTGTGCTCTCTCTATCACATCTCACCTGAAGGATATCTCAAGTCAGGTAGGTCCACATCTCAACTCTGTATCTCTGCATATTTTCATCCATCATGTATCACCTCAAATGTGAAGGTTTTCTCACACCCTTATTTTAATGTAACTGATATAAATCTCAGTGATGTTCTCCTTCATCAAGGGTCAAAGGAAACACTGTGTAATATCTAACTAATCTCCACATCTTCATATCATGTTGTTATTTGTCTGACTTACAGCTATTGTGAACACACTACGGAAGATCTCAGGAGAAGCCTGGGAGAAGGTCCGCCAGGAGACACAGTTGGTTCGCTCCCTGGTGTACGGCATTGCTGTCATTCAGGGAGTCTTGGTTGCTAGGCAACTCTTTGGCAGTGTTGGTCTAAGTCAGTGGTACCCCTTTGACACTGTGGAGATTAGTGGTGCTGTTTCCATGGTGACTGGAACACTGTTGAAGAAGAAGGATGAGACTGAGCCTGGGTTGGAGGAACTTTGTTTCGGCCTGTCGAAAGTAGGTCACAAGATTAATCTAGTAACTGTCATAACAGATTTATTATACCCCCGCTACGAGGGGTATGTAGCGTTCATTCTGTCTGTCCGTCCGTCAATCCGTCCGTCTGGAAACTTTGTCCGTAGCATATCTCTTAAAGTTTACATGCTAGGTTCACCAAACTTCACACACATGTTAATCATTACCCATTGATGTGCCTTTTGCTATTTTAAAGTTTTTTCAGAATTTGTTTTTTTTTTGTTTCCATGGAAACATGACTTGGTGCAAAATGTGTTTGATGGTTATCTGGCCACAGCATATCATCGAAACTATACATTTTAGGTTCACCAAACTTAATACACAAGTTAATCATGACCCCCAGATATGCCATGTGCTAAAAAATAACAATCTTCATCTACGTCCACTTCATTGTGTGCAACATGAGACAGTCAAGTTCAATTGTATGTCAGGTTTCCAAGGAAAACACAAAAATAATGTTTCCATAAATTATGACTGTAATCAGTACATGGCAAATCTATTATCTAACATGTATATAAAGTTTAGTAGAGTCAAGGAGAAAGTCTTGTGAGCTGCTGATCCTTGTCACATTATATATATCAATATCAGTCATTTCCTTGTCCCAAAGTGGGAAGCAGGGTATGTGAGCTGTGCTCACTTCTACACTTGTTTTCTTCAGTGCTTGAGAACGGTTCAAGAATCTGTATTGAAATGTCTCAATCACAAAATAAAGAAGTTGTTATGTCAATATTGTACTTACCAACTTCTAAAATGCCACTCAAAGAAGTTTAAGTTCGGAGGTATTTTTAGAATTGCTGGCCATGCAAAATGTTAAAACAAGAATGAAAGCCGTTTTAGTTGTTTTATATTTTGCAAGGTAAATCTATAGCTATAACAATTAGGAAATGATGAATCAATATTTGGGAATTATTCACATTTGATACCAACATGTTTAGAAAAAGCCCAGTATGTAGTGATTTTCTAGCGCCTTAGAGGCAGCTTAGGTTATGTGGGGTAGTAATAAGATTGTGCGCTTTGAGCATCCTTTGTGCGCTTTGAGCAGGATGTGAATCCTGGAAATATGCGTTATAAATATTCTAAATAATTATTATCATTATGTTATTTGAAGTGTGTGTAAAGCTTCTTGTCGTATGCTTGTAGCTCCTGTACGCCATGATGGTGATGGATGAGTCAGACCAGATGTACATAGAGAACCTCTGCAGCCACGTCCTGGGACAGGTGTACAAGGAACCTGCGGGGGAAATCCTGCTGGGCACGGTCCTCCTTCCCACCCCACCAGCCAATGTTGGTGAGTAGCAGCTATTAGAAAACAGCAGGATTTTCTGTCAGATTTCAATTTGTCTGCAGAAGTTTAAATAACTTGGTGACAAATTCCCTGCTGGGAACATTTTAACACTGATGCACAAAAAGTGTAAATATACTGAGGGAAAAAAAATAACAGATCACATGAAAGCACAAGTGTTCCTTTATTGTTTCCCCAGTATTATTCACAAGCTTTGTATGGCACAACTCTGAAGAAACCTGGAAAAAATTAAAGTAACACATGTGCTTTCATGTGATCCCTTTTTTGTTTCCCTCAGTATATTTATTGTAGGGCACCTAATATCCATCCCAAAGATAGTCTGTTGCGCTAAGGACAAATTATTAATGCAGACATTATTATATTATTCCATTAACCCGAGCCGCCTGGTGCAAGAAGGTTACCAGTCATATGACCATCTTAGCCCACCTGGTACCCATTCACTGCAGGATGGACCGGGGCAATTTTGAATAAACTCACTTGCGTCAGGTGAGACCACATTTGTCACTTGTGCTTCCTTGTGGGGCAGGACTGAAATCTTAGAATCTCTCAGGAGTCAATCTGCCAAACGTGGTCATCCCTCCATTTAGGACTCTCCGTGATTTGTGAGCTTGGCTCAATGCACAAGAACAAACCATCTCAGTGTAGATTTGTGTTATGATGAAATAGTACTTGTTATGAATGTTTTGTTATTGAAATATATTGTGTGTGATTGCCAACAGATCCCACGGAGTACGGCGACTGGTTTGAGCGTGTGGGAGATGACACCATGACTCTGCCTGCCTTGCAGCTAGGAGCAGGGGTGGAGAGGGAGAGATGTGAAGCCAGGTAGGACAAACACATTCGTACTACAACAGATAGAGGAGATGTTAATATTAATTATTAATTTATTTGGATAGTGCTAGTTGCCAACATTATTGACATGCATTGGAAGTTTCAGTATACAAACATATGTAACTTGACCATAATTATAGGGAGTCTCAGTATTGATTTCAATTGCCTTTTCTACTCCTCAGTGTGTGATGTTCTGTTATTTCCCCAGTGCCAGCACATTCATCAATCACCTGGACCTGATGTTCGAAACCCAGAACAATGAAGCTGGAGACATTTCCACACCTTCCAACAACACTGTCAACATTGCCAAACTACGCTCAGCTCTTGACGTCTGCCTGGAAGAGTTGCCTCCCTTGCTGGAGCTAGGTCAGGTGCCCTTGACCTTGACCCAGGACTACAACTTCCCCTACCACTGCCCAAGTATCATCAGTCTGTCGAGCATGTCCAGCTCTCTGATGCCTGAAAGCATTGGTTATGTGCTTCTGCAGGTTAGTGCTATAGAGGAGCATCATGACTAGTGGTGGTCCGATTAATTGAAATAATTGAAGATTGGTCGTAGCTTAATCAAGCATAGTGATTTTGTTGTGTTCTTGCTCTATAAATCAAGAATTAACTCGATTATAAGTAGTTATTTGTTTAAAAATACTTCATGCAACATATTGCAATTCATATCGCAATATATGCTTTCGCATTGCAATATATCGCAATATGAAAATTCTCTGCAATACCAGCCCCTATACGTCACAACCTCTTTATGTTGTCTTGTCTGTTTTTCAGGAGTGTCTCTGGCTCAACTCCATCCTGTGTCACATCAGACAGCAGATCAGTGACCTTCAGGGCTGTCTGCTTGGTGGCCCTGAGGCTCTGCCACGCTCCCACCTGAGCACTGTCTACAGCCTGCAAGAAGAACATGTCCCGGTGTCCTGGATACACCCCAACTGTCAGTCCTGTACACACTCTCTAGTGTCCTGGCTTGCAGGTCAGTCATATACTAGATAGATACACACCACTGTCAGTCCTGTACACACTCTCTAGTGTCCTGGCTTGCAGGTCAGTCATATACTAGATAGATACATCCCAACTGTCAGTCCTGTACACACTCTCTAGTGTCCTGGCTTGCAGGTCAGTCATATACTAGATAGATACACCCCAACTGTCAGTCCTGTACACACTCTCTAGTGTCCTGGCTTGCAGGTCAGTCATATACTAGATAGATACACCCCAACTGTCAGTCCTGTACACACTCTCTAGTGTCCTGGCTTGCAGGTCAGTCATATACTAGATAGATACACCCCAACTGTCAGTCCTGTACACACTCTCTAGTGTCCTGGCTTGCAGGTCAGTCATATACTAGATAGATACATCCCAACTGTCAGTCCTGTACACACTCTCTAGTGTCCTGGCTTGCAGGTCAGTCATATACTAGATAGATACATCCCAACTGTCAGTCCTGTACACACTCTCTAGTGTCCTGGCTTGCAGGTCAGTCATATACTAGATAGATACACCCCAACTGTCAGTCCTGTACACACTCTCTAGTGTCCTGGCTTGCAGGTCAGTCATATACTAGATAGATACACCCCACTGTCAGTCCTGTACACACTCTCTAGTGTCCTGGCTTGCAGGTCAGTCATATACTAGATAGATACATCCCAAATGTCATATTCCCAGTTACTGGTCAGTCTGAAATGCCCCTAGTTACTGGTTAGTTGTGTGCAAGATACAGATGGGTACTGGTCAGTCTGAAATCCAGGTGGTATTGGGCAGATCAGTCCTGCCCATATTGATCATAAGACTCTGTTCCAAACATAATGTTGTCTCTTCTGATCAGACAAAAAGAAGAGGTACCAGCAGCTGCAATCCTGGGTCAGACGAGGAATGGTCCCCACGTTCAAGGACAACGGTCAGTTACAGGACAACCCAACCATAGCCTGTGGTCATCTGTCAACCGTCTGGCTGGGAGGGCTGGTCAACCCAAGGTCACTGCTGTCAGCCTACAGACAGGAGAAGGCAATTTTGTGCAAGTGTGACATAGATCAGGTATGTGTCAGGTGGTATGTTACAGACTTTTAAACCAGGCCCCGATTTCTCAAACAAAATTCAGACTGAGTTTTGACTTAAGTTACAGTTTTTACTCAAATTTAAGAAAACCCCAGGGAACTGCTTTTCTCAGAACAAACCGAAATCGACATTACACTCAAAGCTAGTAGACAATTTTGGTAGGGTAGATAGGTTACTTAAATTGTTTTGGCTTTTCGAGTTTGGAAATGAAGTTGAGTTAGAAATTCAGCTGTTTCAAATTGTCAAACTCAGTTTGAACTTTTGAGTAAAAACTATGCCAAACTTCAAAACTTTCTGTTTTAATGTACGAATGATGATTGATCATGTTTAAACATGTGATTGGTATGTTTCAGATTGTGTTTGAATGTGACGTCCTCAACACAATGGACACGGAGGACATAGAGATGGAGGACGGTTTATTTCTGACTGACATACATTTACAAGGAGCAGGTTGGAACTTCGACAAGGACATGTTGAGAGAATCAAAGTGAGCACTCACCAAATTTCTGCTAGAACATGTTGAGATTAATGACCCACTTTCTCAATTTTCACAGTCTCGACAATAGGTGGTGACCCACCTGTCTAACACACCACAAATCAAGAAGTTTGTCCTACAGGCATGAAACTTCATGGGTTTAGATATGAGTTGTGATGGGTTTAGATATGAGTTGTGATGGGTTTCGATATGAGTTGTGATGGGTTTAGATCTGAGTTGTGATGGGTTTAGATATGAGTTGTGATGGGTTTAGATATGAGTTGTGATGGGTTTTGAGTTGTGATGGGTTTAGATCTGAGTTGTGATGGGTTTAGATATGAGTTGTGATGGGTTTAGATATGAGTTGTGATGGGTTTAGATATGAGTTGTGATGGGTTTAGATCTGAGTTGTGATGGGTTTCGATATGAGTTGTGATGGGTTTCGATATGAGTTGTGATGGGTTTAGATCTGAGTTGTGATGGGTTTCGATATGAGTTGTGATGGGTTTAGATATGAGTTGTGATGGGTTTAGATATGAGTTGTGATGGGTTTCGATCTGAGTTGTGATGGGTTTAGATATGAGTTGTGATGGGTTTCGATATGAGCCAGATGGGTTTCGATATGAGTTGTGATGGGTTTAAATGAGTTGTGATGGGTTTAGATATGAGTTGTGATGGGTTTAGATCTGAGTTGTGATGGGTTTAGATCTGAGTTGTGATGGGTTTAGATATGAGTTGTGATGGGTTTTGAGTTGTGATGGGTTTAGATCTGAGTTGTGATGGGTTTCGATATGAGTTGTGATGGGTTTAGATATGAGTTGTGATGGGTTTAGATGAGTTGTGATGGGTTTAGATCTGAGTTGTGATGGGTTTAGATATGAGTTGTGATGGGTTTAGATATGAGTTGTGATGGGTTTAGATATGAGTTGTGATGGGTTTCGATATGAGTTGTGATCGGTTTCGATATGAGTTGTGATGGGTTTCGATATGAGTTGTGATGGGTTTTGAGTTGTGATGGGTTTAGATATGAGTTGTGATGGGTTTCGATATGAGTTGTGATGGGTTTAGATATGAGTTGTGATGGGTTTGAGTTGTGATGGGTTTAGATATGAGTTGTGATGGGTTTAGATCTGAGTTGTGATGGGTTTAGATATGAGTTGTGATGGGTTTAGATATGAGTTGTGATGGGTTTAGATCTGAGTTGTGATCGGTTTCGATATGAGTTGTGATGGGTTTTGAGTTGTGATGGGTTTAGATCTGAGTTGTGATGGGTTTAGATATGAGTTGTGATGGGTTTTGAGTTGTGATGGGTTTAGATATGAGTTGTGATGGGTTTAGATATGAGTTGTGATGGGTTTCGATATGAGTTGTGATCGGTTTCGATATGAGTTGTGATGGGTTTCGATATGAGTTGTGATGGGTTTTGAGTTGTGATGGGTTTAGATATGAGTTGTGATGGGTTTAGATATGAGTTGTGATGGGTTTTGATATGAGTTGTGATCGGTTTTTAGATATGAGTTGTGATGGGTTTTAGATATGATGAGTTGTGATGGGTTTTGAGTTGTGATGGGTTTAGATATGAGTTGTGATGGGTTTAGATATGAGTTGTGATGGGTTTAGATCTGAGTTGTGATGGGTTTAGATCTGAGTTGTGATGGGTTTAGATATGAGTTGTGATGGGTTTAGATATGAGTTGTGATGGGTTTAGATCTGAGTTGTGATGGGTTTAGATCTGAGTTGTGATGGGTGTGAATCAGGAGGCTCTGGAGTATGTTTAATGTGTGTCGGTGACATGTCAATAAAATATACGCTGGAATCAGTTGATTTCAATATGCATAATTCTGTTATGTTCAATGTATTTTTTCGCAGGAGAGCGTTGTTTGAGGTTCCGTGTGTGTACGTGAAGCTGATGAAGAAAGCAACTCCCCCACCAGCTGAGAGGGAGGGAGATGGTGACATGGAGGAACTCAATGAGAACATCTACCAGTGCCCTGTCTACATGAACAGAGTGAGTGTTTGTGGTGTATCAGCATGGTAGCGTACCAGATAAGTGTCACTATAGATGGTCCTGATATTGATAATAGTCACAACACAGTGTCCTCTTATTGACAACTGCACCCATACAATGTCCTCTTGTTGACAACAGTCACCATACAGTGTCCTGATATTGACAAGTGTCACCATACCGTGTCCTGGTCACAATACAGTGTCCTGATATTGACAAGTGTCAACATACAGTGTCCTGATATTGACAAGTGTCACAATACAGTGTCCTGATATTAAAAAGTGTCACAATACAGTGTCCTGATATTGAGAAGTGTCACCATACCGTGTCCTGGTCACCATACTGTGTCCTGATATTGACAAGTGTCACCATACCGTGTCCTGGTCACCATACAGTGTCCTGATATTGACAAGTGTCAACATACAGTGGCCTGATATTGACAAGTGTCACAATACAGTGTCCTGATATTGACAAGTGTCACCATACCGTGTGCTGGTCACTATACAGTGTCCTGATATTGTCAAGTGTCACTATACCGTCCTGAAATTGACAAGTGTCACCATACCATGTCCTGGTCACCATACAGTGTCATGATATTGACAAGTGTCACCATACCGTGTCCTGGTCACAATACAGTGTCCTGATATTGACAAGTTTCACAATACAGTGTCCTGATATTGACAAGTGTCACCATACCGTGTCCTGGTCACAGTACATTGTCCTGATATTAAAAAGTGTCACAATACAGTGTCCTGATATTGACAAGTGTCACCATACCATGTCCTGGTCACCATACAGTGTCATGATATTGACAAGTGTCACCATACCGTGTCCTGGTCACAATACAGTGTCCTGATATTGACAAGTGTCACCATACCGTGTCCTGGTCACAGTACATTGTCCTGATATTGACAAGTGTCACAATACAGTGTCCTGATATTGACAAGTGTCACCATACCATGTCCTGGTCACAATACAGTGTCATGATATTGACAAGTGTCACCATACCGTGTCCTGGTCACAATACAGTGTCCTGATATTGACAAGTGTCACAATACAGTGTCCTGATATTGACAAGTGTCACCATACAGTGTCCTGATATTGACAAGTGTCACAATACCGTTTCCTGATATTGACAAGTGTCAAAGTACATTGTCCTGATATTGACAAGTGTCACCATAGTGTCCTGATATTGACAAGTGTCACGATACAGTGTCCTGATATTGACAAGTGTCAAAATACATTGTCCTGATATTGACAAGTGTCAAAATACATTGTCCAAGTGTCACGATACAGTGTCCTGATATTGACAAGTGTCACAATACAGTGTCCTGATATTGGCAAGTGTGTATTGACAAGTGTCACAATATCAGTGCCCTTATATTGACAAGTGTCACAATACAGTGTCCTGATATTGACAAGTGTCACAATACATTGTCCTAATTATTAGTAGTAGTCCTAATCTTAGTTTGACTTATAATCTAAACAGTATGTTTCCATACACTATACAGTGTTTAAAGGTCACATGCAACCAAAAAATCAAACATAATTAAAGCACAATTATCACTTATTCATGACATATAATATACATTGCTGGTTACGAAAAAATATATAAACAATATTATAAGCGTACAATCGCAAATCGAAAGTGCAAAATTGTGTACTTCGGTTTACTTGGCAAAAAACGAAGCAGCCGGGATACCAAACTCAGTCAGAGCGGGTGGGTGTGCACTCAAGTGTAACGGCTGGTTCATTTGCAGATGCCTTCACGGCTAATTGTGTGTGTGTGTAATATATATATATATATATATATATATATATATGTTGGGTTTTGTAAATACATGCTCATTTTTTGTGTATAACATTTTGCAATCAACAGACATCATAACATGTCATGTGTTCAAGTATCACACCTGCCTGTCTGTGTAATTACATAATGTGACAGAGACCGAACTCGGGCCATAAATCAATGCATTTTGTTTATGGTGTATAGCCTGATTGGTGTTACGTTCAAATTGCATGTGGTCAGTGATAGCAGCTGTGTATTGAATATTGTCATTAGCAGACAGGCAGGCAGACACACAGGTGTCAATAAAACAAGACATTGAGTTTTGTCTGTGACAACGACATATCTATATCACAGTTAGAAATTCTGTCAACTCTAAATAATGACATTGCTTTTAAGTATCGAACTGAGAAAGTGTCTCGGTAACAAGAACGTGTGGTGAAATAGACAAATGAAATTATATAAACAGTTAATTTACTGTCATAACATATAAAAACACGCGCCTGTGAGATATCAACAAAACATTAGAAAAATAGCTCACACCAAAGCCTTCACCGAGTATTCACCTGACAACCCGCTTCCAAGCTGCGCGAACCTATTTACTTGCGCACGTGCTATGAGCGCAGCCCGGCTGTTGAAACCCGTTTTCCCCCGAAAAGTCAGGGGAAAATTAGTGAAACGTTTGAACTTCGATTTCGCGCGTTTTTTTCATCGCGTTATTTTTCAACTTTATAAGTTGAATTTGCATTTTTTGACGATTTGTTTCCGTATGTCCATACCGAAAGGTATCAGAATCTGCAAAGTTGTGTTTTACGTTGCATGTGACCTTTAACAATCCTGCTACATTTCACAAAACAATGACAATGAGCTGACCCTGTTCTGAAGGGTTTAGTTTTGAGTTTCTATTTTCAACTGCAGATCCAAATAGAATAAGTACTTATGGGATTGTGTAGTCAAGCTCTGACTTGGTTGACACATGCCATCGTATCCCAGTTAAGTAGATCAAAGCTCATGTCGTATTCCTTCTGTTCCAGAGCCGACAGATGCTTGTCACTCACCTTCCCATCAAGTGTCCTTCACCGTTAGAGAGATGGGGTCTGTCTCGCACAGCCCTCATCCTGGATCCTGGTGAGTCCATTCACAAATTACCCCTTGTATTGTCATCTTTGAGACTGTTGATTTTAGAGGTAAAATTGAGTACATCTTAATTTTATTGATCTCGGTTTCAATTTAACCTGTAAAGATCCATGTTAGAATGGGTCTTCAGCAACCCATGCCTGTCATAAGAGGCGTATAAGTTGGTCAGGCTCATTCAGCTATACTAAACAGACTGCATGTTTACATTAAACTGTAGTGGAAAAGACTACCGGTATGTCAGACAATGTTAGACTAGTGTATACGCAAGAACTTTCTTGACTGGTATTTAAGTATAACATATGTTATATTTGGGATTACACTTTCTTAGTAAATCCCAAATATAACATATGTTACATTTGACCACATTCTAAATGGCATTGTGAAATGGTATTTAACTATAGCTAGTCTTAAAAGATTTTTTAAGTGACAGTATGCTAAGATGCCTGAATCCCCAGTGAGTTGTGTATTGCATCTGATTGTCTTTTGTTAATGCTGTTTGATAAATGTACTTGCTGTCCAGGTTTGCCTGAGGATGGACCTAAGAAGTCAAGGTCCTACTTGCTGCTACAGCGCCTCCCACTGAGTCAACGAGGAGAGGGTGAGGAGATGGGTGAGGAGGAGGAACTGGAGGAACAAACCCAACAGCCAGATACTGCTCACACAGAGGCTGCTTCTGTCAAGTCACGATCAAACCAGTCGGTCAAGTCTCAGCAGTCTTCTCAATCCCAGCTTTCCTACAGAGCAATGTCTCCCAAAGCTGACCCTTTGCCCCCAGGGCTCGGGCTGACAAGAGAAAGACCCATGGTCCGGGATGATGCTCCGGATGCTGCTCAGAAACCCTCATCCCGGCCTCCCTCCAAGCCCAGCAGTGCCAACAGTAACAGGTCCATCATGAGAAGACCAGTTTCAAGAGGATCAGGAATCAGTGCAGGTTCTCGTGGTACCGAGGGAAGAAATAGCAGTGGAAAGTCACAGAGTCAGGCAAACAGTGCTGTCCACAGAGAGCTGGACAATAGAGGAAATGAGCCAACAGAAGAACAGCTTGACCGGCAGTCTGAGGACCAGAGAGGATCTGATAAGGCAGGGTCTCGTGATGATCTTAGAGCAAGTCAGGAGAGACGTCCATCTCAGAAGTCAGTTACCAGCAGAGTGAGAAAGGTTTCTGAAACATCACAGAAGTCAGATACCAGTGGTGTGAGAAAGGTTTCAGAATCATCACAGAGGTCTGGTGGCATGAATCAGGCAAATGGATCAGTTGCCTCTAGACAAGCATCTCCTGCATCTCTGGGTCAGACAAGTGGGAACAGGCCTCCGTCCAACCAGTCTCGGACATCGGGACAGAGAGCGGAAGGAAGTTCACAGCGACGGTTATCCAACACTTCCCAGACATCTTCCCAAAGGGCCAATGGTACCAGACCGCCATCTAACACCTCCAAGACATCCCAGGGGAGAAAGATCTCTGAGACAGGGTCTCAACGTAGGAACCTGAACCAGTCCAACAATGCAGATGATGAAGACAGGGTGGGAGAGAATAACGGGAGTGCCGTGGAAGTTGATGTAGAGAGAGTAGCTTCACCAGCATCCAAGAATTCAGCGGATGCACAGCCACAGGTTGTTCAGGACTCACATGATGAAACTGAAATGACACGAGGTTCTGAGATTGAAGATGCTGATGTAGTTGGGAGGAGAGAGTCTAGGCCGCAGTACTAGACACAAAGTTTGAGATTGAAGATGCTAGGCAAGAGAGATGCTATTCCACTGAACAAGTGTCTGTGTAAACTAACATGATGCTGTCAGATCCATAGATACCAAGGCTGACAAAATTCTCTGTCTCATTATAAGCTGTATTCGTTGTGAAGTTAGGCAGTGCTGGTGTATGTTCATTCCTGCTCAGTTTGAATGGGTGTGAAAAGAAACAGCGTGAGACTGTGTCTCAACCTTCCCCTGCACAAGATCCACCTTCAGTATGAGCACAGAGTCCAGGGCCCATTTCACAAAGCTATTGTACTGCTACGACTGTCGTACCTCCTGTCCTGTAAACATAGACTTACGACAGTCATAGCGCTACAATAGCTTTGTGAAACAGGTCCCAGGTTGATGTCTGTGCAGTGGATATCATGTTATATATGCATTTGCCAAGTGGCAGACCTCCCTTGCTATGTACATAAAATCAAGGTGATATATCATATCATAGCTGCTTGATCCTCATACATCTGGGTATGGTTTGAGCATTTTAAGCTTGTGACAATGTTTTACCATGTTTGAATATTTCCGACTACCAAGCAGTTTTTCATGGATGTGTTGAGAATCTGAAGATGAAGTGCTATGATACTGAATGTTCCTGAACTGTGTGACGTTGACATTTTTCTGATAAAAAATTGACTATCCTGTGTTGAATTTACTGTGTATGTCAGAATAATAAATTCCGTCCATGGTCTGTGATAACATATTTGTGATATATATTTCCAATTGGTCACATATATTATCCGTTGTTAAACTTTATGATAATAGATGTGATAAAAATGTTTAATGAACTTAATTATATGTTTTATCATGTTTTTTGTAACCTCACCTCCAGTATTATTTATACCATTCCTTATGATTCACATGTCGGTTTTACCTCAGAGTATGTCCTGTTGTTGAGGCCAGATTTTGTTTGAATGATATTTGGATATTGTTGATTCATGACATGTATTTATGCAGTATATATGAAATAGTTTAACTATTTTAGACAAGTTAATCATCCGGACTATATAAATTTGCAGTTGTCAGTATTAAAAAAAAATTGATGTTTAATGTCCTGTTGAAACCATTCACTCCTTAGAAACTTTTTGATTGATCTGGAACGAGTTTTGCACTAAATATATTACTCACTTGAACGTTGACGTTAACATTCAACGTTAACAAAAACGGGCAGTTAGTCTGAGGGTGGCGCAGGAATACAACATGAACAGCCGGTGATTCGACCATAGACAGAATGGCAACAAAGATTGTGTTTATACGCCAACCATACATCTATTCTTTTTAGAAAGTATATGTGGTTGCAGCAATGCGTACTTTCAAGGTATGTCCTATGTACTTCCGTCTCAGAATATTCACCTGAAAATCAGGATGCTGTCACATATAAGAGTGAGTGAGTGAGTGAGTTTAGTTTTACGCCGCACTCAGCATTATTCCAGCTATATGGCGGCGGTCTGTAAATAATCGAGTCTGGACCAGACAATCCAGTGATCAACAGCATGAGCATCGATCTGCGCAATTGGGAACCGATGACATGTTTCAACCAAGCCAGCGAGCCTGACCACCCGATCCCGTTAGTCGCCTCTTACGACAAGCATGGGTTGCTGAAGATCAATATTCTAACCCGGACCTTCACGGGTTCACATATAAGAGACTAAACGATGTTTAAGTGATTGTTCTATTGAGATATGTATTTTGAATCTCTTCAGAATAACTACTTCATTATATCAAGTGTGCGAGTATGCCTCTCCGCTGCTTTTTGCAAAACTCCATCAAAACAAGGGACACAGGAGACAGCAGGGCTTCAGACATAGTACACATATACAGTCCGTTTGAGTCAGAAACGGACCGATGAATTGCAAATTTGATCATTGTACAAAATTGCCACATAAATATATATAGTACACATGTTTATCATTTACTAATACCCAACAGCTTTCTTATATTTGAAAATTTTCCGGACTCCACCAAAAAAGTTCTTTAAGAAACTATCATTAAAATTTTGACACAGTTCACTATTTGTTACGAGGGAGGAGTGCAGAGAAAGGGACAGCCAGGTGTTAGAGAAGCACGTGCACAAGTGCCCACCAAGTTATTGATTCATTAGTCTGTGCTGTGCCGTCTCCATACTTTCGCGCACACCTGGCTGTCCCTTTCTCTGCACTCCTCCCTCGTAACAAATAGTGAACTGTGTCAACATTTTAATGATAGTTTCTTAAAGAACTTTTTTGGTGGAGTCCGGAAAATTTTCAAATATAAGAAAGCTGTTGGGTATTAGTAAATGATAAACATGTGTACTATTTATATTTATGTGGCAATTTTGTACAATGATAAAATTTGCAATTCATCGGTCCGTTTTGACTCAAACGGACTGTAGTAGGGATATTATAACATTACACATGTGTCAAGTTTTTGTTCAATATATGTGGTTGCAGCATTAAATGCTTTCAAGGTATGCCCTAGTTTCTCACCGCTGGAATGTAGGCTCCCGATGACGCTGTGTGTAACACTGACAAACATGGCCAGACTCGTGGTCCAATATTGTGGAAGCCTTCCTTGAAGATACATCTCAGTTCACCAGCTCTCTCTGCATCAGCAGTCAGATGCTTCTGAAGCTTGAGCCTCACATCGTCCTGCAGACCAGGACACTTGCAGATGTTTCCACGTTCTATATCATCACACATGGCTTCCCACCGTGTCTCGATGACCCTGAAGAAGTTCAAGGCCGTAGGTGCTGTGAGGCAGCTTAGCAAGGTGACGTCTTTACACGTCAGACCGAACAATGCATGGACATACAAGGATGCCTGCTCCTGTCTTATTTCATATGCAACATCAGGTGATGGTCTAAAGGGACAGACGAAGGCCCCAGCTCCACTCGCAGGACCTTGTCTGACCCCAGCCGGAGATAGCGTGAGAGTTGGCGCAGTCCTCACGTCCATCCAGAACTTGAGCTTGCCTACTTTGGGTATATCAAACAGTTCTCTCCTTGTGTGGACATTGTGAGTCATTAACCTCTCGAAATCGGACGCCATTTGTCTGGGATAGAGCTTACTTTTCCCTGAAGAAGTCCCGGAAGTTAAAGTAAAATAGTCAGGTTGTCCTGGAAACATGACATCAGACTCTCCTTGTATGATACGCTGGATGTACTTGTCATAGTTTTCATATGATGTGAGACGCTGTTGAGACCGAAATTCTTCCAGACCTGTATTAGAATCAAAGGCGTTATCGAGTCCATATGCGGTTCCAGAACCCCACTTGAGAATGTTTCGAAGAACGGTTCTTTGTTGATTTATTTGCATCTCTGAGGACAGGAAGGTAGCTGGGTGTCAAGTATGATCTGATATAAAATTTCTTTATCTTTATATACTGCTTCAAAAGAGATGTCCATGTGTGATGACGACTTGGGTCCAATCTTATGACGTCCACCAAGACAATACTTAATAGAAGAAGTAAAACTCCAAGCCCGGGACCTGTAACAAATTACAACTCAAGTCACTGTGTACCAAAGTGTTTGAAAATTACCCCTTTGCTGCCCATATTAGCTGTATCACATAAAACACAATGATGAACCTATGTATCCAAATGTATGATAGTGCTAATATATAGATTAATAAGTGTCCTGTTGTGATAAGTTGTCCCTATCTCAAATATTAAAACACATACCGCCCTAAACCTTTTGAAGACTTGTCATGTCAAACAAATACGTCAAATATGGTATCAAATATACCCTCGATGGACTGTTTTGTGTTAGAAATTAGATAGATGTTTCCAATTGTGTCTACCAAAATGTTTAATTCTGAAAATCATTCCATCCTGGACATGAAGGTTAGAAGCATTATTCAACCATTTTATAGAGTCAAACGCAGAATATCAAAATAAAGGCAGTGGCGTCGACTGTTTCGTACAGCAATGCTACATGGATGTAATGACAAAATAGAATACTTTGGTAGTCTTTCTAACCGAGGATTTGCTAACGTCAGTGTTTTGAGTCTGTTTCTGGCATCCCAAAGGTGTCGACCGAATCATGGTCAATAGAAGGGACAAAGATCAAATGACACCATTCATTTGTAAGAGTTGTTGCCTATCCTGGAGCAAGTATTAAGACTGAACAAAATAAGAGCAGGACTACACTCTGGGTCATTCAAAGATCTGGATCTACAGACAGTAAACCTCACAGTATTGACTAGAGAGAATAGTTCTTGATGTTGCTTTGAAACGTTTGACCAGAGGAAACATACTCTAGACCAGGAACAGATGCTGGACAAGAAACAGACTCTAGACCAGAAACAGACTCTGGACCAGGAACAGACTCTGGACCAGGAACAGACTCTGGACAAGAAACAGACTCTGTACAAGAAACAGACCCTGGACAAGAAACAGACTCTAGACCAGAAACAGACCCTGGACCAGAAACAGACTCTGGACCAGGAACAGACCCTGGACAAGAAACAGACTCTGCCAAACCAGACAAAGACCGCATGCTCCTGCATTTGAAATTTGCAAACAAGAGAATTGACGTCTTAAAGTTATTTAACATTCTGAGACAAAAATCACTTTTCTAAAATGTTTGCCAAAACATTTCAGATTTCGGGAAATACCAACAAAATAATTTCCTGTACGATTTGATCCTGGTTGTTCATTAATGGAATGTTGGCTTAGCAGCTCACGATGTAAATTCCACTTCATGTGGCTGCCAAGACTTTTTATACTGCTGTGAACCTGTATTTCATATCACCAGGGGGCTACTTCTCCATTGTTGACAATAACAACCTGCGTCAGCTAATAATATGTGAATCAAATTATTGTGAACAGCCTTTTACCAATTGGAATTATAATGGATCCTGTCGAAGGATATGCCAAAACAAGCCAAGAGAGGAGAGAGGAACCTGAAGAATGTCTTTCAGAGTCGGGCATGACAGTGCAAGATGTGGTCAGTGATAAAAAGCATAAACTGAAAAAAGAGGAAACAGAATTGGAATAAACGCATTCTGTGGCCCTGCAAGTTGTCGTCCAAAATCTGTATGCCCTGTATGAAAGTTTGTAGCTTTTTCCACTGACAAGGCTTCAAATAACGTAAGCACTACATAAATTGTTTGATCAAAGATCATGATATAAGAGCAATATCCAATATATGCCATATATAAGGCCAGTATGTTAACTGAGAAAGAAATCTGCCAGAACATTCAACCTTTGGCTTGAAGACATGTCCATTTGTATTTTACTGGATTCCAAAGCTACATAAATCCGTACAAAAATATGTATATTGCTGGATCTAGCAATGTACCACTAAAGCCCTGTCTCAATGTTTAGCCATAATCCTTAATACTTAATCTATCAAGGACTTTCTGGGGCGGTGGGGTAGCCTATTGGTTAAAGCGTTGGCTCGTCACGCCGAAGACCCGGGTTCGAATCCCCACATGGGTACAATGTGTGAAGCCCATTTCTGGTGTCCCCCCGCCGTGATGTTGCTGGAATATTCCTAAAAGCGGCGTAAAACCAAACTCAGTCAGTCAAGGAATTTCTCCACATTTGCAGAAATTATTTGAGACAAGAGGTATAGAACATGTGGATTCCAAAAATACAAAGGATTTGCCTGAATTATTACAATCTGAAAAGCGGAGTTCAGTTCAGTCAAACAATTTGATTTGTTCAAGGTTGTACATCACTATTCTAATATGCCAACTTAAGAAAAGACTTCATTCCTTGGTCCATGGGACATTTGTCAATAAACGTTTTGACAAAGATACAGTTTCATATCTATCTCCACAAAAATATCGACTGAGTTTACCCACAAAACAATATGTGAAATGCTGGATTTCTTTATTTATAACGGTTGTGTAAAATTTAAGGATAAAACATTTAGGCTAGAAGAAGGCACCCCGATGGGCACCAACTGTGCTCCTTTCCTTGCAGATCCATTTCGTTATACATATGAATCAGAGACTCTGCTCGGGTTGGCCAAATCAAAACATGATAATTTGAACAAGAAATAGAACATGAGCTGATCTTGTATCGTTCAATAACCATGAAATAGTCAATTCCCTTCCACTGATTTAACCGCACGAGCTTCAAATGAAGGAAACTCGTAAGACCGCCTCGAATGTTTCATGGTTAGTACTGTGCATAACGATTCAAGTGACAAAATAAACCTCTCAACAAGGTTGCACAACAAAAGGGATGATTTATTTGTTTACATTTCACAAATTTTGAGGTACAATCGTGCAAGTTCGTTTTACCAAGATTTCAAAGAGCGCCATACAACCTTTTCACAATTTTTTTTATCAATGTTACAGCTTCCAAGACCTCAGTAAAGCTTTCGCAAAGTTGTATGGTAGATTTGTAGGGGACATTTTAACATTTGATGCATCGGTGACAATAATCACGTCCCTATTTTGACTTGTTCCCTACGGATTTTGTTCAGGTGGGCAAATGATTAGCTTTTACATACATGTATATGTTTCACGGGTGCCACCGGTGGGGCAGGATACGCTTACAGATTCGGGAATATCTGCTATCATCACTATTTGAGAGTGATTCACAAGTACATGTTCTGTCATCGTATCTCATGATCAATCACTGGATTGTCTGGTCCAGATTCGACATTTGCTGACCGCCGTCATACAGCTGGAATATTGCTTGGTGCGGTGTTAAACATACAAACATACACAAGTTCAAAATGTTTAGCAGATTTCTTTTATGAATGCGGAAATGGTTTATCGCTTTAATTTTCGTAATTGCCTCCTTGTGAAAAGCAGTATGTCGGAAGAACGCCATGGAAAACGGAGTATACTGCAGGCTGTTTGAATGTATTGATATATGGATTTTTGCTCGGAGCTATATCCGAGCTGTCGTCTGTGAGGACTAACATGTGAACTAGTGGTGTTCCGATTAATTGAAATAATCGAAGATTGGTCGCAGTGACCAAACGACCAAGCAATCGATCACATTTTCTCAAAATCGAACACAAATGATTTTGGAACTACTGGTTTAATGTTTGAAACACTTGACGACGGAACATATCTCTGAAGTTGTCAGGGCCTGAAAATGTGTTGAATTGTTAGAAAACTCACTTGACTAACTGAAAAGTAATCACTGAATATTTCTTGAAGACTCCAGGAAGTTTTTCTTCATGATATATCAGTTATCACATTAAAGTAGCAAGTTGCATCATGTTATACTAATCTGCAATAAGAACCCGAATAGAAAAATCTGAAAAATGATGATAACAATTTTTTTCGATGATTGATCGGCTGTAATGAAACAATCATCAATTATGAGATTTTAACCAATTCCCAACACCAATGTGAACCAGGTTGTCACCATATATTCAAACACAAACATCCTATTTCTGATAAGTGTTTTCACAAAATATTTGAATTTACACAAAAATGTGTCTTTAAGAAGGATGTTTTGAACATGTTTGATAAATTAAAACCAATATATTCAATAGTTGATGAGCGTGAACGCTGTAGCTTCCATTAATTAACTCCTAGAGGAAAACCCCAGAGAGTACATGTTAAATATATGTGATGTTGATACGTCCAGCAGATCTGAACAGATTTCAGGTCATCTCCTGGGCACATGAGAGACTCACAAAAACATGGCAACTTTAACTTGACGTTAAGGTGAGCTAATGAACCTATAATGATTAGGATGATGATGATAACATACCTGCAACATACTGGATCCTGGACACAGGTAGGACCGTGCCCAGTATCAAACTCAGTCCACCCAAGAACAAAACTATCGTACCAGCACACAAAACCGTTGGCGAAAACGATGGGAACATTTTTATAAATGCTGCGTTGTATTTCGGAGAGGACAAAGACTATGTCTTCCGTCTCATGATATCATGAGTTATGAGAGTTTCATGGGACATTTTAATGTTTCTCTGGGGAGTGTTATGAGACATTGTGATTAACATTGCTGAAAACTTACAAGTAACACTGCAGGAATGAATATCAGTTTTAACACGACAACGTCTATGCAGAATGGGCGGGCAATTCAGACATTATGAGAAATGGTGTTTAAAGAGGAACAGATAGGAAAACGTATCTTGACTCTTTTGTCATTCCCAAACACTCATCGTTAAAAAAAACCATATGTGTATAGCAGCAGAAACCAGTCATAGTAAGTATCATCATCATCAGTCAACCGAATTTAGCAAAACTTTGGACATGTAAACTGTGATGAAACGTTTGAGATTTTGACTGCATGATATGTGTCCTACTTTCTGTTAAATATGAGGAACCACATACTGCAAAGCTCTTGGGACGTTCACACGACGTTTTGTGAAAGA